CACAGTGCCCTGCTCACTGCGGCCTGTCTTCTGCCTCCTACAGACGTCTCTGCACAGCCTCTGAGGGGCGCCCCCAATCCTCTCGGCCAGAACTGGCCGCCTCTTCTTTAGCCAGCAGGTCAGGGAGGGAGCTGGCTCCTCTCGGACTCCAGCCCACGTCTGACCCACCCTCACCCCCTACAGACTTCCTGCCTCGCCCTTCTCAGCTGCAGGAGGGGCAGGTCAGCCTCCTGGACAGACACATCTGCAAGGTGTTCTTCCAAGTGCCAAACCCCAGCGGCCAAAAGTACAGCATCAATGAGGACGTGCTGTGCGCCGGGACCATGTCTGACGACAAGTCCATCTGCCGAGTGAGTGACTCGCACCATGTCTCAGGGGGTGGGGGGCTGCCTCTGCTCCCCGGCCCCTTGTCCTCTGTCTTCTCTGGACTCTTTCTCAGCCCACCCACCTGCTGGGAGTGGCAGAGCCCGAGGGCTGAAGCCACCGCATTTTTTAAAGTCCTTTGTGGAAGTGTAAAGTCCCGAGGGAAGGGCAGCTTTTACAGGAGTGCCTTCTGCTGCCGGGAGAAATGGAGGCCCTCATGGAACCAGCCCCGAAGGGCCCCCTGCCACCCCCTACTGTCGTCTCCTCCCCGCCCCCCACGGCCTGGCTTCTCACCCCCGTGAATGGGTGCCAGGGCCTCTGTGCGCAGAGCCCTACAGGACGTCCTCTCCTCGGTCCTCTTTCAGTCCATGCCATGCTGGTGGCCTCTGTCCACCTGGTGTGTGCCTTCTGTTGCTCATCTCATTGCCGAAGAGCACCCTCCTGTGCACACACGCCGCCGCTGCCGTTTTTATCCGAGCCGGTGTCGGGGCATTTGCGCAGTTTCCCCTGGAGGCCCTCACGAACGGCATTGCCGTGACCTCCTGCGCGTGAACGCTCTGGTTGGGTGCAACCTGGGCGTGGCGGTCTGGGGGAGCCGGACGCACCGATTGGACGCCCACGGTGGGGGGCGGGGTGAAGGGCGCGGCGCTCCTTCCCGGGGCCCACGGGGTTCACCTGACTCTTCATTTGCACTCCTCTGGGGAAGGAGCAAGGTGGGCGCTTTCCTGCACCTGCGTGCCGTTTTCGTAGCGTGCGCGTTCAAGTCTCTTGCCAGCGTTTCTACGGGGTTGTCTGTCTTCCCTGCGGACTGGCGATGAGTGCGCTCGGGGTCCCTGTGTTCCGAAGGTCTCCTCTCACTCTGTGCGATCCTTCTGGTCTTCGCCGGAGAAGCCCAGGCCCAGAGAGGGAAGTAGCCAGTCCCGGTGGGGGGGGGGGGGTGAGCCCGCTGTCTGACTGGGGCAGCCAGGCCCTCCTTTGGAGCTGTGGCGGCCACCCACTTCCTCCCACGGTCTCGGCCCCCCCTGCACCTTCTTCCTCGCTCTTTGTCTCCCTCCCCGGTCATCTCCCAGCAGCTCAGAAACACACCGTCATGCGTCCGCCCCTGCTCTCCTCCCCAAGCCCCTGCCCCCGTCCCAGCAGGGCCCACCCGGTGCTGTGTGCCCTGCCGGGCTTTGGTGTCCACACCTCTCTTTCCGGCCCCAGCCCGCCCTGTGAGGTGCCTGCGCCTCCTCCTCCCGGGCTGCTGTCCAGCCCCGCCCCTCCTCCCCCACCCGGGCCGCCCAGCCCAGTGCCCAGCCGGCCCCAGTGCTGCCCAGACTGACTAACAGTCAGTTCTTCTCCGCTGCCCGCCGACCCTCCGCGACCCCCGCACACCGAGGGCCCAGCCCTCAGCACTTGCCCGTTTTCTTGTCTGACTCCGTTTCGTCCTCGGACGGAGAGAGCAGTCGGACTGCGCGCCCCCACCCGGGCATCGCCGTCTCTGGTCCCTGTCGCCCTTTCTGCTGCGCCCCATCTCCCCGTGCTGACCCCAGCCCCCCACCCCCCCACCATCCTTTCATTTTGTTTTATTGTGTTTTACTCGTCACCCCAGGAGGACGTGCTGACTGGGTTTAGAGAGAGGGGAAGGGAGAGAGAGAGAAACATCGATGGGTGGCCTCTCGAATGTGCTCTGGCCAGGGACCGAACCCACGACCTTTCCCTTTGCCGGGACGACGCTCCAACCCACTGAGGGACCCGGCCAGGGTCCTCCTGCCTTTCTTTTAGAATCCGAGTCAGGTCACACCACTTCCCCACTGAGTGTCACTCAGTGTTTCCTTGCCGCACACACACTCCCCTCGGCCTTCCCCACGCCGAGCTTGCCGCGCCGCCACCTCAGCCTCCATCTTGCAGAGCCAGGTCTAGCCCTCCCCACGCACACACACACACGCACACAGGCTGGGCTCACAGAAGCCGCCCCCCCCAGGCCCCGGGCACTTCCGGTACCACCTGGGGAGGTGCCCCTGTCTGCCACCCGTCACCCCTCTGCGTCCGCACACACGGGGCGTTTCTGGAACAGGAGGCTGCGGCTCTCTGTCCCCGGGCGTCTGCCTTTGAGGTGCAGGCGCCACGCCCCACGGGAGCAGGTCTCGGGCTGCCAGCCGGCAGGGGTGCCCGGGGTCCCCTCCGAAACCCCATGAACCTGGCTCCAGGGCCCTCCCCGATTTTTGGCTGCAGGAGGTCTGCGTGGGGCCGGCGGCTGGACTTTCCAGATCGCCCGGGACCCCACGGAGGCACGAGGCCGCCAGGCCCCACGCTGGGGGAGGACGAGGGCCATCTCTTCGCGCGTCCCTCTCCGTCCCGTTGCCACAAAACACCCCCTCTGTCTGCCCAGGGAGACTCGGGGGGCCCCCTGAGCTGCCAGCTGAACAACACCTGGGTCCTGATGGGGCTGTCCAGCTGGAGCCTGCCCTGCCGCAGGCCCGCGAGTCCCAGCGTCTTCACCAGGCTCACCCACTTCTCCAGCTGGATCCGCGAGAAGCAGAGAGACACGCCGCCGCCCCCTCGGGACAAACCGGTCTCTTCTAACGGCCCGTCCTCCACGGGCGCTGTCCCGGGGTCCAGGGTCCACAGGGCCCAGCTGCTGTCACAGGTCCTGCTGCCACTGCTGCTGCTGCTGCCGCCGTCCCTCCTCAGGGTGCCCTGAGGGACCCCCCAGGTGCCCCGCCCTCCCCCATGCGTCCCGTGTTCTCCTGAAGTCCATCTGTCTCTGAGCCGTGGCTGAGCCCTCCTGTCCCTCAGACGCCTGACGAAGTAAAAATGATTCTGCAAGCTCCCTGCTCCGTGTCTGACTCAGCAGCGTCCGTCCCGCCTCCCCGGTAAGGAGGTGGCAGGCCCTGGCACCTGTGGGACGCAGATGGCCAATATCACAGGGACAGAGTCCTCCAGAGACGGACCACCTCCCTGAAATAGTTTCGAAGGGCCCTGGCCGCCCTGTCAAGAGTTCTGAACCGCGTCCTCTGCACACGTCCCCTTGTCCCTGCCCCCCGCCCCCCCCCCCCCCCCCGTCCCCAGAGCCCACTGCCCCTTGCGCCGGCCCCAGCAGCGGAGGCATAGCCAGCCCAGGACTTGCTGGTCCAGCACCAAAGCTACACCCAGAAGCATTGCGTCCGTTCCCCAGTAGCAGTGACGTAAAACGGGAGAAGCTCCTGGAACATTAATGACTCAGCCGAACTCAGGCCGAAGGCAGTGCTGCCTGTGTGGTGTGGAGGCCTGTGTGCCGACTGGCTGCTGCCGGCAGCAGGGCCTGAGCACCGTTTAGAGGTGGCTCCTGAACGCCGCCCCCCCCCCCCACCGCCGGAAGAGCCCACTGCTTCCAGGCCAGAGGGGGACAGAGCTGCGTGGGGGAGGGGTGGGGTCGCAGGGCATCCGCTTTAGCTCTGCAGTGACCTCAGGTGCGGGACGGGCTGGGAGATCTGGATGTCCCTGTGGCTTTCCCCGTTCCTGCCCAGTGTCCCCGAGTGGTCGGTCCCCTCAGCGAGGGCGCCGAGTGAACAGTGCGGAAGGCAGAGAGCCCGTGACAGCTTCCTTCAAAGGCGGGCCCTGGCCCCTGTCCCCTGTCAGCGTGAGCAAAGCCAGGGCCCTGGAGGAGACCAGGCTGGCCAGGCGCCTCCATCCCCTCCTCCCAGATAAGAGCGGTGACACATCTGGGTGAAGGAGCCCCCTTCTGTCGCCTGAGGAGCTCCTAGTTTTCAAGGGTCTCTCTGGACCCCTGGGGGGCTGTTAACAAGGGAAGTGCCTTTTATCCTGGACCTCTTCACGCCCCACAGAAGAAAGCGGCAGATTCCTCTCCACAGTTTGGGGACGAGTGTTAGTTGTTCCTTTCAGAGCCAGGCGGGTAAAGTTTTCCGTTATGTCGGTGAATGGCTGGGTAGACAGGCAGACAGACAGACAGGCACAGAAAGATAACAGTTGTTGTTGTTTTACAGTCAAGGAATTATTCTGTTAGGAGGACCCATAATCCTGGTCCCTAATTTTCTATGGAAAATGTAAATGAGCGATTTATGGCCTGGGTATTCACATGAATAATCAATGAGTCTCGATTTTCCTTTTGACCGAGATTGTAGCCTCTCAAGGGTGGGCGGTCCCCGGTGCTCGGGTTCCTCGGTGCAGCAGTGACAGTAAGGCCACGTGCCCCCCCCGTCCGCCACTGTTCCCCCGCACACTCGAGTGGGTGTGGAAGTGTGCAAGACAGGCACTGTGTGAACGTCCGCAGAGCGGAAGCACATTCACCGAGTTCTTAGGGCTCGTTTCTGTGACAGCTGTGCTGGATGTGCTCAGCGGGCACTTGGAGCTATTTACAGACAATTTGGCTGTCAAAGGTCACCACTGCCCAGACATACTTGTCCCAAAACGTGGATACCCACTTTCCACGTCAGCCCTTCACTGCACCGCCCCTTCCTTTTTCGTCAGCACTTATTTGATCTAAGGTCTCCTCCCTCAAAGACGCTGTCCCTGCACAGAGGACCGGGCAGGTTTCTGCTCGGGGAGGCCGCGGGCAGACCCCGAGGTCAGCCTCCTCGCCGCCGGAGGGATGTTGCCGCGCGCGCCCGGTTAGGAATCAGGCCTGTATCTCGGGGTTTGAACCCGGCGGCAAATCCTCAGCCCTGGGCTGCAGCAGACGTCAGGGCGGTGATCAGGGCAGAACGAGAGCAGTTCGTGAGCAGGTCAAGAGGTGGGGGTAAGGCCGCCTGGCCGCCCGCGCAGCCTGAGTGGTTTCGGTCGGAGGCGCCCCGGGTTCTGCGGATCATCCCCGGCTCCTCGCAGGCCAACAGCCCCGAGTTCATCAACTCAGGGAGGACACAGGTTTGAAAAAAAGTTTAACCAGCTAAGTCCCTTCTGTTAAATTCCTGGCAAACCAGGGGACGCAGTTACACAAACCTTGTACAACCCAGGGTGTTCCAGGTGGGTTTACGGGTTAATCTAAGCAGGGTCATGAACCTAAATGAAGTCGGTCAGGCACGGCCAGCCTGCCCACGGGGGCGGCCCGCACGTCTCTGGAGCATCTGCCCTTTGGGGGCTGGGGGGGCTGGAAGAGGGGGTGCTGGGGGCACCCACCCAGTCTGCCCACATCAGCACAGATGTGTGGGGTGGAAGCGGCCGGGTCTTCGGCATGTGCTCACGTGTGGCCAAGTCACGTGCCCCAACACACGGCTCAGAGAAGCGAGCTCTCCTTGGAACATGTTTATTGACACAAACATTGGCCTATCGCCTCCGTTCACATGAATCGGAACGAAACAAATATATGACTCGCAACACAGGAAACTGAAGAGGACACACAAGACACGCTCAGCAGCTCCAGGGACCCGGCGCTCGCAGGCTGGGGGGCGGGCTCCCCTCTCAGCCCACTCGCGGCAGCAGGAAGCAGAGCAACACCAGCAGGCCCCGGGCGCTGCGTCCAGGTGAGTGTGAGCTGAGCCAGTCTCTCAGGTCTGCAAGTTAAACCCCAGAGTGAGCGGGTAAGACCCTGCCTGGCAGACCCGCTCTCTGGGGTGGACAGGACATTCACGGCTGCTCTGACAAAGGCCCCTTTCAGCTCTGCCTGCTGCCGGGCTCTGCCCAGTGGGCTGGATGGGAGAGCGCCGAGCACGGCCTTGGGCACAGCTCAGGGAGCGTTTAGCTTTTCTGTCCGTTTCCTGGGGTCAGAAATGCTTGTGGGGCTGAGGACTTCGTTGTCATTAAGGCGACAGAGAGGGGTCTCAAGTGGCTCCCTGGAGCCCACCCACTGGAACAGCACCCACCACGGGCGAGCAGCCCAGGAGGGCTTGGCAGAGGGTCTGCCCTCTCTCAGGCAGCCCACCACAGTGCCGGTGCTGGCGGGGGCCAGGACCTGTGTGGGCAGCTGCCCCAGCAGCCCCCAGCAGCCCACAGCCCCACCGGCTGGCTCTGGACCACAGACATTGGTTTGCTTGTTGGTTGGTTGGTTGATTGATTGGTTGGTTGATTTGTGTCAGGAATGCATTTTTAAAACTTGAGTGTAAGCCCTGGCCAGTGCTATTTGGTTGGTTGGAGTGCCTTTCCGTAAACTGAAAGGTCTCAGGTTTGACTCCGGGCAGGGCCCAGGGCTGGGGTGTCTCTCTCTCATCAGTTTTCTCTACCCCTCTCAGAAATCGGGGGACATGTCCTCAGATGAGGACAAAAATAAAAAATTGGCCCTGGCTGGTGTGGCTCAGTGGATTGAGCACCAGCCTGGGAACCAAAAGGTCTCTGGTTCAATTCCCAGTCAGGGCACGTTCCTCGGTTGCAGGCCAGGCTCTCAGTAGGGGGACACATTGATGTTTCTCTCTTTCTCTTCCCCTCTCTCCAAAAATAAATGAATAAAATCTCTTTATTATAAAATAAAACCTTTTAAAGAAAGAAAAAGACATATGCATCCCTATGTTCATTGCAGAATTACTTACAAATAGCCAAGATATGTAAGCAGGCAACTGCCCATCAATGGATGAATGGAATAAGAAAATGTGAGTGTGTATATATATATATAATTATTCAGCTATAAAGGGAAATCTTGCCATTATTAATAATATGGATGGACTTTGAGGACATTATGCTAAATGAAATAAGACGGAGGAAGACAAATGCCACATGATGTCACTTATATGTAGAATCTTAAATGAAGAAAGGAACCAAACTCATACAAAAACAGATATGTGGTTGCCAAAGCTGGGGGCAGGGGGGGTGAGTGTGAGGGGGAGGGGTGTTGAAACGGGTGAAGGTGGTCAGTGTACAAGCTTCCAGTTATAAAGATAATCGTGGGATGTAAGGTACAGGGTGGCCAGCATGGCAGATAATAACGCTGCATTGTGAGTTTGAAAACGATAATACACTGTGTGACTCACAACAGATGTGACTTCCCCGAGGGACAACTCAGCCCAGTTTGCTCATTTCTGTGCCGCCTGGCACACGTGGATCTAAGAGGATCCAAGTGTGTAAAGAAGAAACTGCATGCACGCGTGGGCCGGGAGCACAGGACGCAGGTCCCCTTACCGCAGCGGCCGGGCGTCTGGCGGGGGAGGCAGTGCAGGGCGCCGAAGACGCACCTGCACAGCCGGCAGCCGCGCAGCGTCCAGGATCCGTGCACCAAGGCGCCGCACTCGCTAAGAGGCCGAGACACTGCGTTAGCATCGCCTGCGCGGCTGCCCCGCCCCGCGCGCCCTCGCCCCGCGCGCGCCCCCGCCCCGGTCCAGCCATCCGCCCGGCTCATCGCGCACCTGTGCCTCTGGTCGTGCTCGCAGTAGCGGCCGGTGAAGTGGGCGGAGCACACGCAGAAGCTGCCCAGCACGCAGGTGCCGCCGTTCATGCAGCAGCGCGGCCGCGGGGGCGCACCTACGGGGGTCGCCGGGGCGTCAGCTCAGCGCGCGGGCGCAGCGCCCTGCGTTAGATCCGCCGGAAGGGGGCAGGACGAGGTCGCCCGGGAGGCAATAACATTAGCCCCCTGCTAAGTGTGTTTGCTCAGGTAAAGCCAGCTCGCTCGTTAAAGGATTAGAAACAAGCTACCTGGGGTGAGGGCGGGTCAGGGACCAGTCCGAAGGCGGGACTCGAAACCCTGCCCCCAGCAAGCAGGGTTTTCTTTCTTCCTTTCTTTCACTTGTTAAATTCAGGCTGTGACACAGTGACAGTGATTGAAGACAGGCCTCCCGGGAGAGGGCCACCCACCGATGCAGTGACGCCACCCTTCCCCCCACGCTCCCCTCCGCCAGAGGGCCCCCCTGGAGACGTGGGGTCTGGAGCCCGAGAGAGTCCGCTGTTATCTTAGGTTGGGATATTGGTTTTCAATGCATTTCAATCAGCTCTCTGGGCCCGAGAAAAATACCCATTAAGAGCAAATGCAACGCTTTACCAGTGAAAGCGTAAAACTTCAGAGCCAAAGAACACCTCACTAGGAAGTATCATCACTGAAAGATGATAGGATGCTCTCTGTTGGGTTTCTCGTCTTAGCCTTAATATATCCCGGGGTTCTCAGCCCCTGACCGGACTCCGGGGGCTGAGATGATCGCCAAGGCCTTAAGGCCGTGTGGAACTCACGCTCTGGGGAAGCCCTGGCCTGGGAAAGCGCGTCCTGCGTGCTCCCGTTCACGTCCCTGAAGCTGTCCCACGTCCAGTTGAGTGCCTTCTGCTGGAGCCTCTGAATTGTAGCGTTGCTGATTTCTTCTCTGCTGCCCTCATGGTTCTCTCTCTGACAGCCTTTTAAAAACATTGCAAAGATGAGCCCTGGCTGGTATGGCTTAGTGAATTGAGTGCCAGTCTGCAAACCAAAGGGTTTTGGCTCGATTCCCAGTCAGGGCACATGGCTGGGTTGTGGGCCAGGTCCCCAGTGGGGAGCGGGCAAGAGGCAACCACACACTGATGTTTCCCTCCCTCTTTCTCCCTCCCTTCCCCTCTCTCTAAAAATAAATAAATAAAATCTTTTTAAAAAATGGATATGGGACTGATAATGATTGAGAAACAACTGTGCAATAAAAATTAAAATACTGTAAATGAAAGGCGTCTTACTGTTTCCCAAAGGAGCGCTCTGTAATGCCAGACTGACGGTAAACAGAAGCCTGGAATATTGGAAAAGAAGCATTGAAGTTTAAAATATAAAAAAAGCGTAAGCAGAACTCTACATACGTGTAAACTAACACAATCGCATATGTAATAAATATAAAGGTATATACAATGTTTAGGGGGCAGTATCATGCAATCACTCTGTAACTTACACACTTCACCATATTCTGCCACGCATGATGCGCATTTTTCCCCCCAAAGTTTTGAGGGGAAAAGGACTGCACACCACGGGTGTAATAATCCCAAGTACAATGCACGCAAAAATGCGGGTGTGCGTTGTGTTGTCATCACTTGGAAGATTTCGAGACCAAGAAGGCACACCATGCCTGATCGAGAGGGAGCGACCCTGCCCGTCTTTCTGGAGGCTTTTACCCCTCCCTCCCAGCTCTCAGATCCGGTGATCCCTGTGCTTACCTAACCGGGGTGCTGCGGGCCATCTTCCCCCTGACTCGGCCGGCGGCAGAGTCCGCACCTCTGGTCGGATGCCGTGAAGGTCAGTTTACCAGGAAGGGGCGTCTGGCGGCGTTTGTACTGGAAGGTCCTGGATCCACTGCTCGAGGAGACCAGGTGGGTGAGAACAGAGGACACAGGTAATTCCCCACCTGCGCCCGGGCCACGGGAAGCGACCTGAGCGAGACCTCTGAGTCTGCTGAGGGAGCCCTTCGGCAACAGCCCGTTGGGACTGTCCCCTCAGTGAGACCCAGCTGGGGGCCGGGGGTGGGGACAGGGCTGACTCTGCCCGGCCACGGGGACAGTGCAGACGGCAGCCAGAGCAGCAGGAGTGGCCAGCCCTGACGCAAAACACTGGTAACCAAGGCAACACCCCTTTCCCTCACTGGGGAGGTGGGGGTGTGGGAAACAATTAAAACCCAACACAAACAAATAAGTTTTCATAGGAAAATGGACATTTTGCATTGCTAGCTGCGTATCCCTGGAGATGGGAGGGGACCCGGTGGTGAAGGGAGCTGCTGTGTGGGACATGCCCAGCAGACACGGGTCCCAGAAGCCTGGAGTGGGGGAGACACTTCGACCCCTGCTGTCCAAGTGCCAACATTCCCGCAGACGCAGCCTTTTCTCTGTGCCCGGCGCGGTGGTCAGTGCACCGCATACTTCACCCGGGTTGCAAAGCCCGCCCTGGGGAAGCACTGCTAACAACCCCCACGGCACAGGTGAGGCAGGTACGGCCTGGCGTTTAGTTAGATCTTCCCAGGACAGGACGTGGGCAGATCGCGTTAGAGGCTCCAAGGGGACGGCCACCCCACCCCATCTTGGATGAGCCTCTCAGGGCCCAAGAAGGCAGTGGTCTGGGAGCCTCTTCTGCGACTTTGAGTCTCAGTTTTTCTTGTTGCCAAAATAGCGACTGGAGCCCTTTCACTGGCACCAGAGAGGGCCCCTTGCAGTGTGGGTGCAAACGGTTCTGTGATTTTAGTAGAAAAACTGCTTTCTAAAAATAGTGTGGTTCCTCCAAGGATGATATTGTCTTGGTTCCTGATTTAATTTTTTAAAGATTTTATTTATTTATTTTTAGAGAGAGAGGAAGGGAAGGAGAAAGAAAGGGAGAGAAACACTGGCCCACAGCCTAGGCATGCGCTTGACTGGGAATTGAACCTGCGACCCTTCGGTTTGCAGGATGGTGCTCAGTCCACTGAGTGAATGTTTAAACCTTTAAATGTGAGGTTCATTAGACAGGTTGTGAAACACATCAACGGTGCACCGGCGAGCCTGGTTGCGAGGAGGCCCCCATTGCCGGTTCCATGAGCTGTGGGGACCAGGGTGGGACCAGCGGAACCCAGAGGGCAGGACAGGCAGAGCGTGACACGGGCGCCTCCGTGAAACATCTGTAACTGGAGTCACGGTCAACACACTTTTAAACCGAGTTCTGCTGAGAACTGAGTAGTCACCACCCGTTAATCCCACAGTTCAGTTATACGTAAAAGTGAGTACCTGTCAGGGCTTTAAGTCACTGGGAACTTGTCTACAACCTGAATGGCTCTCCCACTAAAATGAAACTGTGTACAAGCTCAAGGAGTGTGTTATCCGAACAAGAAGTGTGAAAGCTGTTCGGTTGACAGGCTGCTACTGAATCCAAACCATTATCCAAACCAAACCAAATATTGCTAATGATATTGAAAGACGTAAAGTGGTGTCTAAGATGCAACTTTCCCTTACAGTTACTTTTCATTGAACGTGCATTGTGGACCTTTTCAGGTTACACAAAAGGCAGCTCGCACGTCCCATAAACCCGCCTGGGTTCCACAGTGAGATATCAACCTTCGCCAATCTCATTTATTTCTCCCCCGCACTTTTTTTTAAGGCAAATCTGAGACATCATGATATTTTTCCCCTGTCAAATAATGTTTTGAAAATAGGCACTTTGTCAAGGGGAACGACAGAAATAGGGACAGAATGGGAGGCCAGAAACGGCCCTGGAATGTCCCACCTCCACTGTTTGCTTAAGATCTGAAGTCAGCTCTCCGGACGGGGAGGGCTGGTGGCTGGGGGTGATCGAGTCGCTGCAGCCTCTTTTTCAGCAGCCTGTCACTCGCTCTCAGTGACTTAAAGGCCTCAGGAGAGCTTTGCTTTTCACTGCGGAAGAGCCCCGGTTTGCTTGCTTAGGGCGGGTGGCTCTGGAGCCGCTGCAGGCCAGGTGGCGGGAGGCGGACGCCCAGCTCCAGGGAGGGGCCTGGTCTCTCGTTATCACTTGTGAGCAGATAAGACCGGAGCCAACTCGGCGGTCAGACTTCAGCTCCTGTTGAGCTTCCCGGAGGCGTGTGGGAAGAGGGACACCCTGCCTCCGACCTGGAGGTTGCCCGCCCCTCCTCTGGGTCCTTAGCACATCAAACAATGGCTGATGGAAACGTTCTGCATCCAGTTAGGTGCGAAGGGATTGTCTGAGAGTGACTTTAAAGCAGGTCGGTCTGTGTGCGCTGCTCAGTGGGTTCTCACCCTGCAGGCCATTAGCTCAGAAACCCAGGCAGAGCTGAGAGCCACGGCAAGATGTTTTTTTCCTCATCAGCCCAGGAGACTGGTACACAGCCAAACCTGTGACTGTCTACGTTCTGCGTGGCTGGGTGCTCCTGAGGATGGGACGCTCCTTCCGAGCCTTTGACCCTGTGCTGGGTGCCCTGCCACACGGCGACGTGCCGTTTGTGTGCATGAAAGAATAAATGGGCTCTGATTGGTGTGGCTCCGCAGACTGAGCACCAGCCTTCGAACCAAAAGGTCGCCAGTTCGATTCCCAGTCTGGGCACAGGCCTGGGTCGTGGACCAGGTCCCCAGTAGGGGGTGCTCGGAAGGCAACCACACCTGGATGTTGCCCTCTCTTTCTCCTTCCTTTCCCCTCCCTCTGAAAATAAATAAATAAATAAATAAATACTTTAAAAAAGACTAAATGGATTATCATATTTAGAATCCACTGAGTGAAATTGAGGAAGAAGACAGCTTGGGGGTGTATGATGTGGGGGAGGAACAAACTTTTCTTCCCCCTCCAAGTTCTTCTGGCTGGTCTAATCGTGGGCGAGGTTAGCGAGGGAAAAGTCACCAAACTTAAGACATGCATATGTGTGGGAAGCCCACCCTCAGGAGAGGTACAGAGACAGAAAGGGAGGTGAGGGCATATAAGGCCATCTGCGGGGGGCGTGAGGCCGGCCGTGCACCTTGGGGGCCACAAAGGGCCACCGCAGGGTCGGGAGAGCAGATGTTCAGTGGAGAGAAGTGTGTTCTGCCTGCCAGACAGGCCAGAAGCAGTAAGTTCTCTCTCCTCATCGGTGTGGTGGGCAAGGCCCCTGATTCAAGTTCTCCAGGTCGCTGGGGGGCAGGGAGGGCAGAAGTTTCTCCTGAACCTGCAGCTGAAGTTCCCTTTAGCTCAAAATGATCTGCTTACCACAGAGGGACACCTTGGGGTGACTCGTTCTGAACCCCCCAAATTCCCTCCTTGGAAACTCGCCTGGAAATTTCACATTTCAGAAGTTAGGTTGGTAGATTCTTCGGTTTTTAACTAATTTTTATTTTTCATTTATAGTGGACACACAAAATTAGTTTCAGGTGTACAACACAGCAATTCGCCCTGGCTAGTGTGGCTCAGTGGACTGAGTGCCGACCTGGGAACCAAAGGGCGCAGGGGGAGGCGCCTTTGGTTCCTGGTGCAGCTGGAGGTCAAAGTTCTCTGCTCTGCCACCTGCACCATGGCAAAGCCATGGCTGCCTGGCTTGCGGTTTTGACCTGCCGCCTCTGAAAAGCAGCTGTGCCTGAGGGGAATGGGACCATTTTGAGTGGATTCTGCAGTTATAAATGGCTCCACTTTAGGCTTTTGGGCATGTTACACATTTTTTTAAAAAATAATAATTTATGCCCTGGCTGGTGTGGCTCAGTGGATTGAGCGTGGGCCTGAGAACCAAAATGTCGCTGGTTGGATTCCCAGTCAGGGCACATGCCGGGTTGCCGGCCACGACCCCCAGTAGGGGGCGCCCGAGGAGCAACCACACGTGGAGGTTTCTCTCCCTCTCTGCTTCCCTTCATCTCTCTAAAAATAAATGTAAAATCTTTTAAAATAATAATAATTTTTTATTAAATTCTACAAATAATTGCTGATTCAAAATTCTGCTAAATCCATGGGGGGGACCCAAATATTTTTTTAATGGGGCCCTACTCTCCATGTTGGTTTAAACAAGTAGGACAGGTGGCCGGCCAGGCCCAGTTAGAAGAAGGCGCGGGGCCCTCAGCGGCCCCAGACCGCAGGGCCTCCTGGGCGCGGCCCCATCAGAGAAGTTCGCTGACGATCAAAGGCTAAGCGGAAATTCCTTGCCCTCTTTCCCTTCTGAGCGCAGACACCCGCTACCTGGCTGCCTGCCGCAGCCTCTTTGTGCAGCACGTGCTATTTCTGAAGGTGATGAGGTCTGTGGGCCTGGGGTGAGTGAAAGCGGCAGGGAATGAAGAAACTGAAACAAAGTTTCACCTCTGCGCCAAACAGCTCTGCTCAGGGATTAAAAATAACGACCCTAGTGCCAGGCCCGGCCGCCTTCTGTCGGAGACCCTGCCGGTGAGACGGGGCAGCGGGCCAAGGCGGAGCCCGTCCGCTCTCCCAGGCCTTCCCTTCTCCCCACCGCGATTAGCAGCTGGGCTGCAGGCGCGGCTGTCTGCAGGGTTTGCTTCGCTGTGTTCCCTTTGCTCACACATGTGCAAGAACAGGACGGACCGCCCCTTTGGGGACCCTGCTGCGTTTCAATGCCAAAAAACACAGCCTTGGATGTTTAACAGACTGATGAGATACGCGATGCAAGAAGCAGCAGGTCGTTCCACTGCGCAGGCGCCAGAGAGTCCCCACCTCCACGTACTTAGACGTCACCTCCCCACCTTGGACTCCTTTCAAACCGTTCGGGCCTGCGTCTGGGGAGCAACCTATTCTTCTTTCCATCAGGGCTAACTCCCTCTTTCCCTACAAGGTTTTTTTTGTTGTTGTTGTTATTTTTAAAAGATTTTATTGACTTATTTTGAGAGAGCAGGGAAAAGGAGGGAGAAAAGGGGGAGAGAAACACTGATGTACCAGAGATACAGATGCAAGAGAGAAGCGTCCAATGGCTGCCTCCCACACACACCCCAAATGGAGGCTGAACCCACCACCCAGGTACGTGCCCTGACCACCAGGTGTCCAACAGGTGACCCTTTGCTTTGCAGGACGACACCCAACTAAGCCACACAAGTCAGGGCACACATGGGTTTGTAATAACCCTCTTGCCCGAGTACTAATTTTGGTGAACTCTCTGATTCCAGGAGTTCCCCAGAAACCCGGGCCCTGGGGACAAAGCAAACAGCACATGGAGAAGAGAAACAAAGTCAGAGAAGTGTGGGTGGCCCCGTGCTCCTGGCGCCCCCCGGTACGTGAAGTTTCCCGTCGCTGTCGGAACAAATGACTGAACTGGACGGTGTACAGCATTTCTGGGGGCCAGAGGTCTTACACTGAGGGGTCGGCAGGGTTGGCTCCCTTCTGAAGGCTGGGGGTGGGGTGGAGTAGGAGGGGGTTCAGGGGAACCTGTCCCAGGGCTCTCAGGCGGTTCACTGGCAGTTGCTGCTCTTCCTGGCCTGAGCATGCGTCAGCCCAGCCCCCGCCTCCCATCTTCAACGGCCTTCCCCTCTCCTTCTTTGTGTCTCCAGCCTTCTGTTGCAGGTTCAAGGTTCATGTGCCTGCTGCTTCAAAAAAAGGCCAATATTCAACAGATCAGCTTGTAGCAAAAGGAAAGGTTCGCTGATCAAAGACGCCTACCTCCAGAGGAGAGAACGAATTCTCAAATCCCGCTTCACGGTCTCCTGCATCAAGGGGAGGGAGGACGAGCGAGGTGAAGAGGCAGCCAGGCCCCAAAAAGGGGTCCCAGGGCAGCTCAGGGTTTCTAAATCCGCTGTTCTTGGTGGACCCCCACTGATGTGAGTCTGGTTCTGGAGCCATTACTTCGTGCATATTCCCCCCCTTCGCCCACACAGGCTGCTCAAGCCTCAGGGGCGTATCTATAGCGGGAGCTATTAGCCTGAAGGTCATCAGAGAGCGCAAGGATTTCACACATATCCTTTCCCTCTCTCTTTTTAAAAGATTTTTTATTTGTAGAGAGAGAAAAGGGAAGAGAGAGAAATATCAAGGTGTGGTTGCCTTTCGCATGCCCCCAACTGCAGACCTGGCCCACAACCCAGGCCTGTGCCCCAACTGGGAATCAAACCTGTGAATTTTTGGTTTGCAGGCCAGCACTCAATCCCCTGAGCCACAGCAGCCGGGGCTCCTTTCTCTTATGATGATATAAGTCATTGGACTTGAGGCCCATCCAAAACCCAGCATGATCTCAAAGTGTTTACCTGAATTACACCTGCAAGACCCTGTGTCCAAGTCAGGTCACCTGCACCCCAGAGCTAAGGTTTGGGCACAGGTTCTGGGGCTCATGTTCCAAGAAGAAAGACTCTTAGAGCCAAGAGCTCTGCCATAAGAATTTTATTTAGAACATCATGGAGGTAGAAGTGAGCCAGCTGGGCTGCATGGACTCAGGCAACAAGTCACAGAAACAAAAGAAGGACCCTTGCAGTTTAGGAGAAAGGCAAGGTGCACACCTGCGGGAAGGGGGCGGCACGGAGGTAGGGAGAGAAAACAGGAGCCCGCAGGCTCCTTAAGGAGAGCTTATTGAGATCTTAAGGGCTTTAATTTGTTTTCCAAAGGTGGGGATTTTAGGGGCGGTCTCAGGAGAGGATCTCTAGAGTTTTCATCAGCTTCCCAGGGGTGTCCCCAAAGGGTTGTGGTCCCTACCGGTTTGAGGTCTACCTGTCTAGCTTGGATGCAGCTGGCCAATTGGCTTGAAGTTCATTTGTCTCTGCTGAGGATAATCTGCCGAACTGGGCACCCATCTGTCTGACTCAAGGTTCGCCCACCCGGTGGGATCCTGTCTAAGGGGCAGGAGGTTCCTCTGACCAGCAGGGGTCTGTCTGAAGGACCCACTGACCCGCACCGTGTGCCCAGTTGGGAGACGGTCTGGAGAGGAGGGATTCTGCCTGGCTCCTGATGCTCACCTGAAGACCCTCCCGCCCGCCCATCTGGCCCACTGACGGCCTGAGGTCTACCTGGCTGTCTTTCCCACAGGAGGTACGTCAACTTCTCTGCAAAATGTGGGTTTCGTGAGGTTGGAGACTTGCTGGGGCCTGCCCACTTGTCGCGGTCCACCCATCTGCTCAGCTGGGAGTTGGCTGGCTGATTGCAGTGTCTTTCGGTGGAGGGTCCACACAGCAAGCTGGGAGACGGCCCACCGAGCAATGAGTCTGGCTGGCGTGTGTCTGCTCAGCTGCAGACGTCTGTATCTGTCTGGGAGTCTGTTCAGCTGGGGATCCATCTGGCCTGTATCCGTCTGTCTACCTACCGGGGGAGGGGAGGGCTCACATTCTGCTGGTCTCTCTTGCTGGGGGTGGCTTGTCAGGCTGTTTACTGGTCTCTCTCTCTCTGGCTGGAGATCCTTCCACCCGGGCTGGCTGTCTAGGGGTATGTCTATCTGCCTATCCAGGTCAGGCGTCCATCCGTCTGTCTGTCCATCTGAAGATCTTGTCACCTTCTATCTGACATCGGCCTACATGGCTTTGTCATGCCAGGCCCGGACCTGCTGCTGCGGGGTCTCCCTGTGGCATCAGCTGCATGACGGAGGGAGGGAGGTTCCGACACTGAACTCCTCTTTATTACGTGGTGACGGGGACAGTCTGCAGGGGCCCGTCTGTGCATCCTCCCCTTCACAATTGGGAGGCACCTTGGGGTCAAATCCATTCCTGGTGTTCATCCTTCAACTGCCCAGGGCAGCCCGGGCAGCTGTCGTCTGGCCACCTCCCCTGGTCTCAAGCCTCGAAGTGTATAGTCACAGGGACAAAGTCCCCACATTTCCCACCCTGAGAAATTTTATTTTGATTTAGGCCTAGCGTTCCGGTCCCCAGTAGAGCACAGCCTTCAGTGGTCCAGGCACCCACGTGGAGCAGCAGGAGGGCTGGGAGCAGCCCTCACGCCTGGGTCCACTCTGCAGGAGGGTCCCGGGGCCCTTTGGGCCTCCCGATGCGCAGGTTGAAGCCTGGGGAAGGAGGAGCACAGTGGTCTCAGGGAGAAGCTGAGAGGCAGGCAACTTGGGTAAGGCCACCCCCAAGCCTTCAGGCTCCCCTGGTTCACTGCAGCTGCATCCACAGCGCCCCGGAATTCGGTCAACGCTGCAGAGTCCCAGCCACTTGGGCTTCGTCTAACTTACCCAGACCACCCGTCTGAGCTCCATTGGCCACATCCTCATAGGCGCCAGGCCCAGTGGGGCCAGGGTCAGCAGGAACTGCAGACAGGAAACCAGCCCCCCTATGTCAGTTGAGGCAGGGAGTAGGGGGTGTGGGGGAGGGAGAAGAGGCGGGTGGGTCCCAGAGCTCCCCCCAGATGAGGTGGCTTCCCGAAGAAAGGTCCCCAGCCAGGAGCCTGCGGCTTGGACTGGGACATTTCCGGTAGGACACTTCCGGTCGTCACCTGAGCGCTGGTAGCAGCCCGGCGGGGGCCAGGCTGGCTTGGGGACGGAGGCCCAGCAAGAGGGTCCCCAGAAAGAAGTGGGGCGCGCCCTCCCCACCTGCCTCCAGCCGCCCGACTCACCTCGGCCCAGCAGCGCCCCCTGCGCGTCCTCCGCCGGTGTTTGCGGCCGGCGAGCGCGCGTCATCACCTGGCTGTAGACTGGTTCCCCCTCCGGGCTGGGCGCCGCGGCCTCCGTCCGGGTGCTGGGAGGAGCTTTGCGCTTCTGCACCACCGCGTACGTGTCGGCCATGGCGAGGGCTTGGAGCACCGAGAAAGCCCAGCTCCTTCTCGAGACACGCCTGCCCGAGGGGCGGAGGAGAGGAAGTGAAATCGCCGCCGGAGGGAGGGCCTGGTGGAAACCGCACCGGGCGCAGCTTCCTTTCCGCGGTCTTCCTTTCTGCCCGGGGCACACGGTTGGGGTAGGGGAGTGGAGAAGGGGACGGCTGTAGGGGAGAGATTGAGGTCACTGGGCAGGGGTCTCTCCTTTCTGTGTCCCCACTGCTGTGGGGGACAAGGGAAAGGCGTCAGCCTGGCAGGGGATGAGCCAGGGTGTTGGTGTTCCTGTTGGTGAAGAGTGTGATCACTTTGTTGTATGTCAACCCGGAGAAAGCAGACAACTCCTAAGATGAGCTCCTAGTGGTTCTGATTTCAAAAAAAGAGTCTACCAAACTTTCCTGCTAAGGGACCTCCCCCCAAACAGCCTCGGAGAGAAGTTCACACTGTTCCGGTCTATAGAGGAGCTCCTGGGATTCTACTTCAGCCAATGAGAGTGAGGCTTTCCCTGTCCAATTGGAACGGCACCTCCGACCAGAGTTGCTCTGTTTTGTTGGATCAGGTTCGTGCCTTCTGGGCCAATCAAAATGTGAGGATTTGGAGTCTTCATTTGTGTGAGGGCAGACCAATCAGGGGCCGGGGGTGGGGACTTCTGGCTATATAAGCGAACTGCCTTCCAACCTTGTGAGTGTGTCGTATTTTTTTTTTTTTACGGACAGTGTGGGAGGGTTGCTAATGACGGGGAGTTAAGGGAGCGAGCGACAGTGTAAGAGAGCACAGCAACTATAGCCACAGAGGCAATGGGGTCTCTGGGGCTAAGGAGTCACGTTGGTGGGTGGGTCCCTAGAGCTCAACTCAAAAAAAAAAAAAAAAAAAAGGCCAGTGAAACGGTAAGAAAGGGGTCAGGTGTTTCAAGTGTGAGGAAGAGATTAAACTCTGAGCTTGCAGGAGAAATGGGAAAGGAGGCAGGAGGGCCCGGAGCTGGGTGCCTGAGGAGTCTCCTGACAGAAAAACCTGTCTTTTCTTTCTCCAGAGCCTCTTGCTAACATACGGGGGAGACTTGCCATGCAAATGAGACTCTACCACACCCTAGATGACATGCGTGTGGCCCCCCCTGGAGAGAACGGCCTTTGAGTTGGTAAATTCGTCCCTTCTAGAAGAAAAGTGAAAAAGTGTGGCTGAAGCACTTTGAGCTTAAACTGATGTACAGAGAGGGGATAAGGGCACTAATTTCTTTAGACACAGAACCAATGAAAATAACTTACAAAGAGAATAAGCCATGGTAAAGCATAAAACATTACCGGTTGTGAAAAACATAAGGGATGAAACCAGTAATAAGTTAGAAAAATGAGATAACTTTAAAAGACCACTCTGTAAAGAAAACGTATTTGATAAAATGACCAATAGAGACTTGTTCAAGATCTTAGAAAAGTGAATTTATTACTCCCTTAACATTAACCTCTCTGGTCCGTGACTGCAATCCTGACTGTATTACTGCCCGGTGGTCATCCGCAGTTTGTCTGGTTGAGGGGTTATTTTTTCCCCCACCCCGCTTGCTGATAAGTCTAAATTCTGTTTATGGAGTTTCATAGTTAAAGCAAAATATTCTCCAAAGATTGGGGGCCTATTCAGTTTTCTCTAGTCACTTAGAAGAGAACTTTCCGTCTCCCGAGAAATCTACAATTAACCTGTGTATGGGCGGATAGGGTAGCCTCCGAAACTGACGCCTTGTTTCAGGATTGTAAGGCTTTCCTAGACAAATCACAATACTCTGAAACCTCCACATACACCTGGTGATTGTCTTACGCGTGGGGACCTGACAGCTCGGGACACTCAGGCCTGGTGTTGCCACTGCCTAGGACAGCATAGGCCCGCTGTGCCGGCTTGCTGCAGAGCTGTTACGGGGGGCTGGCACTGTCCCTGGGGAGCCCGGGCCCTGTGAGAGAGCTCATCGTCTGGGGGTGCTGGTGGTCCCTCTGTGTGCCGGCTCACAGGCACACCTCCACTCACCACGGACACAGGGACGCTTTAGCAACGCCCCACACTCTCCTTAGTTTTGCTCTTCCTGGGCCCACTTGCCTAGCACATTGTACCCAGGGCCCTGGTTTCACACTGGGGCGGGGGGGGGGGGGGTTGTCGGGACCCTGCATGATGCACACGAGCTGCTGGGGGAGTGAGTGATGGCAGATGGGACAGGGCTCTTACTGGGGTATGGGGAGGGAGAGGCCGCTGCAGAAGCCCCAACTGGTACACGAGGCAGCACCGGGGCATTCAAGGGGAGCAAGGGGTAGGACCTGGCCGGGTGCCCCTGAGTTCAGGGCTTTCCGGGACTCTGCCCCTTCCCGCAGCCTCAGTTCTCCGGTGAAGAACGTGCCATTAAAACTTTTGCAAGTTAGGGAGATTCCAGAACGCCTACAGAAGCAACTGGTGGATCTTTCTCCTGCCCTTTCACCCTCTAAAAAGTGCAATCTTTCAATAAAACGAAAAGAAGCAAGGTGCAAACCACTTTTATTGTCTTGTGGCCTCCACTATGTTAAAAAAAAAAAAAAAAAAAAAAGCACGAGTATCATTCTTTCCAGGTGCCTCGGAGAACCCCACACAGAAAGGCTCCCGCGGGAGCTTCCTGCGTTTCACGGGCCCAGGCCTTCCGGCTGCCTCCACCCCTCGGGGTGGGTGGCATTTCCCGGGACAGTCTGGAGACAAACGGGCGGTGGTAGCTCTGTTGGCTACACCAGGTCCCATTTTGGGGGCCGCAGCAGACACCACCAGTGGGTTGCATAACTAGCAGGAAAACAATGGACACCCTTCCTCGTCGCATTGGCTCCGGGGCTTTAGAACCCGCAACGGTAACTCTACACGGCACTTGTCGCGTCTAAGTAGCGGCTCTTCTTTCTGGGAAAACGAAGCAAAATCCTCAACCCCGTCTTCAACGCCCACAAGGCAATGTCTGAAGGGAAGACCATAGAAGGTCAAAAACCAGCGGCCACTCTCCCCCACCCCCAAAAAAGCAGGCCTCTCTCGCACTCGGCCCACCCACGCGAAAAAGTGGTCAAGCAGAGCCAAAAACAAGCCGACCCCACGAACACTAACTTACAGGTCCCAGCACCCGCGGTCTATCTTTGAAAACCAGAGAGAGCCAGGGGAGAGCGCGAACGCAGTCCCCCACTACCACAAATTATGCAGTCGAGTTTCCCACATTTGGGGAAATCGCAGGGGTCAGCACATCCGGAGTGCAATGGATAAGCCTCGCCCTGGGAAAACCACCTTCATGATCATGGTGTCTCCCCTGCCAGGTAAGTATGAGTTGTGCTGCCCGCCTCCGCCGCACCCTCACGCTCGCCTCACTTTACACACACGGCCACCGGCCGCGCGCCGCCGCCGCGCCTCCCTACCCGAGCGCCCCGACCTCTACCCTCGCCCACCGCAAAAACAGCCTCGGGGCGTCTGGATCCGGGACGCAGGGGGAGCGGGCGCAGTAGGACCGACAGCCTCTGCGCGCCTCTTCATCTGCATACGCCGCGCGCCGTCGTCACGTCCCCGGCGCCCAGTCTTCCGGTCTGAACCCAGCGGCCAGGCGCAGGTGGCGCCCGGCACACAGCGGTCCTGGCCCCAGACAAGCGGTCCTGGCCCCAGACAGGTTGTAGGTCAGGGCTCGGGCGTGGCCTCGCCTTCCTTCCAGCAAAAGGGAAGTCCCTTCCGTTTTTGTCGGCCGTCTTAGGGCCTGAAGGGCAGGGTTGAGGCCCGAGAGCGCACCGGGAAGTAAGGGGCTAGGCCCTCACCAGCCCCAAACGGGAAGAAACGGCTATGCTGGGGTCAGAGGCACGTGTGCCGGTCACCAAAACCCACTGCTCCCCTCGCCCCATCCTCCTGAAGACCCCAAGCCCGGTTCCCGAGGATCCCAAACCTCCACCTCCCTCGGGGGCCAAAGCCAGTGATGGGCTAAGGTTCTGACTTCGGTCCCGGTCGGCAGGTCTCCGCTGGTGGGGACGTTAGATGCGGGGGGGGGGGGGGGGGGCTCCCTGTAGCTGCACAGCAATAGACTCTTCCCGGAGCCTCTGGTCAGACTGCGGTGTCCCAGCCTCCTCGGAACCCGCGGGACCCCAGCTCCGGGGGTCTCCACTCAGCAATGGTGCACGCCCGGTGCCAGACACTGGTCAGGGATTTGGGAACAAAAGCCTTCCTAGTGCTTACGGAAGGAGGAGTGGGGCGGGAGAAAACTAACAGTGGACGCAATAGGTAAATTAATTCGTGTGGTAGATGTTAGGAGCGGGGGGGGGGGGGGGAGAAAGAAAGGGAGGGAAAGGGGGCCCGGGACGCGCAGTAAGGGGCAGAGGGGTGTGCTGAACCGAGTGGCCAGAAGAGGCCAAAGCGAGGAGGCGCCAAAGGAGCAAAAGGCCTGCCCGAGGGGAGGGGGTCGGTCCCGGACGCCTGGGGGAAGGGCGTCCTCAGGGAGAACAGCAGGAGGAGCAAAGCCCCGGTTAGACTGCCATCGGGTCCGGTCGGAGCCAGGTCACCCGCGCCTCGTAGACCGTTGTGAAGCTTTAAACCTGAGCGAGCCAGCAGGTTTTGAGCCCAGGAACCTGCTTGAGCTGATTCCCCGCCCCCACCCCGAAAACCGGCTCTGGCCGTAAGGGCGGCGAGGAACGCCGCAGAAGATCAATAAGAGACTGAAGGCTGGCTTACGAGTTTTTGGCATAAGGTTAATTTTGAACTAAAGGCACTAAAACACCAGGAGGTGGCCCGGCCGTCCTCTGCCACCCGCCGCCGCCGGTTCGCCAGCGCCCCTCCCCTCCCCTTTCTACCCGGTTCCTGGCCACAGGTCACTGTCGTCCCTCCATCTCCCCCCCCAACCCCAGTCCCCTCCCCGTAGAAAGGGGCACAAGGAGGGGAAATTAGGCCTCAGGTGAGGCCGGGCCACACGTCCTGAAAAACCGTCGTCGCGGGGCGGAGCCGTCGCCTAGCCCCAGTCATCCGCCCGCAAAGGGGGCGGTGGCCAGTGCCCGGGGGCTTCAAAGGGGCCGCCGGACACCTCGGGGCTTGCACTGCTTCTGGGCGCCAGTGTCTTGGCGTCCCTGAGCTCAGGAAATAGTTAAGACCCAGGCTGGGCAGCGTGCGCCCTTCGACAGCTCAGCTGGCGAAGCGGAAGACTGTAGGCCAAGTGCGCGCGGACATTCTTAGGTCGCTGGTTCGAGTCCTGCCGAAGGAGGTGCCTGCTGCTTTTTGCACCCCCGCCTGAGTCCCAACTCGCGTGGCCATGTTGTAGACAACCGGCGGGTGTATACACACTCTCGGAGCCAAAAATTAGTTTGGAAGAATTTAATTTTTTTTTTGCCAAGGGGTCAAATGAAAAAATCTTTGGCCAAGCTTTACCTGGGCAGGGGCGAACTTCCCAGATGTGACCGGAGCCACGTAGCTACTCAGAGCTACCAGATGGAAGTCGCGCCTGGCTTACAGACTACGGGGCTTTTATAGGGCAGAATAAGCAAGCGCGGGCTTACAGAAGCAGATGTAACGGTTAGCTATTTGCTAAGTTGAAAACGGCGAAGGTCCCTGATTGGTGGGTGCTGATGCTGGCGGGCATCTTCTGGCGGGCCCTGGTTAGTTACCTTATTTGGCTAGGACTTTGAACCCTACCGTTCCCAGATGTTTGTTCATTGCCCAGTTCCAGGAACTGCAGATGCCTAACGGCTGTCTGTATGTTTCCACTAGTAATGGCTATTACATTCCCCCCTCCAGTTAAACCGGAGGTTTAGCAGTTAAACCACTGACTGCTGGTCATCTTGAGGCAGGATGGTATATGGTTGGGACAATACCATAAGTTTAATGGCATCAATTCTATCTCTAATAAAAGCAAAGATTTTGTTTACAATCCAAGGTCCTATAGTTAGGGCAAGCAATAGGAGAAGCACAGGGCCGACTAGCGCTGATACGAGCGTGGTCAGCCAAGGGGAAGCTTTAAACAGAGAGGCATACCACGAAGAGGTCTCTTCCTCTTGTTCTCTTTCTTTTAGTCTTTTGGTTAGCATTTTTATGCTTTCTCTGATTACCCCCGAATGGTTGGCATAAAAACAGCACTCTTCTCCTAAGGCTGCCATAGTCCTCCTTGTTGAAGAAACACAAGATCGAGCCCCCTTCGGTTCTGAAGTGCTACCTCAGCTAAGGAGTCTACTTGGCGTTCTAGGTACATTACTTGTTCCTGGAGCAGGGAGACGTCTTTAGAGAATGTCTGCGATAACTGTCTAAGGTTATTCTCCCCATGGATTAGTGCCCCCGCTCCAACAGCTGCTGATCCAATTATGCCAATAGTGGCAGCTATGGGTATGAGCAATGGAGTCCGCTTGACTCTGGAAGGGGGTCGTAGCACAAAGTTTGGGTCCCCTCCATATAGGTATACTTGGGGAACAATATATGCACTAACACAAAGTTCTGGGTTAGTAGGAACTAGACATTTAAAAATACCTTGGGTACGTATAAACCATAGCCCTTCTGGGGCTCTTGTTATAGTCAATGTTCCTGGGGTCTCCGGTATGTGTACTTGGTTGAGACAGTAATCTGCATAATTCGAATTGTTGAGGGTGAAATTAGCTAACAAGTAACAGGTTCCCTGCCCACGAAACTCTGCCAAGGTGATGGTACCTTCAAATTCACATTGTTCGAGACCTTTCACCTGTCTTTGCCCTGGGGGAAGTTGCATTGTGATGGGAGTGTTATTTCCCCCTGCGGAGGAGTTGACCCCCAGGCCAACATAGAATGGGGGCCTTGGGCTAAGGCATAACCAACAGGACTCAGTAATGTTTGGCATGGTATGGTTAAAATATGGAAACACCTGTTCTAAGAGGCTTAAGGGCCGGCTCTCCTTGATGATGAGGCCTGCCTACCAGGGGTGGTGGGCTACGGAGGGGTGGCCTGGGGTTCTCTTCTTCCTCTCTAGGCTGTGCTGGGGCCTCAGTTTCCCCGGGAGGGGGTCCGGTTCCTTTTAGGTCAGGAGAGCGCGTAGCTGCTAGGCCTGCAGTTGGACTGGGCGGGCGAGGTGGCAGCCTGCCCGCCGCTCCTCTCAGGAGGGGCCTTCCCCTGGTGGGTAATCTCTTTACAGTGAAGAAGGTTCCTGGGTCTCTCCCCGCGACATACAGGCGGATGCCCCAGGTTCGCCCTCTCACCCACTCGGGGTCTTTGGGGTTTAAAACAGTTATGACAGTTGGGTTGCAATTGTTTGTGGCGCAGTTCTGATCCCATCCGCCCGCAGGTTTTCGTCTCTTATCCCTTAAGAGGGTGATAGCTTTATCCTTCCCCGCTCCGGGACTCCACCCCCCATCGGTGAGAGTCTCACAACCCCATGCTTTACAGTAGAAATCTCCATGGGACCCACAGGTTCTCCTCCTTCCTACTGGGGGTTCTGGACACCCGTAAAACGGGGTCTGAAAAAGGGCTTTATTCTTTATATTTGAGTCACAGTTGGTAACGGCTCCCATTGCATATCCTGTTTCATCTCCTAGTCGCCCCCAATCAGTGTGTCTCCAAGCAGCAGGGGAGTCACAGAAATGGTTATCGAAAAACTTGGAGAAGTCTGCATGTAGAGTCACTGGGCCTGTATCCCAAGTAAAATTAGTGGCAATGACTGTGCCATCTGCTGTCCTTATGAGTACCCACTCCTGCTGTTCTAGGCCTTGGCTTAGAGCTTTCCCGTGGTTCATGGACAGAGTCACTATAATCGAGAACAGTCTTACTGTTTTAGGAACATTAGGCGCAGCGGTCGCTCGTGATCTCTGCTGACTCGCCATGTGTCTTGATGTTCCCTAGGAGGCTGAGCTGGCTCTGTGTGTGATAGATGAATCCAGTAGGGTTTTTCTGCAACTCGCACTGCGGAGAGGGTGCTGAGCAGGACCTGGAAGGGGCCGACCCACCGTGGCTCCAGGTTTCCTCGCCGGTGGTTGAGGATCCACACCCACTGGCCGGTTCAGGAGGAGTAGGCCACTGGGTCGTCTCAGCTGGGGGCTGGTGTCGTAGAGACCGAACCTCTTTTCGTATCTGCTGTAGAGCCTGGAGGGACTTAAGGTAGTTAAAGTTGGAGTTGGCTATCTCCTCAACTGAGAATTTTGGTATTATGGGAACAGGTTGCCCAAACATGATTTCATATGGGGTCCAAGACCCCACGTAAGGGGTACACCTTACCCGGAATAAGGCAAAAGGAAGAAGCTCGACCCAGTTTTCGCCAGTCTCTTCTTTTAATTTAATAATAGTCTCTTTTAGAGTTCTGTTCATTCTTTCTACTTGTCCTGAACTCTGGGGTCTATAAACACAATGGAGCTTCCATTCAATCAGTAATTTGCTGGCCAATTCTTGGGAGACCTTTGAGACAAAGGCCGGGCCATTATCTGAGCCAATAACTAATGGAAGCCCATATCTGGGGATAATTTCTCTCAGGAGTAGTTTGCATACAACGGAAGCGGTCTCCCCCTTAGTGGGGAAGGCCTCAGTCCAACCTGAGTAAGTGTCTACTAATACTAAGAGATACTTATACCCAGATTTTCCTGGTCCCATTTCAGTGAAATCTACTTCCCATAACTCACCTGGACTCTTACCTCGGTACCTTACCAGGGGAGGATACTTCTTATTCTGGGCATTTACCTTAGCGCATGTCTGACATCTAGTGGTTATTGACTGAACTGTATCTCTTAACTTTGACCCTGTATAATATTTCTTTATTAACTGTTCTAATCTGATCTGGCCCAGGTGGGTGCTCGCATTCAACTCTTGGGCTATTGTCCTTAAGACCCCTTGGGGAAGGAAGATCTTGGAGTCAGGTAACACAATTTGCCCTTTAGAGTTCTTAACTCCCCCTGCCTTTAGACCAACTTGCTCTTCTTCAGGGGTGTAGATAAGTTTTGGGGGGATTTCGAGGCGTGGAATGAGTGGAAGAACAACTACTTCTCCCTCCGCAGCTTTCCGAGCAGCGACGGCAGCCAAATCGTTTCCCCTGATGATGGGTGACTCACCTTTCTGATGCCCTCGGCAACGTATTATGGCTACCTTAGCGGGGAGCCATATAGCTTCCAAGAGGGCCAGGATCTCTTCCTTGTTCTTAACTTCCTTCCCACCGGCAGTGAGGAGGCCACGCTCTTTGTAAATGGCTCCGTGGATGTGAGCGGTGGCGAAAGCATACCTGCTGTCGGTGTAGATATTAGCGGTCTTACCTTCTGCTAGACGCAGAGCCTGGGTCAGGCCAATCAGTTCAGCTCGCTGGGCTGAAGTTCCAGCTGGCAACGCCTTCTGCCAGATCACCTCCGTCTCAGTGGTGACTGCCGCCCCTGCTAGTCGCTGCCCTTCCCGCATGAAGCTGCTTCCATCAGTAAAAAGAACTAAATCAGGCTGGTCATAGGCCTGGTCCCGTAAATCGGGTCGGGAACCAGTGATAGAGTCTAATACCCATGTGCAGTTATGGGTTACGGCCGCGTCTGGTAAGGGCAACAGGGTCGCAGGGTTCAGGGCGGTTGTTTTAACGAACTGCACAGCTGGAGGATTTAGGAGCTGAGCTTGATACTGAGTCAGTCGGGCATTCGAAAGCCATCTGTCTGGGGGTGCCCGTAAGACCTGCTCTAGATAGTGCTCTCCGATTACCTGAATGTCTTGGCCTAAGGTGAGCTTGCTTGCTTCTTTGACTAACACAGAGGTGGCCGCTAAGGCCCTCAGGCATGCTGGCCAGCCAGAAGCTACAGGGTCAAGTCTCCTTGATAGGTAGGCTACAGGTCTTCTCCATGGACCGAGCTCTTGGCACAGCACCCCTAATGCAGTTCCTTCTTTCTCGGCTATGAATAGTTGAAATGGCTTAGATAGGTCTGGCAGAGCTAGTGCCGGGGCCGCAATGAGGGCCTCCTTCAGGGCCTGGAAGGCCCTTCTTGCCTCGCTAGTCCATTCAAACTTCTCTTTCTTTCCCCGGGTTAGCTGGTGTAGTGGTCGGGCCAACTCTGCAAAACCTAGGATCCAAAGCCGACAGTATCCTACTGCTCCGAGAAACTCCCGTACCTATCTCTTGGTGGTAGGTTCTGGGATTTGTAGGACTGTTTGAATCCTCTGATTGGATAAGGTTCTTTGCCCATTCTGCAGGCTATACCCCAGGTAACTTACAGTTTGAGTCACAATCTGGGCCTTCTTGGCTGACAAGCGGTATCCCATCTTCTCTAGGTCTCGGAGTAGGTCCTTAGTAGCAGCCTCGCACTTCTCCGCACTCCTCTCCGCAATGAGGATGTCGTCCACATACTGCAGGAGTACTGTCATGGGGTGGGAGATGCGGAAGGCCTGCCAGTCCTTACCTAGGGCCTCACTGGAAATGGTAGGTGAGTTCTTAAATCCTTGTGGTAGGCGCGTCCAGGTGTACTGGCCTACTAATCCATTTTCAGGATCATTCCACTCGAAAGCAAAGATCTCTTGGCTTTGACGGGCTAGCGGTATGCAAAAGAAGGCGTCCTTTAAATCTAGTACCGAGTAGTGAGTATGAGTCGGGGGCAAAGAACTCAGCAGGGTATATGGGTTGGGCACCGTGGGATGTATAGTCTCTACCCGCATATTTACTTCCCTCAGATCTTGAACTGACCAGTAATCTGCCGTCCCGGGTTTTTGTACTGGTAACAAGGGAGTATTCCAGGCTGACTGACACTCCCGTAGAATACCTGCTTTTAGAAGTCGCTTAAGGTGTTGGGCGATCCCCTGCCGTGCTCGGCTGGGTACTGGGTACTGTCTCACTCGAATTGGGCTGGCAGTGCTTTTCAGCTGGACTAGCACTGGAGGTTGGTGGAGTGCTAGGCCTGGTGGATTAGTCTCTGCCCAGACCCCGGGAATCTCAGAGAGGAGGGTTTCTGGTACTCCTTTCTCCTCCTTACCTTCCTGGAGGGTTGCCAGCAGGTATTCTTCTGAGAGTGGCACAGTTACCTCTACCCGGGCGGGTCCTGGAACATTGGTCCCTGGGGCCTCAGTCTGTTTGAAAGTGATAGTGGCCTGAAGTTTCTGCAGTAAATCTCTCCCGAGCAGCGGGTAGGGACAATCCGGAACCACTAGGAACGAATGGGTTATGGTGCCCAGCCCCAAGTCTGTGACCCTGGCAGTAGTCCATGGGTAAGATTCCTCTCTGCCCGTAGCCCCTATGATCTTGGTAGTTGTCTTTTGTGCCTTTCCTTGTGGTTGCTTTAAGACTGAGAAAGTGGCCCCCGTGTCTATTAGGAAATTTATTGGCTTCCCTTCAACGTTCAGAGTGACCATGGGCTCCTGGGGGCCAACTGGTATAGAGCCCCGCGGGGGTCCTTTCCTCTAACCCGATTGGCCTGGCTCTGCGTTTAGGGCAATCTCGTTTCCAATGTCCTATTTCCTTGCAGTAGGCACATTGATCTTTGTTTAAGGGAGCTCGCCGTTGCTGGGCTCCATCCCTACCTTTCTCCCTCCGGCCAGGTTTCTGAGCTGCTATGAGGATCTTGGCTACTTCTTTTGCTCTACCTATCTCTGGGTCACCTCTGTTCACGTAAACTTTCTGAGCAATTTCTAACAGTCTGCTTAGGTTTTCTCCTTCAAAACCTTCAATCTTCTGTAGTTTCTTCCTAATATCTGACGTCGCCTGTGTGACAAAGGCAATATTGACAAGCCTGCGATTTTCTGGCGCTTGGGGGTCTAGGGGGGTATACACCCGGTAAGCCTCTAGAAGCCTCTCTAAATATGCTGCTGGGGATTCCTCTCTCCCTTGGGTGACCTCACTTACCTTACTGAAATTGGTTGGCTTTCTGGCTGCCGCTCGCACTCCCCTCAGGAGAGCTCGGCGATACTGGAGTAGAGCTTCCCTCCCCGCACTTGAATTTGCGTCCCAGTTCGGAGGCTGGTTGGGGAGTATATCCCCAACCCCCCTCCGGTTTCCTCCCAGTCCTTCCTCTTCCTCCCTCACAGCTTTTTCTGCCTCTCGGAGGATTCTCTCTCTCTCTTCAGAGGTGAAGAGTCTGGAGTACCTGCTGGTAATCATCCCACGTAGGCTGGTGGGTCCTAAAAGCGGTCTCTAGGAGGGAGATTAGGCCCTGGGGCTTATCAGAGAACGGAGGATTCTGAAGTTTCCAATTATATAAATCGCTGGTGGAAAAAGGGACATAGACTAGACGAGGGGGAGTCAGGGCCGGGGCATCAGAACCCGGTGGCACCTCCCGGCTCGGGAGGCAACCCATACAGGGTTCCCCCCCCTGGTGTGCGGGGGACTCATTAATCCTTCCCCAGTGGTGGAGTCTGGTTGCGGGGCAGGATTGTATGGCGGCGGGGCAGCTGGGGCAAGTAGAGGATCCTCTGGCTGTTCTGGCAGCACGGTATAAGCGGGGCTTCCCCTCCTCCCTTTCCGATGGAGGAGGTTTTCTTCCCCCTCCTTGTCTTGGCCTAGCTGCTACACAGACACTCCGCCGCATCCTATTTTTCCCTGACTGGCAACGGCGTATGTACCCTGGCCGATTGGTAGCTCTATCTACCTATACATCTATATAAATCATCTGGTCTGGGTGGGGAACTCTATAAACTACCCCTTGAACGGCAGAGAGGAGTGGAAGGTCAAAGGTCCCTTCAGAGGGCCATCCTACGTTGAAGGTTGGCCATTCTAACTCACTGAAGGTCCGGAGAGTTTCAGGGCCCGCCGTAACCCCGGGCCCGCTTCTGAAAATCAGAAAAATTATTCAGAAGGCATTCTAGGGCAGTACTTGGTGTTGAGCCTCCTTGTCCCATTTCTGATTCCCGGCGCAAGACGTCGAGAGCCTCAAGACCTAATAGGACTAAGACGATTAAGAGTCCACACACAAACACACAACGGGCTCCCCTCCACTCAGTCCACTCACGCACAAACAAGCCGTGACGCACAACTTCAGCTCTTTCACTCATTCGGGGGGCACAGGCGCTTCGCAGGCGCTTCTGGTTAGAGCACGGAAATCGAAAGTGATCTTCTGCCGTAACCTGAACGGGGATCCCCTACAGATACTCAGGTACTTACCGGGCCCTGCGTACGTCGGTTCTCCGAGGGCGGGTAAGATCCCGGACGAGCCCCCAAATGGACGAGCCCCCAAATGTTGTAGACAACCGGCGGGTGTATACACACTCTCGGAGCCAAAAATTAGTTTGGAAGAATTTAATTTTTTTTTTTTTGCCAAGGGGTCAAATGAAAAAATCTTTGGCCAAACTTTACCTGCGCAGGGGTGAACTTCCCAGATGTGACCAGAGCCACATAGCTACTCAGAGCTACCAGATGGAAGTCCCGCCTGGCTTACAGACTACGGGGCTTTTATAGGGCAGAGCAAGCAAGCGCGGGCTTACAAAAACAGATGTAGCGGTTAGCTATTTGCTAAGTTGAAAACGGGGAAGGTCCCTGATTGGTGGGTGATGATGCTGGCGGGCATCTTCTGGCGGGCCCTGGTTAGTTACCTTATTTGGCTAGGACTTTGAACCCTACCGTTCCAGGAACTGCAGATGCCTAACGGCTGTCTGTATGTTTCCACTAGTAATGGCTATTACAGCCACAGTCACTTTTCGGTCCTGTTTCCGCCTGGAAGCTGCGTGTCCCCCAGTTTCCACCCCCCCCCTGCAGTCTCAGCGCCCCCTGCTGTCCCATTGTGAGGACCAGCAGCCCCGGAGCTGGGGTCCCGCGGGTTCCGAGGAGGCTGGGACACCGCAGTCTGACCAGAGGCTCCGGGAAGAGTCTATTGCTGTGCAGCTACAGGGAGCCCCCCCCCCCCCCCCCGCATCTAACGTCCCCACCAGCGGAGACCTGCCGACCGGGACCGAAGTCAGAACCTTAGCCCATCACTGGCTTTGGCCCCCGAGGGAGGTGGAGGTTTGGGATCCTCGGGAACCGGGCTTGGGGTCTTCAGGAGGATGGGGCGAGGGGAGCAGTGGGTTTTGGTGACCGGCACACGTGCCTCTGACCCCAGCATAGCCGTTTCTTCCCGTTTGGGGCTGGTGAGGGCCTAGCCCCTTACTTCCCGGTGCGCTCTCGGGCCTCAACCCTGCCCTTCAGGCCCTAAGACGGCCGACAAAAACGGAAGGGACTTCCCTTTTGCTGGAAGGAAGGCGAGGCCACGCCCGAGCCCTGACCTACAACCTGTCTGGGGCCAGGACCGCTGTGTGCCGGGCGCCACCTGCGCCTGGCCGCTGGGTTCAGACCGGAAGACTGGGCGCCGGGGACGTGACGACGGCGCGCGGCGTATGCAGATGAAGAGGCGCGCAGAGGCTGTCGGTCCTACTGCGCCCGCTCCCCCTGCGTCCCGGATCCAGACGCCCCGAGGCTGTTTTTGCGGTGGGCGAAGGTAGAGGTCGGGGCGCTCGGGTAGGGAGGCGCGGCGGCGGCGCGCGGCCGGTGGCCGTGTGTGTAAAGTGAGGCGAGCGTGAGGGTGCGGCGGAGGCGGGCAGCACAACTCATACTTACCTGGCAGGGGAGACACCATGATCATGAAGGTGGTTTTCCCAGGGCGAGGCTTATCCATTGCACTCCGGATGTGCTGACCCCTGCGATTTCCCCAAATGTGGGAAACTCGACTGCATAATTTGTGGTAGTGGGGGACTGCGTTCGCGCTCTCCCCTGGCTCTCTCTGGTTTTCAAAGATAGACCGCAGGTGCTGGGACTTGTAAGTTAGTGTCCGTGGGGTCGGCTTGTTTTTGGCTCTGCTTGGCCACTTTTTCGCGTGGGTGGGCCGAGTGCGAGAGAAGCCTGTTTTTTTTGGGGTGGGGGAAGAGTGGCCGCTGGTTTTTGACCTCATATGGTCTTTCCTTCAGGCAGTGCCTTGTGGGCGTTGAAGACGGAGTTGAGGTTTTTGCTTCGTTTTCCCAGAAGACGAGGAAAGGTGTCCATTGTTTTCCTGCTAGTTATGCAACCCACTGGTGACTTCTCCTGCGGCCCCCAAAATGGGATCTGGTGTAGCCAACAGAGCTACCACCGCCCGTTTTTGTCTCCAGACTGTCCCGGGAAATGCCACCCACCCCGAGGGGTGGAGGCAGCCGGAAGGCCTGGGCCCGTGAAACGCAGGAAGCTCCCGCGGGAGCCTTTCTGTGTGGGGTTCTCCGAGGCACCTGGAAAGAATGATACTCGTGCTTTGCTTTTTTTTTTTTTTTTTTTTAACATAGTGGAGGCCACAAGACAATAAAAGTGGTTTGCACCTTCCTTCTTTTCGTTTTATTGAAAGATTGCACTTTTTAGAGGGTGAAAGGGCAGGAGAAAGATCCACCAGTTGCTTCTGTAGGCGTTCTGGAATCTCCCTAACTTGCAAAAGTTTTAATGGCACGTTCTTCACCGGAGAACTGAGGCTGCGGGAAGGGGCAGAGTCCCGGAAAGCCCTGAACTCAGGGGCACCCGGCCAGGTCCTACCCCTTGCTCCCCTTGAATGCCCCGGTGCTGCCTCGTGTACCAGTTGGGGCTTCTGCAGCGGCCTCTCCCTCCCCATACCCCAGGTAAGAGCCCTGTCCCATCTGCCATCACGCACTCCCCCAGCAGCTCGTGTGCATCATGCAGGGTCCCGACAACCCCCCCCCCCCCCCCCCCCCCCCGCGCCCCAGTGTGAAACCAGGGCCCTGGGTACAATGTGCTAGGCAAGTGGGCCCAGGAAGAGCAAAACTAAGGAGAGTGTGGGGCGTTGCTAAAGCGTCCCTGTGTCCGTGGTGAGTGGAGGTGTGCCTGTGAGCCGGCACACAGAGGGACCACCAGCACCCCCAGACGATGAGCTCTCTCACAGGGCCCGGGCTCCCCAGGGACAGTGCCAGCCCCCCGTAACAGCTCTGCAGCAAGCCAGCACAGCGGGCCTATGCTGTCCTAGGCAGTGGCAACACCAGGCCTGAGTGTCCCGAGCTGTCAGGTCCCCACGCGCAACCTCCCTCACAGGCCCCCTGACAGCAGCCTGGTCCGAACCACTCGGAGGCACACGTGGCAGTGTGGCAGACTTTATTTGGACCTGCCTTACCCACTGGCCCACGCTCACGCCCCACAGCTGATAGGGCTCGCTGGGGCCTCACTCTGTGCTCAGGAAGACCCTCTTCCGTGCGGTGTTGGTGTACGGGTGCCACCGCCACTCCACGTCTGCGGTGGCCTCCTGCTCCAGAGTGCCAAGGCGGATCATGTACACTGGGGAGGGACCGCAGAATGGGGACACTGTCACCCACACAGCCAGTGTGCCCCATCCCTCCCCCCGAACTAGGACAAAGCCGGAAACTCACACTTCAGCTCAAAGCGAGGCCCAACCTCAGTCAGCTCCACGTCTCGGTGGCTGGTCTTCCTATACACATGGTGCCTGGGGAGGGGCGGGCAGCCGTGGGTCAACCACAGACAGTACAGAGACAGGAAGGTCAGGATACAATCCCAGGGCCCAGCCCACAAACACACCGGAAGGAGATGTAGTCGTCCTGGTTGGCAAAGGTGATAACCCGGTGGCTGTCATCTTTGGGCACAGGGAACAGGTAACGCAGTATGTCGGAGACCTTGGCAGAGGGAAGGAAAACAGGGAATGCCTTGCCTGGCACCCCCTGGCCCCAGCCCAAGTCCCAACGCCCCAGACTCACCCGCTTGCCCAGGCGGGAGGAGAGACCGTGCATGATGAGGTGGGGTTTGGCTTCCGACACGGTGCCCAGGTTGGGGACGTCGTGCCGCATAACCACATTACACAGCGTGAAGTACGCAGTGGGGCCGAAGGGCAGGTGGCTGACAATGAGCCCCACTGGGGGGCCAGGCCGTCAGACACCGCGTCCGCTCTGAGACGGCCCCCCCTGCGAGGGCCGCTCCCACCCCCCAGCCTCACCAGGGGTGCCTCGGTGCTCATGGACGACCAGCAGGTCAGTAACCCCGTTAGCTTTGCAGGCTCGCACCAGCGCCCCCACCTCATGTCGGCCACGGTTCATGCGCTGGGCGCCAGGAAACACCAGCTTCAGCTCCTGCAGAGGCACCACGCTGGTCAGGACTCGGGCCGCTGCTACCCGAGCACCTTACAATCCCTGCTACTGGTACCTTTGCAAACATCTTGAGGCGGGAACTGGGGTCTCGGGAAGTAGTGATCATGACCTTAGGATCCTCAACCCCTGCCCATCGATATTCATCATCCACGTGGCTGGTTACACCTGCCAGCAGCATGAGGAACAAGAACATGACGTTACCCTGGGAAGTGAAGCACTACCTTGGGCTCAGTCCCGTCCAGAGCAGCACCACCTGACATCTCAGTGACGGAGCGCCCCGCACCCACACGGCTACAGGGTGGCCCAAGCCACAGAGGCCACAAGCACAAGGGCAAATGAATTTAGCTCTTTGATAGGATTTCGGTCACTTGAGCTGTACCAGTCACACAGAGCTAGTGGCCATTGTGTCAGCATTAAATCCCGACAATACTAAGGCCAAAGGCAACAGACTCCTATCTCTCATGACAAACATTTACAGAGTTTGTGATTCCTCAAACACTTGGGTGCCAACGAGGTGCGGAGAGCTAGGAGACCACCAGTGACCACGACGGACACTGTCCTGTCCCAGCGGCAGTCACATTCCAGTGAGGGAATAATTAGCAAAGTAAAGAGCAAGCTGGGCCATTGCACATGGGTCACATGTCGGGTCACATCTCCGTGGACCCGGGAGCACTCAGGACAGTCTCCTGAGGTGCCATTGGTGCAGAACCACAAGGACTGCCGGGGGACAGTTCCGGGGGCAGGAGCGGCAGAGCCTTTCCTAGGGTGTCTGGGGAAGGCTGGGGGGGCCAGCATGCAGGGAGAGGGGTGGCCCCAAGCGTCTAGGAAGGTTACCTTCACCGCCAGCGTCGTCAAACTCCAGGGAGCCCTGTAAGGCCAGGGCCTCCCTACGCAACTCGGTGGGGATCAGGCGGTTCTCTGCGGGGAGAGACAGGGAGACTGAGATGTGTGCGGGGGCCCTCAGTCAGCACCCACATGGGAAAAACACCTTTCTTCCTCCCTTCAGAGCAGGCAGATGACCCATAATTATTACGGAGTGGGAGGTACGGGACAATTTCTGCTTACATGCTAATCTGTTAACAATGGTTACAGGAGACTTAATTTTCTACGGTTTCCAAGTTTCATGGCTTGAAGGCTTAAGACTACCCTTTCCATAAAAAAGTGGACCAGAAATCCCAAATCCCTGAGGACAAAACAGCCAGTGGTGATGCTCTGGGTAAGAGGCTCCCCCTGTGGACTGCAAGGTGACCTGGCAGAGGGCAGGGCCGTGCACCCAGGCGGGGGGGTGCACCCGGGACCACGCTGGGAGCACAGAGCAGAGCACAGTCCCTGCACCCAGCGCTTCTAAGGGTGCCCTCGTGCATGTGCAAGATCCACACCTGTCAGAAACCTCCACTATACTCAACAGATTTTGGAAACGATGCTGAACAAAAAACATAAAGCTGCCAAAGAATGCGTACAACCTAATATACCTTTAAAACTGGAAACTGACCAATTTGACTTCATGATAAAATAAGTACTGTATGAGCACAAAGAAAAACAAGGAAACAGGTTATTTTTAAACAACATTCAATACTGTGGTTACCTAAGTTGTGGAAAATATTCCTGAATTTCAACTGCAAGAAGGAGGTGTACAGTGGCACTGTGTTGTTCTTTGGCATTATCTTTCTGTAATAATCACCTGCGTGTCTTTCTGTAATAATCACCTGCGTTTACATAGGAGCTGTAAACATACTTTTGCCCACCCCAGTATGCTGATCATTTTCTTTTTCCTTCTTTTTTTAATTCTCACTGAGAAAACATTCATTGCTTTTTGAGAAAGACAGACAGACACATCAATCAGCTGCTGCCCATCTGTGTCCTGACGAGATAAAGTGTGCAACCTTTTGATGCTCAGGGGACGATGCTTCAACCAACTAAGCCATCCTGCCATGGCCTGACCACTTTCATTTAAGATGGGCAGAGAGGTCATAGCTGTCCCCATTAAGCTGAGCATAAACACACACAACCACCAACACTTTCTGTATAAAACACTTAGGGACGTCAGAGAGGTTAAAATAACTGGGGATACTCAGTTCACCCACCCTCAGATAAAAAGCAAAGCTTCAGAGACACAAGAACACAACAGGACCCAAAATTATGTCACTTCCGATCAGGCGTGTGTGACAGACTCTTCACGTGTATGGCAAATGGAAAGTGAGAAAAACATTGTGAAGTTAGAGTCCTCTCTTACAACGCCAATAAAATTAGGTTCTACATAGATTAACACTTCAGAAATGCAAGGGACTCAGATTACCGCCGAAGGACAGTAAGATATGCTTATTACCTCGACCTACAGAAGAGAGCAAAGAGAAAAAAACCACACGGGGTTGGAGAATGTCTATAGGACCACGGTGAAAACTGTAAATCAGAGCTAGGCACATTGTAAACGAAACTGATCGGCAAGCTGTAAAACCTGGATACTGCAACACAAATGACAAGTAACTTACACCATCCTACGAAGGGGCACTTGCAAGCCAACAGGAAAACGCAACAGGCAAGAAAAATGGGCAGAGTATCTGAAAAGATGCCCAACCGCACTACCAGAGAAATGCTAAGTAAACGCATTCTATACCACTGGGTCTTTACTTCCGCTGGGTTTTAAAACGCCAACCCAGTCTTTCTACAGTCTGGGCAGCGGGGGGACTGTACCTTCGAGAGCACGCCGCACCTTCTCCTTCTTCTCCTGGGCCGCGCGCTGCGCCTCCTCGCGGGCTTTGCGGTACAGGTACTCGCGGCGCAGGCGGGCCTCACGGCGTAGCTGCGGAACAGTGAGGCCGGTCAGCCCCCCTCACCACGCGCGCCCAATTCCCGGGGACCACCAACCCCGAACCCATGGACCCCACCCCCAGATCTCCGCAAGCCCCCAACCTCCCAAACTGGAGCTCAAACATCGCTACCATACTGAGCGCCGCTACCACGTGGGTACAGAACTGCGTTGCCTAGGCCCGCGCACCGCAGCCCTCGCTTCCGCCCTCAACCAAGAAGGCGAGTAGAGGCTTCACTAAACGCTGCTGTGGTTGAGCAAGACCAAAGGTAAGATGGCGGACAGTGGATGAAAGTCGCGACACGATTGGCCAGTCCCAAAGCGCCTGCTCAAAGAGCAACCAATAGGCGAAGGAAATGTCAGGGTGTTGTGAGGGCTGCCATCAGTAATAAAGTCCGCTCTTGGCTTCACCATTTGTCGCCGTTCTGCGGGAAACACAATTTTAAATGATGTACCAATAAAATTGTAATTGGCGGCTCAAAATAACGCAACTATAAAAACTGCACAACGGTTGACCGTAGGGTCGCCTACCGCCTCCTTCTAGAACTCAATATAAAAGCGCTTTTCGCTTAAAATGGTCGCTATGCCTTCTTCCACCGCCGCAACAGCCCTACTTTTAAAATTCGGTTGCTTCAGGAGCGACTTCGAAGCACCTACAGCTCTCGCCGACGTTCTGGTCAGCCAGCCCTCTTCGAGTGCTGTGCACAGAACGCGGTTCCTCAGTCCCAAAATACTGCTAAGCTGAGGACGGCGGCCCTGGACGCCATGACCCCGCGGTTTCCGCGCCCACAACTGGGAACGCCCATTGACTGGAACCCGGCACGGTGGGCGGTGACTGGGCGGCCGGAAGGAGACTAGGGAACGCCCCCTTGTGGGCGAATATCGCGCGCCCATTGGTAATAACCGCAGCACCGTGGACGCTGATTGGGCGACCGTCGGGAGGCTGGCTCCAGACCACAGTACAGTGGAGTCATGGCGGCGGCTGATGTCCGGACGGAGTTAGACTCACTACTACTGCGGCTGCTCGCGGACCTAGAGGAGCTGGAGGCGAAGCGGGCAGCGCTGAACGACCGGGTGGAGGAAGTAGGAGCCTAGGGCGCGCGGGGGTGGGGGGCGGGCGGGGGTACACCAAGTAATCCGAGCCTCAGCGTTCCCCTCTCATGCATAGGGCTGGCTCTCGCTGTCCAAAGCTCGGTACGCCATGGGCGCCAAGTCGGTGGGGCCCCTGCAGTACGCATCCCACATGGAGCCCCAGGTGTGCGTGTGCACCAGGTGAGGAGCCTTGTGCGCTGGGACTGGGGGCGGCGGTGTCCGGGCCGGGGTGTCAGAGATCCATGCTCCCTTCTCGTTCTGCAGTGAGGAGCCGGACGGATTGCAGAAGTTCCGCGTAGTGAGAGCTGCGGCCGAGGCTCCGGAGGACGTGGGACCCCGCGAGTCAGGTAAGCCCCCCCCCCCCGCTTCCCTTCTGGGACCCTTCTCGATGTCAAGGCCAGAATACAGTCTCGGAGATTATTCTGTTCAGGCTATTGCGGTAGAGAGAGTACCCGCCCGGGTAGTGGAGATCAATCACCAAAATGATTTTGCTTTAGATTTTTGTATGGAGAAGTAGACGAGTTATAGGTGAAGTTTTTTTTTAGTTTTTTTTTTTTATGGTTGGGGTTGTTTGGCAATCAGGGAAAGTCCCAGACAGTTGAAAAGAAAATGTTTATGTTCATGCCTAGCCAATTTCAGAAGAACAAGGGGACAGACTTTCAACCTCAGCTACTCATTCATGAGACCAAGAACGGGGAGGTGGAGGGTCTCTGGCCTTTCAGCACGTTCTAGCAAAACGGGAAGGTCGGCGTGCAGCTTTGTCTAAACAGCGGTTGGTTTTATGAGAGTCATGAGAACCTGAACAGAGACTCCCGTCTGAATCACCAGTGTGGGAATGGCGGTTCTTTGTGGTCAGCTATTTCATGGGACGTGAAAGGCTGAGAGTTTCCAACCATCGGATTTTCCAAGATCAGAAGCTCAGAGTTCAGCATTGTGGCTTGGAAGATGAGGTCCAGGCAATAAGACCCCAGCCTCTGCCTTTTCTTTCTCCAGTTCTGCGTAGGCGCAAGGGCCTCACCAGGACCCCAGAGCCAGAGCCCTCATCAGCCCCCCGAGACCCTCTGAACTGGTTTGGGATCCTGGTTCCTCACAGCCTGCGGCAGGCCCAAGCCAGCTTCCGGGAAGGTGAGTGGACCCTTGGGCCCTCTGCCTGCGGGGAGTGCTTGCATACGGAGGTGGGGGTTGGGGTCAGTCTGCAGAGGGCGTTGCAAGCTTTCTCCACTGTGGATTTCGGTTGCACGGCTGCTTTATTTGTCTGGAATCGTCAACTGGGTGTTGGCAGTGCTCTGGGCTCAAGACAGGTGCTGGGGATGCAGGAGGAAATGAAAGGGACTGGCTTCCCTCATACAGCGCTGTTCTGTGCAGGAGAGAAAGACAGCCTGCAGCTGTGTGAGTAGTGAGAATTGTTATAAAAACAAGGTGGAGTGTGGTGGATGGAGTGGGATGGGGTGGGTGGAGGGAGCTGTTTTGTGCAGGGAGGCCTGCAAAGGCCTCTTGGAAGAAGGGAGCTTGGTAGTGGCCTGGGAAACCGTGTTCCAGGCGGACGGGCCAGCAAGGGCAAATACCGGAGGCATGGTTGTGTCTGGCGTGGCAGAGAAGAGGCCAGCCAGCTGCCCGGGCGTTGGCGCCACAGAGAGTGCCAGGAGCTGGGGTCACAGGGGTTTGGGTCCAGGAAATCTGAGAGCTGGGAGCAACAGGAATCCTATAGATCCTGGCTGGGACCAGACCAGAGCAGAGGGATTACGCAGGTGGCAGGGAGCAGCCGGGCTCAGGATGCAGGGGGAGGAGTGGGCAAGTGGTGGGACCTGAGTGTTTTGAGAGTAGAACCCCGCAACCCCAGGATTTGCTGACAGGTCAGTTTGGGATGAGGGAAGGAGAGTGGCGAAGGTGGAGCCTGCGGTGGCCAGCCAGGGCTCCTGGGAGGATGGTGTGGCCTGCACCCGATGAGGGAGGACTGTGGAGCAGCAGCTGGCAGGCGGGCAGGAGGTATTGGGTGTGGCTACATCCCCAGTGCCTTCCGTGGGGTCTGAGTGGCAGTTGGGCTCATGCATCTGGAGTCTGGAAGAGGCCTGAGCTGGGCAGAGAGAGTCGGGAGGGTAATTCTGGTGTTTCAGGTCCGAGGTGGCTGGTGCAGATGGGACGGTAAAGCTGAGGTGGGGTGAGAGCAGCAGGGGCCTGGAGGGTGGACCAGAGTCGGGGAGAAACCACTAGAGGAGAGTGGAGAAGAGCCCAGAGGGGAGGCGTCCCAGGAGCCAGAGGAGAAAGTGTTTCCTGGACAGAGTGGGTCAGACACGTGGCCAGCTCTGCTGTGGGACAGACAGGCTGCAGACGGGACTGGCCACGGGGCTGGGGGGCGTGGAGGCCCAGAGGACTGGGCAGCCACTATTCCAGCAGAGGCATCGAGCGGAAGTCACCAAGAGGTGGGTCCAGAGCATGGAGTCCTGTTGGGGGTGAGAAAATGGGTGGGAGGAGTGAGCCTGGGAGCAGTGAGGGGCTGTGACAGGAGAGGACAGAAGGAAGGAAGGGAGGGCATGAGGCAGCCTGAGGATCTGTGAGGGTTTCAGTTCCCCGGGGGTCGAAGAGGTGTTTTGCGGAGGCGGCGTTTTAGCCGAGGTCTGGAGGGGGGTGGGGGTGGGTCCAGTGAATTTCGGAGCAGCCGCTGCAAGGCCGACCCTGGGGTGGTTTAGGGGTAGCAGAGAGGCGGGGGAGGCTTGGATCCTGCCAGTCCCTGGGGTGCCCAGAGTCCCTGGAGTTGTGTGTCACACTGCAGACACCATGGTGACCATCTCTCCCCTTCCTCTAGGCCTGCAGCTGGCTGCAGACATGGCCAGTCTTCAGAGCCACATCAGCTGGGGTCGCAGCCGGCTCCGGGAGCTCCAGGAGAAAGTCAAGCAGCTCGAGCTCGGGGCCGCCTGACCATGGTCACAGAGGAAGGCCACAGGTTCAGCCACCCTCCCTTCACAGGCTGTCCCCGCCGTCTCTGCCCCACCCCGCCAGCCTCAGTCCCTCTGGTCACACGTTTCCAACTTTGTCATGTATGAAAGTTTGAAGATGTTCAGAGTCACTCCTTTGGTGATACCACGCCAGTCCCCGTGCTGGGACACTCCGCGTGGGGGGTCCAGGCTGTCTGGTCAGTGCGTGCTGGGGCAGCAGGGCCCTGTCATGCGGGATCATTCCTGGTGACACCACACAGCCTGCAGCGGGAAGGACAGGTCGGTTCTTCGGTTTCACTTGATCCCAGAACTGATCTGATGGGTGGGTGGGATTCACTGCTAACAGATGGGGCGTGACCCCACGTCAATAAGGACAAACGCCTGCGCAGACGGGCGTCCTTGGCAGGTTTTAAGTGAAAAACAAGATCTGACCTTGGTTTTGAAATGACCTCTAGGAAGAGAACCCAGGTTTTTAAACACCCGCCGTATCCAGGAGGCTGAACCTTCTAATTTGTTGAAAAGCCGATTGTTTGTCCTGTCGGGAGCGCCGTGTCCTCACTTAGTTTTCCTAGTGGGTTGTTTGTATTTAGCACAGTTTCTGAGGAGCCGGCTTTTATGTCTGGGGAAAATTGGCCCTTCGTTCGTAATATCAGTGGTGTAGATATTTTTTCTACTTTGTCCTTTAACTTTGTTTATGGTGTTTTTTTTTAAAAACTTTATTGTAAAATAAAACACATTCCATTACTGAACCACACAGCAGTCAAAAAGCTTAATGAATAATTAAGGTGAAAACTGTAGTAACCATTGCTTATGTTTTTTGGTCAGTGTTCTTTTCTTTCTAAGTTTTCTTAATAGAGTAGAATTTATGCGTTAGCTCTTTTATGATTTCGCTTTATGATTCCTGGACTCGGGTTGTAAAAGATGTGGGGCGAGCCCTACGTCCCGCTTGCAACGAGGAGTCCGCCCTCCCACTGGTGGGAAGAGAGACATCGCCTTTCCCTCCGTCCGGTCCAGCCTGCACTGTGCTGTGCTGCTTCCTTGGTCTGACTGTCAGCTAATCCGCAGGTGCCACACCCTCAGTTCTGGGCCTTTCACGTACTCTGTCGTGGCCGTTGGGCCGGTTGGCAGCTCGACTGGGGGGGTCATTTTTCAGCCACACTGAGCTGAGCTGTCAGTGAGGGGCCTCCTCGGGTCACTCAGTGGGTGCTGCGTCACTCAGTGGGCGCTGCGTCACCCAGTGGGCGCTGCGTCACTCAGTGGGCGCTGCGTCACTCAGTGGGCGCTGCGTCACCCAGTGGACGCTGCGTCACCCAGTGGCTGCTGCGTCACTCAGTGGGCGCTGCGTCACTCAGTGGACGCTGCGTGGCGAGGAGAAGATGCCCCTCCCCACAGCCAAAGGCGAACTTCAGACCGCCGCGCCACGGGGAGGTCTGGGGTCTGGAAGGAGGAACGGAGAGGCGCCCGTGCTGCCGCTGCTGCTGCTGTGGAAGAGGCTCGTGTGGAGCCCAGGTCCCAGTGGGGTACTTCATGTTGATTTTATTTTTTAAAGATTTAAAACTGTACTCCAAGGCTATAGCAATTAAAACAGTACGGTATTGGCATCAAAACAGACATACAGATCAGTGGAACAGGATAGGGAACCCGGAAGCAAACCCACACCATTGTGGTCAGTTAATATTTGACAGAGGAGACAAGAACATACAATAGAGTAAAAGTTTGCTCAGTAGGTGGCGCTGTGAAGGTCGGAGGGACGCACGGAGTGAAACTGGACCACCTTCCACTGCGCACAGGAGTGAACGCAGCAGGGACTGAGGACTTCCAGTCCTAGACGAAAAGATAGTAAAACCGTGGGTATTTCTTATCGCAGTATTTTTTTCTGACATATTGCCTCAGGTAATGGAAACAAGAAAAAACAAATGAGACTACATCAAACTAAAAAGTTTTTGCACGACAAGGGAAATCAAAAACAAAATGATGCCCTAGCTGGTATGGCTCAGTGAACTGAGCAGCGGCCTGTGAATGGAAGGTCGCAGGTTTGATTCCCAGTCCGGGCATGAGCCTGGGTTGTGGGCCAGGGCCCAGTAGGGAGGCAACCACATGGATGTTTCTCTCCCTCCTTTCCCCTCTGTAAAAGTAAATAAAAAAAATTTTTTTTTAAAAAGGAAAAAACGGCCCACTAAATATTTGCCAGTGATATATACATCTGATGAGGGTTTACTATCCAAAATTTATCATGATCTATAACTCAAACACCTAAAAAACAATCCAACTTAAAAACAGGCAAAGGCCCTGAATAGACAGCTCCAAAGAGGCCAATGGACATATGAAAAGATGCTCATTGTCACTAGTCATCAGGGTTGACTAGGAACACTCAACTGCGGGGAAGCCGACACAGTCTTGCTACGGGCTCTCCAAGGAAACCATTGGGCAAACACCAGGCAGGCGAGGAGCCATGCCTGGTAAGGGCAGGGGAGAGAAACAAGGGCCAGCCCCGCCAGCTTGGCCAACAAACGGGATGGCCGCCGCAGCCCTGCCCAACGGACCAGTGAACCGGAGGCCTGCACAAAAGAGGGCTCTGGGTCCGGGTATCACTCAGCCTGAAAGCAGCGGGTCTGTGCTCCTGGGTCCCAGGGCCTGGAAGGGCTAGCGCTGCACACACAGCTGAGAAGAGTGGACTGCAGGCCCGCCCACCCGGTGGGGGACAAGGACGCACCGCTGGCCAGTCGCACCGACTGTGGCCTCGGTCTCACGCGTGTCCTGCCCACATCTCGTTTGCTGGTTCCACACTAAAAAACAAGAAGGGACGGACGGACGGACGGGAGAGAGGGAGGAGGATGGGAAGGAGGCGGAAACCTAGCTGGGACCTTCAGGGGCTTAACGCTGTGTGCCGCACCCAGGGGCTGTGCCGCACCCAGGAAGCTGGCTCCCCCAGACGCCACAGCACCGGCTTTTCCCAGAACTGTGTGCGGTGCAGGCCCCACCTCTGCTGAGTGCACCGGGCCTGCCCACCGTCCAGACATGGTGGGTAGTGGGGGACAGCTCGCCGGGCTCGGTGTCCCGGACGGTCCACGTGGCCAGCCTTGATTCAGGCCGAGTCCAGGAGGAAGAGAGGCCAAAAGGGGCCATGAGGGCAGGAGAAAGGAAGGAGGGTTCCAGGGACCAAAGACGGCCAGGACGCCCAAGAACAGGGGTGGTGAGCAGGAAGAACTTTGCCACCTTCCTGAGAACGGATATTTAGACTTAATTCTCGGAGCTCACAGAACCCCTGCTGTACAATGTCGGGTAAATGACTTAATCTCTGCAGACTTGTTTGCCATACTATCAAACACCCACCTCCCAGGCGGCTGTGAGGATTAAACAAAATAACCCAAGTGAAGCCCGGGCTGGGGGGGGCCTGGCGTGGGGTCCAAGCTGAGCAAACACCAGCTTCCTCCCCTCCCCTCTCACCTGGGCTTCGGATTTCCGGAGCTTGTCTGCCAAGCTGTTCGGAAGAAACCCAGGGCCACAGTGCACGAGGCCGGGAGGGTTGCGCAGTGGGGCAGAGGACAGACAGGCGTGGGGAAGGGAGACCAAAGGTGTGCGGCCCCCCGCTGGCCTTCCTGAGACCTCACTAATGAAGTCTGCCCTGTGGGAGCCCCGCTTCCCCAACGCCCACTTTCCCAAGGGGTCTGACTCCTGCTCCCTCGCCCCACTGGGGCTGTGCTCTCCGCTCACACAGAACTGCTTAGAACGCCTGTCCTGCCGCCTTTCCGATGCGTCTGGTGCCCAGTGCAGGCTGCGGCTCCCGGGGCTCAGTCAATGTTAGTGCAGTTACTGCGGCTCTGCTCTGGCAGTCTGCGCTGTAACCAGGCGATCAGACGTGGCCGGATGACAGTGAGCTAGATCCAGGTGGCCTGTTTACAGCCCTATGACTGCTAAGCAACGTAGAACTAGCCCCTCTAAATGCTAACTTGTGTGGCATGTGAATCATATTTTAATAAAGAGTAGAAAAATTAATAGCCCTCACTGGTGTGGCTCAGTGGGTCAAGCGTTGCCTGGCAAACTGTAAGGGCACTGGTTTGATTCCAGGTCAGGGCACAGGCCTGGGTTGCGGGCGAGGTCTCCAGTTGGGGTGCAAGTGAGAGGCAACCCATCAATGTTTCTCTCCCTCCCTTCCCCTCACTCTAAAGATAAATAAGTAAAATCTTTTAACAAAAGAAAAAGGGAAAATAGATAAAACCATACAGGTGTCCTGATATGGTGTCTTCTGAGGCTTATAGCACCACCTAGATCTTCCTGTGGAAAATGTTGAACCTGAATCAGAGCAAGCCCAGGGCTCGCTTCAGGCTGCAGGAAGTGTGGGAGCAGAAGGAACAATGGTAAGTTAAGATACACTTACCAGAGCAGGTTGGTTGGTTCTTGTATGTACCCTAATCAGGGAGGGTTCAAAGTTTAGTTTTTTATTTTTAGAGAGAGGGGACGGGAGGGAGAGGAGGGAAGGGAGGGAGAAAGAGAGGGAGAGAAATATCCATGTGAAACATCAATGTGTGGTTGCCTCTCACACACCCCCTACCTGGGACCTGGCCCACAACCCAGCCAAGTGCCCCAACTGGGAATCGAACCAGTGATCTCCCTGCTTCACAGACAAGCACTCAGTCCACTGAGCCACACAGCCAGGGTTCAGAGTGCTTTTAGGAATAAACAAGTGAAGATGTCAGTAGACTACAGAGCTTCAGGCCTGACACAGCAGGGTCTTCTGGGGGGGGGGGGCAGCAGGGGCGACCGCGGAGGTGGTCCCCAGGAATCTGCCAGCAGCGGGAAGGGTAGTGAGTGCTTCGGATGGAGGGACAATCCACCGCCCAGATCTGGAGCTCCGAGCCAGCTGCGTGGAAAGCACCGGGAGACACTAAATGTCTAGATTCTATGGGCGTCAAAGGCGAGGAAAAGCGGAGGGGGTGGCTTTAGGAAGGAGGGAGAAAGGGGATGAAAATGAGGTTTTCGAAACGCGTATGTGTCTGGAGCGTGTGGGATGAAAAGGGCCAGGGTCCGGCGGGGGAGCAGCGGGAACGCGGGACAGGGGGCCACGCCCGACGGGCGCTGGAGAAGCCTGTTCTCACCGAGACTAACAGATGCCAAGGGGCGACGACAGCCCTTCAGCAGACGGGGAGTAAGTCTCGGCAAACGCGGCACTCGGGGACACGGGACAGTGCGAGGCCACCGATCCCGTCTCCAAGTTGGCCGACTCCCTCGGCCGGAGCCGGACAGAGGGACGCGGTGGTCGGGTCCGCGCGCCTGCTGGAGAAAGAGAAAGGCCGGCTGGAGGAGGGCAGGGGGGCGTAAAGAGGGACATGGGCTGGGGGGACAGACGTCCTTGGAGTCTCGAGTTGGGCCCCGAGGTCCAAACACCGAGAAAGAAGTCGGAGCAGGGGCGACAGCAAGGGGTGAAAACCGAACGTCCCGGTGTGAGGATAAGAGGGGCATGAAAGGCCGGGCGGGGTCCGGGGCGGGCGCGGGGAGCGCGCACCTGGCCGCGCGGGCGGGGGCGGGGCGGCGGGGGCGGGGCCGGTCCGGGACCCTCCCCTCGGCGCGGCCCGCCCTCCGCCGGGCAGGGAGCCGGAAGCGGACGAAGTCTGCCGACTCGAGACCGTGGGGCCGGGGCCAGGCCCGCGCGTCCCCTCGCTGCGCCCCTGGCTCCGGGTCGCGCGCTCCGCCACGGTGCCGGGACCATGGGCGCCCCGCCCCGCCGGCCCCTCGGCCTCCTGGGGCCCCCGCTGGGGCTGCTGCGGCTGCTCCTGCTCCTGCGCTGGCTGACCCCGGGTGGCGCTGCCCTGCGGCTCTTGGACCACCCGGCCCCCGTCTGCTCCCAGGAGGTGAGACCCCCGCTCCGTCCCCCCGACCCGGGGCCGGGAGGAGCCGGAGCGGCCGGGAGGATGCGGAGCGGGGTGGGCTGGAAGTCCGCGCTGGGGTCTCCGAGGGTCCGAGCTTGGCTCGAGGAGCCGGTGCCCACGGGGGAGGACAGTCGGGGTGGGGGGCGAAAGGAGCGGTGTGGACCCGGGACGAGACGGCTTTTGCGGGGGAAAAGAGGTCGCGCGGCACGTGTTGCACAACCTCACTGCCGTCCCGGGCGGGCGGGCGGGCGCGACACCTCCGCCGGGCCCCACTGTTTGGGGAAGTAGACCGAGGCCCGCCCGGCGCGAGAGACGGGGCGGAGCTGGTTAGACCGCGGGTGCCGAGGGGGCTGGCGGGGCAGCCCGCCGTGCGCCCCGCAGACCCCTCAGTGTCCGAGTGGCCGCCGCGGAGGTTGCTTGTCCGACCTCAAGGCTTCCTTCCCCTCCGGAGCAGCCGGCCAGCCCGCAGCAGCCGGGTCAGAGGTGGGGCCCCGGTGGATGTCAGCCTGCTCTCCGGGAGGCAGGGTGACCCTCGGCCGGAAAAGGGTGCTCACAAGCCAGGGCGGCCCGGAGCCCGAACCTCCAGAGAGACACGGGCCTCGTGGTGCCACCTCCCCAGGGGCGCGAAGCGCTGAGAACTGGCGGAGGGTTGAGGACACTCCGCCCCATGCGGCGGCACCAGCACCTCCGCCCTCGGGCCTGGGGTCGCGGCGGCGGCTCGCTGCCTTCGAGTAGGACCCGCGCTGTGGCCACGGGAAGTGACACCCCCCGCCCTCGCCCTCTGGGTAGTGGCCCTGGGGCGGAGGACCAATCGAAGGGGGAGAAGAAACAGCAAACACAGCGCCTGCCTCCACAGCTGCTTTTCCTCCACTGTCGCTCCGTCCCCGCTACGCCCCCGCGGCTGCCACCACTGACCCCGAGGACTAATGAGCCGCGTGTGAGTCAAAGGATGTGAGACCAGCGTGGAGACAGCGCTCCCTGTCACACGTTGTACATGGTTTACCCGGAGAGGATGGGTGGGGAGTGGCTGTTTGGCAGGGGACAGTGCTTCCATGTGTTTCCATGTGAATGAGTTCGGGAACGCCCGTTGGCTCCCACCGCTGCGCAGAGTAGGGGCCAAGCCCCGCAGGTCCTTCCTGCCGGCTGAGCACGGAGACTTTCTGCCCGAGGACTCCGAGCTCTGTTTTGATGGCCCTTTGCCAGGCGTCCACAAAACGCGAGGGACTGCTGCTGGGGACTGAGAACATGCAGAGACGCTGCTGGCTGTCCAAGGGACTAAGCAGGAGGGAAGGGGCTTGAAGCGGGCGTCTGTGGCACACGGAGGCCTGCCCCGGCCCCACGGCTCTTCCTACGGCCAGCGAGTGGGCAGCATCCAGGGGGAGAAGAAAAATGCTTCCAGCTGGGGTGTTCTCAGTGACAGAGAGGACAGGGACCTGGCCCCTGGGGTAGTGGGAACCAACAGCCCTGGGGCGGGCAGCGGAGGGTGAGCCGCCGGAACGGGAGAGAAGCCACAGAGGGAGCCGAGGACTGTCTGTGGCCGGCCTGAGAGCCGGGCTAGAGTAAATGCCTTTGATCTGAGCGGCTCCTGAGCAGCGAGGCTCCAGAGAGCCTGGAGGCAGGTGCTCGCGGGCCAGGTTTGCCTGCCCTTCCCTCTGCCAGCACCTGGCTCTCAGACGATGCACCTGGGTGACCAGCGGCTCCCCTTGACACTGACTGGGTACTTCAAAAAGAAGGGAACTACAGCCCTCAGAGCTCTCTCCCTGCTAGTGCTTTTTTGTTTTTGTTTTATTTTATTTATCTTTAGAGGGGAAGGAGAGAGGGAGAGAAACATCGATGTATGGTTGACTCTAGTGCTTCCCCTGCTGGGAACTGACCTGCAGGGAACTGGCCTGCAACCCAGGCATGTGCCCTGACGGGGAATGGAACCTCGATCCTCTGGTTCGCAGGCCTGCGCTCAATCCACTGAGCTACACCAGCCAGGGCTGTTTTGTTTTTTAAGATTTTCTTTCTTTATTTTTTTAGAGAGGGGGGAAGGGAAGGAGAGAAAGAAAGGGAGAGAAACATCAATGTGTGGTTGCCCACACACATACCCCCAACTGGGAACCTGGCCTACAACCCAGGCATGTGCCCCGCCTGGGAATCGAACCAGCAACCCTTTGGTTTGCAGGTGCACACTCAGTCCACGGAGCCACACCAGCCAGGGCTCCCTGGTAGTGTTTTAGGGGATGCGGTGCCCTGTATAGTGACGAGGACCCAGGTTTGCATCCTGACCTCATCGCTTATTCTTTCTGCAACCTGCCTGCGGCCTGGGCCGGGTCCCGGCTTTCCCTTGACCGCCTGCCCAGAGGAAAGCCCGCAGAGGCTTGGCCGTGGACTTGGTCGGTGACTGTTAAGACACAGTGTTTTTGAGGCAGAACGTGTGGGGCGTTCCAAACTGCTTTTTGGCCTGAGCGCTTGCAGTTTTGACTTGTGGTAGAATAGTGTTTGGCCTCAGCCTCATCTGCCGGTGGCTGAAGCTGCTCTCCACGGGCCCCACTCGCAGTGTGGGAAGGGGTTCTGTGGTGCCTCCGCGCCGTGGGCGTGTCTGAGCCAGGGCCGCTGCAGCCGGTAGACCCAGCAGAGTCAGGAGGCTCCCCGGTCACCCTACTCATGTCTTGCTTCCCCTCCCCGCTGGCCTCTGGTCTAGAGACTGACAACACAGCAGGAGAGGGAGACTGTGCGGTGTGGGGGGAGGGCACGAGGCTGAGAGTCAGCCCCCGCCCCCTCCCTGGCCCCACGACCCTCCTGTCTCTCCCTTCACGGCTGCAATCCGAGTGTTATCTCTAAAGGAGGCGACCCTGACCTCACAGGGTTTTCTAGAGAGCGTATAAGTTGCTGGACATGTGAAAGGGTGAGCCTGCGTGGGCTGTGGCGTGGGAAGGTGCAGGGGCACTGTGGGTGGGGGGGCAGGTGCTCCTTCAGCCGGTGCCTACAGCAGCCTGCAGGCCGACGTGGTCGCATGCGGCTGGAGGGGCCAGGGAGCCAGGGAGCCCGGCTGCCCCTGCCGAACAATGAGCTGAGGGTCCAGGCTCCCCCGTGTGGCCATCAAGTGCACAGCTTGATGCGTCTTGTTTCATTCTTTTTCTTCACCACTGAGGGTTGATAGTGCTGTACCCCCATTTTATTCAGAGGGCAGGACAGTGATGAGTAGGACCACGGGGCCGGGGCCCAGCTGCAGGGACCAGTGTGTTGGCAGTGGGGGGCCCTGAGCTGACCTGCCTGAGCCTCGGGTTTGTGGTCACTAAAAACGAGACAATGGCCTGTACCCCAGGGGACTGTTGTGGAGAGTGACGTGTGTGTGTGTGTGTGTGTGTGTGTGTGTGTGTGTGTGTGTGAGTGTAGTGCTTAGGAGGATGCCTGGCTCATCGATGGAGGAAAAAACCCACGCACGCAGTTACGCCCATGAGAGCTGGAGAGGTACTGGGTCAGGTTCAGGAGCTGTTTTATGTAAAAACTAGAAGGAAATCAATAATGGAAGGAAAATACATACAGACAGCAATGGCTTCAAAAACCAGGCCCCAAACGGTGCTAAGTGACAGGCTGTTCCCACCAGCCACAGGAAACAGGGGAGGAGACCCTCGCGCTGCCTCTGGGTGCCCGTGAAGCTACGGGCACCGTCTCGCTGCGGTTTGAGGGGGCACCAGTGGGTGGTGGGGTCACTCGGAGAGCGCGTCTGCCTGTGTTTTGTGGCAGAGCTTCCCCGTCCGTCCCCGGGAGGACTAGACCGTGCAAGGGGCTTGCCTCCAGGAACCAGGGGACACATGTTAGACTGGGGGTGGGGGGCAGCGAGGGGCGTCCCGTGGACGTGGGGCTGCTCTGGGGCTGAGGGGAACTTCCGTCGGAGGAGCCGGGCAGGGTGCACACTGCCAGGCCCTGGCGAGCTGGTGTCCCCGGGAGGTGGACGCCAGGTGGCCAGCACACCCACACAAGCTCTCCGGGCTGCTGGGGGACACTGTCTCTTCGCCCCCATCAGGGACAAACTGAGTAGGACAGTGTCTTCTCTGCTGCCTGCCCAGCCGCCTCTCCACTCCACCCTGAGACAAAGGCGCCTGCTGACCCGGTGCCCTGTTCACAGGCCTCCATCCATCCCCTGGCTCGGAGACCGTGTCTCTGGTGCATCCAGCCTCAGGCTTCCTGCCCCACTGCCCCGTGTGCTAACAGCTCACACTCACTACGTGCCAGGCTCTACAGGAGGGGACCCCTTGACGTGAGGAAAGGACAGCTGCTAGGAGCCGGATGCGGGACACACCCTGCCCCACCAGGGTGTGGCAGCTGCAGCTGACAGAACCCTCCTCCCGATTCCGCCCCCCCCCCCAGGCGTCCAGCATTCTGTCTACCGGTGGGGGAGTGTGTACCGTTTCTCTGAATGGTGTTAACTGGCACACGCATGCACTGCCATCGCTTGAGATTTTTTGAGACAGACACACATCAGAGGTGAAAAGCATCGTACACACCCAACCCAGCACCGCCAGCCCCTCCCACCCTGAGGGCTCTACTTTCCGCACCATTTAATTCTCGGGGATGCGGGGACACGGGTGCGTGGTGGGTCTGATGTCCCGGCCGCGGAGACAGAGGCTTGGCCGTGTCCGGTGTCTCCAGCTGCCTCTGCTCCTGGGTTTTGTGAGCTCTCGCGAGAGACGACATGCTCTGTGCCTCCTGCAGCACAGGGTCCGGCTCCCCTTCCGCGGGCCGGGAGGGACGCCGTGAAGTGTCTGGGGCAGGCGCAGGGTTCAGTTCCCCTCTGTCCCAGCACGGCCTGCAGACTGCAGGGTGGGACCCTCCGAGGTGAGAGGCCTGTCACCGGGCCCCCACGGGACCCTCGCAGCACCTCCTAAACGTGGAAGGTTCTCAGCTTGGAAGGTCACTCAGAAAACACCTGTCTCGCTTCCTGCCCCCTGTCCCCACGTCCCCTGTCCCTGTTTCTCCTCTGTGGGCCGGATGAGAAAAGTGCCAGGATCACCTGGTCCCCTCCCCGGACGGACCCCCAGAAGTGGGGGGCAGGGCCGGAAGTTTCCGTCCTTGAGAAGGAGGCAGAGGAAGGTGGGTCCCGGCCTGCAGGGTTTCACTGCTAGTGAAAGTCCTTCCGGTGGGTAATGACCTCCTCTTCTTCCCCACAGGGGCTGAGCTGCCAAGTCAAGAATAGTAAGTGGTCTTCTTTGTTCTTGTTGCTGCTTTGACAATAAAGCGCTGGCTGGCCTCGTGCCGATCACTGACGGGGATCACTGACGGGCGAGGGCTGCACCTCGAGCAGCAGGCGCCCCAGAAGTGCGCGCATGCCCGCACCTGCACTTCCTGCGGGGACGCGCATCACCCCGGGCGCAGGGAGGACCAGAGCCGGCCTCTGCGCTCGCAGGTGAACCGAGTGCTGCGCCCTGTGCCGGTCGCCCCACCGTAAAGGGAGGCGTGTCTGTGCAGTGGATTTTGTTCTGTGTTGATTCGGGGGGTGTTTTTTTAAAGATTTTATTTATATTTAGAGAGGGGAAAGGAGGAAGAAAGAGAGAAACATCCATGTGTGGTTGCCTCTCAAGCACCCCTTACCGGGGACCTGGCCCACAACCCAGGCCTGTGCCCAGACTGGGAACTGAACTGGCGACCTTTTGGCTCTCAAGCCAGTGGCACTCAATCCACTGAAACACACCAGCCAGGGCTGTTCTGTGTCTTAATTCAGGAAGGAGGCACATATTTCGAGTGTCTGTGGTAATTAGGGACCCTGGTGTGTCCCTAATTAAAAATTAAAGCAACTCCGACCCGTGCCCCGCCCTTCCTCAGCCCCGGTCTCCAAGTGCCGCTCCATCTCGCAATGCAGCTGTGGCGCTCTCTGCTCTCCCTTGGGACCCCCTTCAGGCTCCAGAGCTTTGCGGTGACCCCAGACAAGCACAAGGAAAGGGGGGCGGCCACTGAGCCCCTCCGAGGGTCGAGGGTTATGGGCCCCAACTGGTTAGGGTCCTGCTCTCGCGACGGGACATACACCTGGGCACCCTGCATGCACACTTCCATTCCTGGCAGTTTCTCCAGAATCTTGCAGGCCATGGCCATCTCTGATGTCCACACTTCCTGGCCACCAGGTACCTGCCTGGATGACAGCTGGATCCAACCTCGAAACTTGACCCCCTCGTCCCCAAAAGATGTCCAGGTTAAGGTGCGGGTGGCCCGCACCCAGGATGGAGACCGCGTCCCTGTGGTTCACGTCCAGTGGGCACTGCAGACGGACGGTGAGTGGGCCTGTTCGCAGGACCGGGGGGACCCTGCCCCTGCAGGTGTCCCCACAAGCTGGATCACCTGGCTGCCCCTCAGAGTCAGAGTTAGGTTCCCCATCCTGTGCTCAGACACAAGGGCCCCAGTTTAGAGCTGAAAGCGTCCTGCATGTCATGCAGAAAATACTTTTTCAGCATTTCAGAGATCAGACCTCGTCAATCTGTTCCTGTCCCACCACCGTCCGTGACAGGCCTTCCTTCAGCCTAACGTCTTTACCTCCCTGGGGATAAGGCCATGTGGCGAGTATTTGCCGCGGCACCAAATATTTGCGGGGAAATAGTCCCACATTTGCCTGTCTGCTTTTCCCCTTAATCTAGGGGCTGCTGTCCCCTGAAGTGACACCCCCAGACCTCTTGGGGGTAGGCGGTTGCATTACAGACTTGAGGAGAGTGGGGTTAACAAGAGCCAGCCCGGGTGGGCGGCAGGGTGGCTTTTCTTTCTGTGGCCCCAGCTGCTGCTGCTGTGACAACATCTTCCAGGATGGTGGTGGTGGCCACGTTTGGCCCCCACACCCTGTGGCCAGCACCTCAGCCCCAGACTTGCAGAGCCCGTGCTCCCAGCCCAGTGTGAAGTGCTGCTTGGCCTTGCCTTGCAGAGAAGCAACCTCTGCAGGGCCAGCGGCAGCCCGTAGGCCCAGGAGCTGGGAGGAGCAGGAAGTGGAGGGTTGGGTAAGACGCAGATGTTCTTACCCCAGAGGGAAGTGACACACCCAGTGGCTGGTCTTGTTCACCCGCAACTGTCTCCTCTCCTTACCCCCACCCCCACCCCCACCCCACCGCAGCCAGCATCCTTTACCTGGAGGGGGCAGAGCTCTCTGTCCTGCAGCTGAACACCAACGAGCGGCTGTGTGTCAAGTTTGAGTTTCTCTCCAAGCTGCAGCATCACCGCAAGCCGGTAAGAGCCGAGCTTCTGGGCATGTTTTGGGGAACTTCCCAGTTGAGCACAAGCCCTGCGCTTCTTTCCAACCTTCCACGGCAAGTCACTGCAGGAAGTGGAGGGGGCAGCGGACTTCCCCAGCCACCCCCAGCCACCCCCAGCTGCCTTCATTTGTAACCAAGAGTAATTGGAGCCGGCTTGTGAGCGCTGCACAGTTTTGGCTCTGAGCAATTCTGATGCCGGTTTGAAAACCCTCATTTAGATCTCCCGCTAACACAGGCAACAGCGACAGACCCCTGCCCCTGTTTAATCAGGGCCCCCAGACTCAAGTGCCAGGTACATGGTGAGGACCAGGTACCTAGGTACTTTAGACAAGGACTCCGCCCCCCCCTTCAACCAGGGTACAGACGACAGAAGTTGTTGTCAGTATCTGTCATCTGAACCATCCAGAAAACCCTTCCACTGGTCATTGGTAGCCCTCCTGCTGCACCCGAGTGTTCCAGAACATTCTCAAGAGATCCCTGGCTCTCGCACTGGAGGAGGAAGAGTCACTGAACACACAGTTTTTAGCTGCCTCCTGGGAGCCAGCCCTCCGGTGGCCCCAGGTCCTGGCTTGGCCCCCTGACGCCTCTGTTCTGCACCGTGAGGGGCCGGTGGGGGCGGAGGACTCACTCTCGAGTCTCCTGGTCAGATCCAGATGCTTTATAATAGGCAGGAAGGACCAGAGGAGACAGAGCCCAGATCCAGGAGCCTCTGATCTGGGATCTTGTTTTGACGGTTACTCTTCCTGTTTCACTAAACTTTTGGGGGTGGGGTGGGTGGGGTCCTTTGGGCACAGCTGTATGAGAGGCACAGCGGGCAACCTATTCGACACACCCTTCCTCCCTTCTCTTTAGTGGCGCTTTGCCTTCAGCCACTTTGTGGTAGAGCCTGGCCGGGAATACGAGGTAACCGTCCACCACCTGCCCAAACCCATACCGGACGGGGACCCGAACCACCAGTCCAGGACACTCCTTGTGCCGAGTGAGTATGCCCAGCCCTTCTCCACGTGGGGCTGCCCTTCATCACAAGGCCAGCAGGCTAGCCCTGGGCTCCTTGAACCTCAAGCCAGTGGCCACGGTCTGGTCCTGGAGCCCGCCTCGAAGGGGCCATCCTCGAACAAGCCCCTGAAAGGTGGGGACCTCCGGTGTCCGCAGCCAGGAAGGAGAGCAAGCTTGATAAGACAGGGGCCTAATGCTCTCACGCTTTCTGGGTCTGCAGACTGTGATGACCACATGATGAAGGAAACCAGGCCATGCGTGAGCTCAGGTGAGTGCAGCCAGGGGCCCTGCCAGGGGGGCCTCCTGGGGACACACAGGCCCCGCCTCACACCGGCCTGCGTCTGTGCCCGGGGCAGGCAGCCTGTGGGAACCCAACATCACCCTGGACTTGGAAGTCTCCCAGCGGCTGCAGGCCAGCTTCACCCTGTGGAATGAGTCTGCCCGCTACCAGATCCTGCTGGAGAGCTTCCCACGAGAGGACAACCAGACTTGTTTCCAACGGACAGTGGATATGCCTGCGGTAACGCTGCCCCTTGCACCCCCAAACACAGTTCGGAGCCGCCTCTCTGCCCCCACTGGTCCTCACAGAGCTGTGTTTGCCAGGAGCCTGGCGTTCGGGGTGCAGTTGCTACACACCCGTGCTGTGGTTGAGGTTTCCGTCTGCTCTGGCTGTAGCCGGAGTGTCGCTGTCTCTGCCCTGCTCGGCATCCCTGTCTTCGTGTTTCTTTAAATCCTCCCCCGAGGACATGCCCACTGATTTCAGACAGAGGGGAAGGGAGGGAGACAGAGAGAAACACCGATGTGACAGAGAAACATTGACCGGTTGCCTCCCATAGATGCCTGGACTGGAGATCAAACCCACAACCGAGGCATGTGCCCTGGCTGGGAATTGAACTCATATCCCTTCAGTTCACAGGACAACACTCCAGCCCACTAAGCCACCCAGCAAGGGCCTGTTCAGCCTTCCCTTCCACACTTCTCCCCTGTTCTCTCCTTGTTGGGCTTTGTTGATTCAGCTTATTTCAAAAAGGATTTGAAGACGTTTAAAGTGTTCAAATTCGGAGGAAGGGTAACTGAAGATGAGGCAATCAGGTGAAGCCAAGGCACCATGAACGCAGAACATGGGGCTGCGCTGCAGGGGGTGGGCACAGGTCTGTCGTCACAAACTCCTGCACCCATTGCCGAGGGGGAAGTGCCAGTCACTGGCTGTGTCCTGAGTTCCTAGTGCGCCCAGGCACCAGGAAAATGTAGTTTTGTGGGCACAGAATCTGGAAGGCGTTGGCCCTGGCTGTCCTGGGCACCGCAACAGCCCCCACCGTGAGCCTCACCCTGCCCCACCCCTGCAGCCCACAGCGGAGACCCTCCACCGGCGGGCCAACGTCACATTCCTCCTGCCCAACGCCGACTGGTGCTGCCGCCACCAGCTGAAGGTGGGTGGGTGTTGTTCGGAGGGGCAGCGTGTACACAGGGCGCTCCTTTCACCGGAACAAGGGATGGGAGGAGGACAGCCCCTGATGGGCACTCTTTCTGAGGACCCCACACCACTGCTATCTGGGGCCCCCTGCCTCCGGGGTCCAGCGCTCGGCTATTGGGAGAGCGGCGGTGGGGCCCTGGGTCCCCAGCCTCCCAGCGTTCTTGTTCCCTGTCCCCTGTGCTCAGATCCAGCCCTTCTTCAGCAGCTGTCTGAATGACTGCGACAGACGGACTGCGAATGTGAGCTGCCCCCAAATCGTGCATCTTCCAGGTAGGAGGCGCATAGCTGTCCTGGGATATGCTGGGGTTGAGAATGGGTGAAGGTCAACAGCTCATGTTGAACCCTGACCTGGTCTGGAGGGTGGGGCCAGCGTCTAACTGGGGTTATTCAGGCCTGTGATGCAGGGCTTTAGAGAGACACTTTGCCCAGTGGGACTTCCGAATGCCATCTCGGCCACATAGCCTTGGGCAAAGGATGCCGCCTGCGTGACCTCGGCCTCTGTGACTGGGGGATGGGGCTGTCACACACCACACACAGGGCAGCGTGCTGTAGCAGATCATTTTTAAGGGTTGTCGTTTTTTTAAGGTTTTATTCATTTAGAGGGGAAGAGAGGGAGAAAGGGAGAGAAACGTCAATGTGTGGTTGCCTCTCATGCGCCCCCTGCTGGGAACTGGGCCCACAACCCAGGCCTGTGCCCTGACTGGGAATCAGACCAGCAACCCTTTGGTTCGCAGGCCGGCACTCAGTCCACTGAGCCACACCAGCCAGGGCCACATCATTGCTTTTAATCCTCACGAGTTGGAAACCATTATACCAGGGTGGCTAGACTCCCTCCCCTGGGTTCACAGATGAAGAAACTGAGGCTCAGAGATGTTATGACTCTTCCAAGATCGTACCCTGAGAGGCAGCAGAGCCTGTGGACAGGCCACCTGCAGCCTCACCTGTGGCACCACCCACCTTGACGCACAGCCCAGCCTCCCACCTGGGCAATGGGGGCCACTGCGTGGACCAGAGACCCAGGTGTTCTGTGTGGGTGGTTCCACTGAGCATCACTCGTACCTAAAAGGCTCAGTGTCAGACCACAGCCATCCACGGGCCCTTGGTGGGGGTCGGTGACAGTTTGGGGACCCTGCAAACAAATGGAATGCCATTTCCTCTTGTTCTCATTGCAGGCCTGATTGCAGGTAAGGATAACGCTCCTTCCCAGCATGTGCCACGTGGGGCCCGAGGGGACCTTCCTTGGGGGCCACATGAGAAGCCCCTGACTGAGTCTCATGTGGAGCCAGGTACCCAAGGTTGAACCAACAGGCCTGCCTGGGGCTGGGTGAGGCCGCAGGCATGTCGTGGTGCAGGCTGGGCCTGGGGTGGGGGTCCTGGGGGTGGGGGACCTCGGGCTGGCGTCATAGGCCTCCCAGCCACACCTCACACTGCTCTGCACCCACAGACTACATGCCCCTGTGGGTGTACGTGTTCATCACAGGCATCGCCATCTTGCTGGTGGGCTCAGCCATCCTGCTAATTCTCTGCATGACCTGGAGGATGTCGGGTAAGGGGCTGGATAAGGGGCCGGACGGTACTGGTCCCCCTCCGCACCGCTGCTCTCTCCGGCCAGGTTCCAAGCAGGCGAGAGCGCGGGTCTGTGGTTCAGGGGCCTGGCCTTGCCCCGCCCCCCAGCGCCCTGGGCGGCTCCTCCGCTGATGCGGGAGGCTGCTTGCACCTGGCAGGACTCTCAGGATTCGGTCTTCGGTCTGTGTTTACTACCGGGTGGTAGGGGGAGCACCCTGACCCAGGCTCCGGGAGCCCTGTGGGGAAGGTCCTTCTCCAGAGGATGGTCGGCTGGTTGAGGGAGTTCAGGATTCCATGAACCACAGAGTGCGTTGTAGGTGTCACAGATACTTTTTGTCACTTCCCTGCTGTTGCACTGGGGCCTTCCCTGAAGTGCCCGGCCACGTGGGCATTGGAAAGGACAGGAGCCCCTGGAAAGGCCGGGGGCAGGGGGGGCAAGGGAGTAGTTGAAACGAAGGCTTTTCACGGCGCCTGGCAGTGCTTGCCTCTGTGTATCTCTGAGGAGAGCCACTGCTCAGACGTGCTGCTTTCCCTTCCCCTCCAAACGACCAGGAGAAGACGTACAGGGTGGGGTGGGTACTCCTGGAGACCACCCTAGGTTTCTGCTTCCTCTCGGACACCTCGGGAAGGGCTTTCCCTCACAGGTCTGCAGAGTCTCCTTGCCGGTGGCCAGGTTGTGCAGGGAGACCCTCGGCCTCCACTAGGGTGGGGGCCAGCTGGGTCTGCACCCAGAACACCTGTGACCCCCCTGCCGCCTTTGTGTGACCCATGAGCTTGGCACTTCACACACACCAGCCCATTGAACACCCCCGACCCATTTCACAGAGGAACAAACTGAGTTTCTGAGACGTTAATAACGTTCCCAGGTCTCAGGGCTCGTCTCAGCTGACCAGGGGTCACAGCTGAGTGTCTGATCCCCTTGCTCTGGCTGCCTTCCCTTCTGCGGGGCCCTGGGGGCAGCTGTGGGGGCAGCTCTCCCGCCAGGTGTGGCCGGGGTCCCTGTTTCTGTTCCAAAAGAGCCAGTGCAGTATCGTTCCTTTCAGGGTCTCATCGCGAGAAAGCGGGCGCCAGGGACCCAGGTCAGTGTTTCCGGGTGTGGGCACACCAGGTGGGGGAAAGGCGGGCTGGAGGGTCTCCTGATATACCTGAGTGGGTCTGGCTCCTGTGTCTCTTCGGGAGTCTTGCCTTTTGGGGGCCCACCTCCTGCACCCGCTTAGATGGCGAGGCTGGGGGATGTTGTTTAAATCCCTCAGACAGGGGAAGGGAGACCAGGCACCCGCCATTTGCTGTGAAAAGAGGTCGTCCCTGTAACACTTTTGTCCTATGGGCGGACCTCTGTCCCATCTCTCCTTTTTAATAAAGTGCAGGCTGAAGGCCAGACAGAAGTGTGAGGGGCAGAGGAGGCCCCAGGCTGTGGTTCTTTCCACGCAGCCAGGACGGGTCAGACAGCAGCACCTGGCCCGCCCCAGGGCCCGGAGCTGGCAGCACAGTCTGGCCTGGTCCGCCCACGGGCCCGTGGCGGGAGCGTCAGCACAAGTACACCTGAACCCAGGGGCTGGGCTTGCCTTTTCCTCCAGGTGCCGTGCCCACCGCTGGCCTGGCGCCACCTCCCCTGAAGCCTAGGAAGGTCTGGATTGTCTACTCAGCAGACCACCCCCTCTACGTGGACGTGGTCCTGAAGTTCGCCCAGTTCCTGCTCACCGTCTGCAGCACCGAAGTGGCCCTTGACCTGCTGGAGGAGCAGGTCATTGCAGAGATGGGGGTCATGACCTGGGTGGGCCGCCAGAAGCAGGAGATGGTGGACAGCGACTCCAAGATCATCATCCTGTGCTCCCGAGGCACCCGGGCCAAGTGGCAGGCCATCCTCGGCTGGGAGGATCCTGCCGTCCAGCTCCGCTGTGACCACCAGAGGCTCGCCGGGGACCTCTTCACTGCAGCCATGAACATGATCCTGCCGGACTTTGAGAAGCCGGCCTGCTTTGGCACCTACGTCATCTGCTACTTCAGTGACATCAGCAGCGAGGATGACATCCCCAACCTCTTCCACATCATGCCCAGGTACCCACTCATGGACAAGTTTGAGGAGGTGTACTTCCGGATCCAGGACCTGGAGATGTTTGAGCCGGGCCGGATGCACTGCGTGGGGGAGCTCACTGGGGACAACTACCTGCAGAGCCCCAGCGGTCAGCAGCTCCGGCAGGCCGTGGACCGGTTCCACGAGTGGCAGGCGCAGTGCCCCGACTGGTTCGAGCGCCAGAACCTCTGCTCGGCAGCTGACCAGGACCTCCAGCTCCTGGACGAAGAGGTGTTTGAAGAGCCGCTGCTGCCGCCGGAAAGCGGGATCAAGAAGCAGATGCCGCTGGTGCGGGAGCCCACTGAGGAGGACGGCCTGGCGGTGGAGCTGCTCCTGACCGAGGAGGGTGGGCGAGTGGCCCGGCTGCACCCCCAGCATCAGCCCCAGGGGCAGCTGGTGGCTCAGAGCCTGCAGACCATGGTGCTGGCCCTGGAGGCAGCCCCTCCCACTCAGGCCCTGGAGCCTGTCTCTCCTGCTGTGCCCAGGAGCAGCCTAGCTAGTCAGGTGGCCGTGGTGGAGGGGGGCGAGGCCTGCCCACTGCTGGAGGGTTCTGGCCCCCAGCGGAACAGTGTCCTCTTCCTCCCGGTCGGCCTGGAGGACACTCCTCTCTGCAGCACACCGAGGGCATTGTCCGACGACCTCCCCGAGGCCATAAGGGAGCAGCTCGAAGGCTTGATGCTCTCGCTCTTCCAACAGAGCCTGAGCTGCCAGGCCCCAGAGGCCTGGGGGCAGCCGGCGCTGGCCCTCCAAGAGCTACACACACCCTATGGGGAGGGGCAGCGGGAGTCGGTGCAGTCTGACCAGGGCTACATCTCCAGAAGCTCCCCACAGCCCCCCGATGGGCTGGTGGAAGTGGAAGAAGAGGAAGCCAGGCAGGACCTGGGACAGTCGGCCAAGCAACTGTCCCCGGAGGCACTGGAGAGCCTGCGGAGTCTCCAGAGACGGCTCTTCTTCCAGGACCTTCAGAAGGACTCGGGCTGGGACAGTATGGAGCCTGAGGACCCAGTTACATAAGGCCTGCAGACCCAGAGTGTGAGAGGGAGTGTGTGTGCCTGGGTGTGCACATGTTTCTGTGTGTATATGTGTATATGTTCTCGTGTGAAATGGTACCTTTCAAATGCAGACATCCTGATTTTGATGCCTAGACACCCTTCATCATTTTTCTTTCTGGGGCCATCTGGTCATCTTCCATCCTCACAAAAGTCTGCAGCCCGTTCCCAGGAGCTGGCGGCAGTGGATTGGAGTCTCCATCATTCACACATTTGTTGACTGTTAATTTTGTGCCTGCTATGTGCCAGGTGTCCAAGATACAGAGATAAATTGTACCTGTCATTGGCCCTGGCCGCTAAGGAGCAGGTTTGCAAATAGAGGATGGTATGCAAGCCGTGAAGGCCCAGTTGAGGCCTGCCTGGGGCCAGGAAAACACAGAAGGGGCCCCTGGCCCAGGGCACAGTCCTGGAGTGGGTGTTGTATGAGCCAAACAAGAGGCTACTTCCCTGGGCTGGCAGGGATCTTGTGCTTGGAGGAGGCACTGGTGCTGAGGAGGAAGGGGCCCGCCCCCTGCAGGCTGCCCACTGAGCCTGGGGAGCCATGGTGGAGCAGCTGCAGCCCAGGCTGGGCGCTGGGCCATCAGCCCGAAGGCCTGGCACTCCTTGGGTGTGATGAGCTGTTGCACTGCAAAGGTGGCGGCTGAGGGCCAAGCATAGCTGGGAGCCACCTCAGGTCATTCTGGAAAGAGGAGAGAGACCTGTAAGGTGAAAGCGAACAGCATTATTGGGGAGAAGGGATGAAGCCCTGAGCCCCTTCCCCCCTACCCCCTACCTTATACTGGGTCCAGCAGCAAAACGAACTGAGTGTGAGCTATGAAGGGTCCACGTGGGGCGGTGGGAGGGCACTGAGGCTCTGGGCAGGCCCTTTGTGGGAGAGGAAAGCATGCCATGCTGATCTTACTACAGGTGTGAGATTCGAGGGCAATGTTTGAGGAGAGATGCTAAGGACCAGTGTGTGAGGGTCCTGGGAGAGCACCCTGGGATGCCGTCTGGCCCTGCAGCCAATTGTGCCGCTGCCTGTATCTGAGCGCTTACCTGCAGCTTTGAGTGTCCAGCTGGGGGTGGGGGGTGCACAGTGCGTGTGCAGCAGGGAGGGGAGGAGGGGATTGTGAAATGTGATGAGAAAGCAGGCATCTTGGCTGCATGTGTGTGTGCATGAAAGATGATCAATAAAAGGATGAACACATTTAACTTTGGGAAGACTGCCTGGTCGTTATTTTTTTTAATGAATTATTATTTTTAAATATTTTATTTATTTATTTATCTTTAGAGGGGAAGGAGAGAGGGAGAGAAACATCAATGTATGGTTGCCTTTCGTGCGCCCCCTGCTGGGAACTGGTCTGAAACCCAGGCAGGTGCCCTGACTGGGAATCGAACCGCGTTTGTCTGGTTCGCAGGCCTGTGCTCAATCCACTGAGCTACACCAGCCAGGGCTGGTCGTTATTTTTGAGTCACATGTTCCCAAAGGTCAAGAAGCTCCTCGTTGGGGAGTCCTGTCTTGCAGTGAATAAGCCAGGGAGCAGCAGGACCACTGGGACTCAGGTCCCAGCCAGTGTCTCGTCCCGGCCCAGCCCAAAAGCCACAAAGGACCCATTCGGGGGAGGGGTGCCCCAGATGGGACACCCATATCCCCTCAAAGTCCTTGAATTGAAATCTTAATCCCTGAGGTGAGGGATTAGTGCGCTTATGAGAGACTCTGAAGAGCTCCCTCCCACTGCTGCCATTTGAGGACACAGCAAGGTGGTCACCTAGGCACCAGGCTCTCACTGGACATCGCGTCTGCTCAGCATTGACCTGGGACTGCCCAGCCTTCAGGACTTGGGAAACAAATGTTTGCTGTTTATAACCAGCCTGGTCTACAGGACTGTCACAGCGGTGAGAGGGACTACGGAAGAAAGCCACTGAGTCCTCCCAGCCACCAGCCTCTGGGGTCCATCTCTTCAGGGCCCATGAGTGGGAGGTGGGCCTCCGTGTGCCGGGACACCCTCCACGCACTCGTCAATGAGCGCTCATTAAACGTCCTCGGTATGGCCGCCATGCTGGGCCCGTCCCTCGCCGGAGCAGGGCTCCGCCGGACAGCAGCATCTGGGTCCTGGCATCGGTGTCGTGTTCCCCACAAACCTCGCGTTCTGGCTTTGCCACCTGTTGCTCACTCTGTTCCCTTTACGTGTGGGGCAGCTGCTTTTTTCCCTCCCAGCTTAATCCCTGAACTATGTAAGTCACACACTACACAATCCACCACTGACCCTGTGCAGTCCAGTGGCTTTTAGGAGTTCGGACTCCAGCAATCAGCCGCAGAATTGATTCTAGAACGTTTTCTTACCCAAACAAACATGGCACCCCTTACCAATGACCCCCAAACCCTCTACCCACCCCTGCCCCGACCCTAGGCAACCACCCATCGCCTCTCTCTCCGCGGAGGGCCTGTCGTGGACGCGTCGTCCATACACGGAATCGTGAGGTTCGGCAGGCTGCCTGACCCTCTCTTTACCATGGTCCCTCCGTTGCTTCCCTGTCCTTAGAGCCCCCAAATCTTGCACTGGTCCCTCTGGGGCTGGAAATTCTGCCGGTGTACGGGGCCTGCCGTCAGCCAAATGCCAAGAGGCGCCCGTGCGCGTACGAAGCACATCATTCTGCACCAGGGCTGGCGGATTCCTGCTTCTCTCCGAAGAACCCCTCCAAGAAAGAGGCCCCGACAACTGCCGCCCTCCCGCCCTCCGGGCCCTGCTCCCGGACAGCCTGCCCCCCGGGTGGAGCCACACGTTTCCCGCCTGTTTCCGCCTGCCGTCCCCATCCCGGTCCGGGAGGAAATCCGGACGGTGCTCCCACGGCGCGGCTCACACCGAGGGTTTAACCCGGATGCTCCTTCTGCCTGGACGCTCCGCAGCGGTGTTTCCGGCCTGAGGGCTCGCTCGGCACTGAGGCAGGCGCTCGTTCACTCCTTTGAGCTGCAGTTAGAAGCCGGGGTGTGCCAGCCTTGACGCACTTCCTGCCGGTCTTTGCAGACTAAATAGAGCCGTTCTCCTCCCCGCCCCCATAGGTGAGGGCGGAGCCACCGCCTCCTGAGACCACCTGCCGCGGGGGTGCCGCCCGCAGCCTGCCCCAGACTCTGCAGGGAAGCGGGGACCGAGTAGCCTTGAACTTAGAGTAACACGCAGAGCTGGCAGTCAAGCCCAAGCGGTCACGTCAGCTGCGTAGGGCAGTTTTCTTAAAAAGAGGCTGAGCGCGGGCAGCCCCGGTTCAACGCCGACAGAAACCCCCGACTTGCGGTGTGAAAAGGAAACTTTGTCCAGGGCAGCACAGCTCAAACGTGGCGACCTGTCTCCCCCCTGGACGGCTCCGCTCTGGCCGGTCGGCTTCGGTGTCCCGGCTCAGACCGCGCGCACAGGTCTCTGCGGACTCCAATCCTTGAAGCCTGATTGGTCCAAAAAGCCAGTGTTCTGATTGATCAGAATGGATACCCCTGGCTGGACAGGGAAAGACTCGCTCCCATTGGCTGAAACAGAATCCCAGGAGCTCCTCCAGGAGGGCTGCTCAGACCGCAGGAGTCCAGGATGGGCTTCTCCCCAGTGCGATTTTCTCATAAGGCCCATGCACAGAAATGGTTGCTAGGATCCTATGGGGATTTGTTTTTGCTTTTTTGGTTTTGTTTTTTCTTTCAACCTAAGCCCAGGTAGCTACCTACCAGAAGACTGTCTTAGGTGTCTTCTTGCTCAGGGTTCACGGACCTCACTTTGCTTGTCTGTAAAATGGGCGCAGCAAGAATTAATTCCTGCCTCACTGGGTCCGGGTGAGGAGTGGGTGAAGCACACCTCGAATCACCCAGGAAACAATCCACACATTACAGCTGTAAGTGGGCGCAGGTGTCCCACTCCTCCCGCCCCAGCCCCACCCACGGCTGCCTTTGTAAGAAGCCAGGGGCTGCCTTGGTCTCCTGCCTCCACACGGAGGAGCGCTCGGACCTGAGTCTGGGTCAGAGCGGCTTAGGAAGCCTGAGCTGTTTACCCCGCCTCCTTTCCTATTGTCTCCACTTTCCTCGTCAACGAAAAAAGTAACTTGTGATCCAATACTTGGCGTCAATTGAGAGCTCAATACATGTGCTGTCTGAGTGAACGTGCTCATTTTGGGGAAATTGAAGCAGCATGGATTCTACAGATTATAGGTTATGGGAGAATACGAAATAGACCAACTGCCCCAGCCTACGGGGACAGACTGTGAAGGTGGAGTGCCCCACTGCCTCCCACCTTGGGCCTCCCACCTTGCTCCCAAACGGCTTCCAGGCCCCTCTCCGTTCTTTGGCTTCTCTCCAGTTCCCCAGGCCCTGCCGCCCTGCCCAGACCTTGGCACCAGGCCCACTCTCCAGACCCCTCCATGAGGGCTGGCTCAGGCAGGCGGCCACTTTGTTGGAGGCACTCCGAGCCCCCTCTCTCAGGATCTGAAAGGTGCCACAAGTAGTGTCCAATATGCCTCCTCCCCACCTGCTACCTAGATGCCTGTCCTGGGAGAAGTAGCCCCTTAGGGTTAGGGCGTTAACAGTTCAGTATGCGTTAGTCTACTGGATCCTTCCTTTCCCAACAGAGAAGAAGGAGACACAACAGTGCCCAGAGAGGACAGGAGAGAGCAGGAAGGAGAAGGGGAATCTCCACTGGCCGTCACCCCTCCTGCTGGGACACAGACGTGATGTCTCACTGTCAGCTTTTGCCCAGTCCCCGTGTACGGGGCACACAGGAACGGTGAAAGCCAGCCCCTGCTCTTTAGCCAGACACTCTCCACTTCAGCGAAGGCTGAACTGAACCTGTTAGCAGCAGACGTGGGAAGGCTTCCAGGGGCCCAGATTTTGGAAGCAGATACACCTGGGTCCAGTCTGGATTCCCCACCCCCCTCCCCGACCACAGTGCGGCCTTCAGCAAGCGCCTCCGTCTTCCCAGACCTCCGGACAATGAACATGAAGCTACTTCGAGGTGGCTGTGAGGAGAGCATGAGCCAGGGTGCACCAAGGGCCGGACACAGCCAAGCCCAGGATGTAATTGCTTGATGGTCCTGAGGACCAGAGCTGCAGACTTCACCCCGGTCCCTCTGGTAAGGCCTGCACATGGCCCCAGCATGGCCCGCACACCGCTGGATCACACCTAAACTTCTTCACCTTTCACAAGGCCCCTTTCTAGACGCTCCAGCTGGCCAAGGTCAGTGCGAGCTAGCCAGCTTGCTTAACTATGAGAAATGTATAGGTGTTTATGAAATGCTCAGTCAAATTAACCAGCTCACTCTACACCTAGATCCAGGAAGAAACAAAAGCACGGTCTTAAGTGGTTCTGTAATTATTTCCCATGGAAATTTTGTTCCCTTGTTACGATGATGAATGTCTGGAGGAAGAGGACCGTGTTGGCCTATGTCACCTCATGTCATTCTCAACACAGCCTGGGCAGGTGAGCAACACTGCTCCCGTTTTACAAGGGAAGAAAACGGCCCGGGAGGTCAGGGGAGGGCCCAGAGCCCCCGAGGGCGGAGGCAGAGCCAGCCTGCGACCAGGCACTGGCCGTGCTGACTTGGGGGTGGACGGAAGCCTCGCGGGGCAAGAACACAGAGCGGGTCGCATAGTGCTGGCTGGAGAATAGTGCTACAGAAAACATATGTACATACACCAAATTTTACTTTTGTTCAGACTCAATGTTCCGTCTTAGACTCCACAGTTCCCTTTGCGTTAAAATAACAATAAAACAAAACAAAAACCCCCATGGCCTTGCCTCTCATTCACACATAAGAATTCATGCTCTGAAGGGGCAAGAGCAACAGAGCAGTTCAGAGTATTTAAAAATTAGTTCTCAGCCCTGGCTGATGTGGCTCAGTGGACTGACTGAGCACCAGACCGTGAATCAAAGAGTTGCCTGTTCCATTTCCAGTTGGGGCAGGTGCCTGGATTGCGGGCCAGGTCCCCAGTAGGGGGCGCACAAGAGGCAACCACACAGTGATGTTTCTCTAGCTCTCTTTCTCCCTCACTTGCCCTCTCTAAAAATAAATAAATGAGCCCTGGCTGGTGTAGCTCAGTGGACTGAACGTGGGCTGTGAACCTAAGGGTTGTGGTTCGATTCCCAGTCAGGGCATATGCCTGGGTTGTGGGCTAGGTCCCCAGCGGGGGCCATGTGAGAAGCAACCACACACTGATGTTTCTCTCTCTCTCTCTCTCTCCTTCCCCTCTCTCTAAAAATTAAAAAAAGAAGTAAAATATTAATAAATAAATGAAATGTTTTAAAAATTAGTTCTCAGTCTTTCCCCCTTCGGTAAGTTATTTTTAGAGAGAAATGGGAGAGAAAGTTCCGGGTGGCTGGAGGAGCTCCAGCTGCATCTTCCATCAGTCTGCCTAAGAAAGCCTGGCTAGACCCCCCCCCCCCCCCCAGGTCATGACCACAGCCACACGGCCTCCCCAAGTAGCAGGCCGCTGCCTAGAAGGAAGGTACACTCATCATGTTAACACAAATATATAATAAAATGGTGACAAATGTCACAGTGACATTTAAGAATTTAGTAAGGGAACCAGGACAGGAAAGATCTTAAAACAGACCGCACAGGAAGCTTGTCACAAGTCTCAAGTTTTTTATTTTCAGAACAGAAGCTGGTTTTATTTTTAAAAAGAGAAGGGGAGAAAAACGTGATAAATGCTAGCGAGGTGCCACTTCCCCTTCCAGGCTCAGACTGCCAGCCAGCTCTTCCCCCAAACCCACGAAATCACGGTCAGGACGCATCCTGTGGGGGAGGCCTCAGAGGGGTCCGGTCCAGCGCCTTCCTGAAGCAGGTACGGAGTCAGCAGCCCGGAGCAGGACATGCCGACGTGCTCACGTGTGAGAGGCAGGCAGCCTGGGCTCTGAAGCAGGTTCCTGTCTGTGAGCTGTGCTGGCGGCAGCCCCAGGAGACATGCACCCCTCCTTCCTGACCCACAGGGACACCTCCAGTTTGACCACCACACTACGGGTGCCCCTAGAAGGCAAGGAAAATGAAGCTGTAGGGGTCATTGCTTCTTGTGATTCAGGCAAGGGAAGTGAGTAAAAGGACTCAAAGAAAACACAGCAGAAGGGAGGGCCCGGCCCCCTGAGCTCGAGGCGGCTGCACCGAATGTTTGGCAGACAAACGTCCCCGGTTGCCACCGATTTCCTGACATAAGTAGGGGAGGGGCCGCCCCTGGGAACCGATCACAGCCTCTCCCCAGGAAGCCCAGCAGCACCCAGGTGTGAGGCCGCCATCCAAACAGCACAAAGGGGGCGGGGCAGGGGCCAGCTGGGAACTGGCCGGGGCTTGGACACCAGGCAGCAGAGAGACAGCAGAGCTGGAAGGAGCATCTGGAAGTGGACAGAGCAGCTAGGAGCCCCCCCACCGCAGGGGCTGGGCCCCCAAACTCAGAGCACATGGGATTCCAAGGGAAAGAAGAGGAGCCGGCGCAGGAAGGAGAAAAGGCAGGAAATACCCCCGTCACCTGCGAAACGCAGCTGGCCTACGTGGGGCCTGGCGGGTGAGTGGCTGGAAGCCCAGAGAGTGGTGCATGGAGTGCACACATTTTCCTTATGGTTCCCCACGGGACAGGGCGGGGGGGTGGGGGGGTCGGGGAAGCGCTGGTTAAGCCATCAGCCCCTCTTGTGGCTCTGTTTACATGGATGTCTTTTGTCAACAAGCCCCCCAAAAGTTGGGGAAGAGCGGCCCAAGCAAAAGACTGAGGCTCCAAAAGCAAAAGTGAGCAATAATCAAAACTGAAATCCGTGACTTTTCTGGCCCTTGGTCCAGCGTGTGTCACAGCACAGAGCTCCCCGAGCTTAAGAACCAGGAGGGGAAACAAAAACCCTCACAACTCCCCCCTCCCCCATCTTAATGCAGGGTGGAGAGAGTATTTCCTGGTCCCGCTCCCAGCTGCGCGCTCACCCCCCCTGAAAATACTTATCCTGCCTGCAAGAGTCCAAGGGGGTCCGTGGGAACCCCTGGGTTTCCCTCACATCGGCCCCAGCAGGAGGAGCCCCGGGGAGGCGGGCTGGGCGGTGCCAGCTTTGCTCCCCCACTTCCTTCACAAATTGTCCCTTTTCCCTGGAGATGCTCCTAACCAGGGCAAAGGACAAGGGTCACCACACCATTTGCAAGGACAGCTGGGTCCATGGGAGCCCCCACTCCACGTCTATCAAGGAATCTCACCAAAGCTGCTGTTCTGGGCCAAGCTCTGACCCAGCCAGCAACACCCCTCAGGAAGGGGGAGAGGTCTGGGTGCAGAGGGGGAGGAGGGAGAGACGAGGGCGGAGCCAGCGGCTGGTACCCCACAGACCCTGTAATGACCTTGACAGCAAACCCCAGTTGGATCCAGGGGCCATGTGGAATGCAACTTCTGGGTAGTTTGTCTTTATTTTTTGCAAGTGGCATCAGTGCATGATGCGACAGAAGTCAAAAAGTGTGGAGGTAGAAATGTCTTCCACCCATGAAAGGGTGTGGTTTGGTCCTTAGGGCAAGAACCCTCCTCCCCCCACTGAGGAGAGAGGACTCAGACCGAGGAGATCCTGGGGGAGCTTCTCTCTTGAAGAGCCAAGGGCAGCTCCCAGGAACGCAGGGCCGCGAATCCGGGAAGGAACGGGGGGGGGGTGGCCTGTGTGGCAGGGCCTCCCCAGACTCCCTGCTGATTGTGAGGGGCCACGGGGTGGACACCAGAAAACCACAGGACACACACAGCAACGTAGACTTTTTGTCTACCACTTGGAAGAAATCCGACGGAGACATCGGGGACAGTGGCTTCTGAGTCCATTTCAAGGCATGGGACAATGGCTGCTAACCACAGCCTGAAAGAAGCTGGCACTTCCAGGCGAGAGGCAAGGCCCAAGGCCCACCACCCCGTGCCTGGGCACCTCCCCCCTCCACGCCCCTCCGCCCCGCAGCCCGGGTGGGGTTGAGGGTGGAAGCAGGAGAGCAAGAAGCAGAGGCACCAGAGCCTTGGAGGCTGGGGTCGGGGTCAGGCATGGAGAAGGGAGAACAGAGAGCGTGGACCTCCTCCCTCACTATCAGCAGCTGGTCTTCCTCCAAGCCATCTTGACCCAAGGAGCACAGGACACACCCGCCCTTTGCCCTACAAGGGTGACCTCTTCCAAACAGAGCTTCGAATCATCTGAGCGAGAGGTCAGAGGACAAGGGAGCAGAGGTCTCTCAAAGGAAAAGCAAGCGCCCCCTTATTCCGCTCAACTCTGGGAGGCCACGGCGAGGGTGTTGACATAGCCATGGGCCCCTCCTTCGTTCTCCGAGACACAGTGACTCAGCTGGGAGCCTCCCTGAGGCTGCGTTGGGGGCGGCGGGGCCGAGGGCGGAGCGCCATAGCCCCCTCGGGCCCGACTGGGGGAGGGCCGGCTCCCCGGGTCCCAACAGCCCTCTAGGGCCTCCAGGCCACGGCATCCGAGGAAGAAGAGGTTCTTGAGCATGAAAATGGAGAGGGGCTGCTGGTAGCTCACCACCAGTAGGCAGCGCAGCGCCAGCAGGGGCACGTCCACCAGGCAGCCGCCCAGCAGGCGCAGGAGTCGGCCGCAGCCGCGCGGCCCCGGGGCCTGGCCCCAGGCGACGTTGAGCTCGTACAGCCAGAGCACGGGCGAGGACAGGGTGAGGAAGTAGACGGCGATGAGCAGGTAGCGCAGGTGCGCGGGCAGCGGCACGCGGCCCTCCAGCATCAGCTCCACCAGGGTGAAGCTGTCTAGCAGGTCCAGGCACGTGCCCAGGAAGCAGCCGGCGGCGCGGTGCTGCTGGGGCTGCAGGACCAGGGGGCCCGTGGAGCCCGGCGGGGCACCCGCCTCGCTGATGGCCCGCACCAGGCTGTAGAGCAGAGGCACCGACAGCGCCATGGTGAGGCGGAAGCCCGTGGTGCCGAAAGGCGCGCGCAGCTCGATGAGGTCGAGGATGGACGTGCCCAGGATGAGCACCACCTTGGGTGTGAAGGCGATGGAGTAGATGAGCCAGGCCAGGTAGGCGAAGGCGAACTCGCCCACTGCCGGGGCGGTCCCCGGGACGCCCCCGGGGCCTCCGGCGCCCCCGCGGGACCCGCGGGACTTGGCCCCGGCGGAGGCGGCGTGGTGGTGGTGCGGGGGGTGGCTGTGCGCGCCGCCCCGACGGCCCCGGCTGTTTTTGGCGAAGAAGATGGCCCAGCCCACCACCACGACCAGGTCGGTGGCGATCCAGGAGCACCAGTACAGGTCGGTGACGGCGATGAGGTACAGGTCCAGCAGCCCTCCCTGCGCCAGCAGCAGCACCACGGACAGCGCCTGGTAGCCCCAGCCGCACCCCGAGCTCCGGCCGCAGCCGGGGCGCCGACCTCTGCGGGTCGGCGGGGCCGGGCGGCCGCAGCAGCAGCAGCGGCAGCAGCGTGAGCAGCAGGAGGCGCCGCTGCCTGTCCCCGTGCCGCCCGCAGCCCCGGCCCCGCGGCCGCCCGCACCCCCGACGCCCCCGGCCGCAGCGCCCCCGCCGAAGTCCCCGGCCGTCATGCTGCTGGAGGAGGTGGGCGTGGACGAGGGGGTGGCGGCGGAGAAGGCGGCGCGCGCGGGGTCCGCGTTCGGGGCGCCCCCCGCGGCCAGGGGCCCCGGGATCCCAGCGGCAGCAGCGGGCACCAGCGGCTTGCTGACACTGACGCTGTCGTCGTCGTCCTCGCGCTCTGCTCCGGAGCTGCTACTGCTGCTGCTGCTGCTGCTGCTGGCGGGGGAGCCGCCGCCCCCGCCCCGGCTGGCGCTGGTGCTGCTGTCGCCGGAGCCGCTCTCGGCACGGGGGGCGCCCCCCCGGAGGCACAGGGGCTGCGCCCGGGCCGCTGCTGGGCGAGGCTGGCAGGAGCCGGACGAAGACGAGACCGAGCGGGGGTGGCCGAGCGCCGGGTGCATTGTCCTCCGGGGCCGCCCGCGGCTCCCTGCCCGCCACCCCCGGGCTGGCGGGGCGGCCGAGGGAAGCCGGGCAGGCCGCCGCCTCCTCCCCAGCGGCGGGAGCGGGACCCGGGTCGGGCAGCAGCGAGATCCGGACTGGAGCCGCCGGACTGGGCGAGCGGAGTACCGGGTGGCTGGGAGCTGGGACGGCGCGGCGGGGCGGGGGCGCCCGGTCGGGAGGAAGGGCCGCCGGCTGCGGAGAAACCAGGACTGGATCGCGGGGAAGGGGAGGCGGAGCGCGCAGAGGAGGGGAAAGCACGGCTGGCTGGATCAGCCGGAGAAGGGGGGACGGGCGGTGTCGGGGCGCGGGGAAGGGGAGGTGGCTGTCCCAGCGAGAAGGGGCGGAGGCGGGGGCTCAGCGCCGGGGACGCATAAAGGGAGCACGAGGTTCCTAGAGACGTGGCCACGCGGTCCCCCCCCCCCCCCCCCCCCGCAGAAACCCCGGAGCGTTAGTGGTTCGTGACCACAGCCTCCCAGCGCGGGGCTGAGGGGCAGACAGGCTCAGGCCCTCCCGGCTCTGCACAGTCCCTGCGGCCGGCAAGGGGGCAGCTTGGGCCTCTTCGCGGTCCAGTGCCCTCGCCTTCCCGTGGGCCCGCCTCTCTCGCCAGGTGCCCAACCTGCGGCCCAGAATGACTGTGAGTGCGGCCCAACAAAAAATCATAACTTTTCTTAAAACATGATGAAATTTTCTTGTGATTACATGTCACAATGTATTTAATGTGTGGCTCAAAACAACTCTTTTTCTTCCAGTGCGACCCAAAGACGCCAAAAGTTTGGACACCCCTTCATCGCATTTAAAAGCTAAGGGAGGAGGAGGGCCTTTCTGACCGACAGGACCAGGAGCGGCACCCGGGCACAGGAGTTTGTACAGGCCACCCCCCTCCTGCCCCCCTGCCGCCCCAACCCCGCGCTGAGCAGGGCTTTAGGAGTCTCCATCCGGAGGCCCATTCGCGACCACTGACAGGTCCTCTGCGTGTAACTGGGAGCAGAGAGCAGGTTAAATGAGGACATGGAAGCCCCCTACCTGTAAGCTCTGGGCTCCTTCTGACTCACCCCTGGAGCCGGTCCACATGGGGCTGGAAGGCAGCAGGTGGAGTTATGCCTTTCGGGGTTTAGGGCAGAAGAAATGACCAGAACAGGTTTGACCCCGCCCCAAAATAGATATGCTCATGTAGGGCACAAGCACCTGAACCCCCGTCAAAGCGAAGCCCGAGGCTCACCTGCCCCTCTCCCTGCACCTCAGGCTTGAGTCTGCATGTTTGCAGACTGGCTAAGCCACCTGGACAGCACCCCCCGTGGGGCAGAGACAACTTGCACTAGAGTGTAGGCAGGGGTTAGGGCTGAGCTGGCTCAGGCCAGGAAGCAGGGGATGATTGCAGGCAGTCTCCTTGCTCCCCCGAGGGTGCCAGGGTCCAGCCTCAGCAGGTCTCAGGGTCCCCAAAGGATGGACGGCGATGGACCAATGAAGAGTCAGGCACCCGATTGGATGCTGGAGACCGCCAGCCTCTGTGGGTCTGACCGAACTCACAGACTTTGATTCAAGCTTTATTTTTATAGAGATTGTTACATAACATTAAAAGAACAGGTGTATGGCATGATCAGTTAAGCAGAAAAAATCAATACAGAGGCAACTAGGAAAAGTACAGGAAATTCCATAGATTCAGTTATGCTAAACAAAGGTTATTTTGGCCAGGAGAGTCATTAATCAGATTATTAGAAATAGCTGGCCCTGGCTGGTGTAGCTCAGTGGACTGAGCATAGGCCTGCGGACCAAACAACTGCGGTTCAATTCCCAGTCAGGGCACATGCCTAGGATGCAGGCCAGTTCCCAGCAGGGGACGCACGAGAGGCAACCATACATTGATATTTCACTGCCTCTCTCCTTCCATTCCCCTCTAAACACAAATAAATAAAAATCTTTAAAAAAAAAGAAATAGCTGTATGTACAGAGTTTTAAATGTCTTATTTATTAAAGTTCTTAGAATTTGGCATGGGTCAGAGGATACGCTAGACTGAACAGTGGTTATAGGAAATTTATTACAAGGCCTTTGTGCTGTCTAACTTAGCTATCTATCTTCCTGTCTAAAATGTTACTTTGTGGACTTTGGACTCTAACTCCTTGGTAATTATTTCTACGTGTTCAGTTTGTAATAGTTAACCAGCTCCTCCTGCTTCTTTACCTGTCTAATTCTAATTAATATATATTCCTGTCCAAGGTAGAGGAGGGGCTGTTACTCCAACAAATTTTAGATGTTCAGGGGCTACCCCATTAGGGGGGACTTTGTTCTATGGGCCAAGAAATTATTTTGTACAATCTCATTGGAATTCTGTGGATCACTGGGCTAGAAATGCAGGTGTCTAAAAATCCCACCACCTATTAATCGCAAAGACAGACATGCAGGGAGAGACAGGAAATCCAGCCACAGTTGCCTCTGCTGTGCAGACGCATCTCATCCGTCCCGACTGTGTCAAGGGACGGCTGTTGGTCGGCTCCCGACACAAGGGGACACCAGCCAACAGCCACCCTGAACGTTGGCTCAAGACCTCTGCCTACACTCATGAAGCAGAGGCAGCTAGTGAAGGCAGAGGACAGGGCTCCTGAGAGAACACTGACACCCTGTCCCCACTCGCCACCCCTGCCCCCCGGCCCTGGCCTCTGCTCCCACCTGTCAGGTGCCCCCTAAAGACAAGCTGCCTTGCCTGTCACCCTCTGTGCTTCAGGGAAGTGGACAGTCAATCAGCTGGCTTAACTCTCTGAGAGACTCTGTAGCCCAGTGTTTCCGGGTCTGAGGCCTTCAGTAAAGACACCACCGGTGGCCCTGGCCAGGTCGCTAAGCCGGTCGGAGCACCGGCCCAGTGCACCAAGGCTGCGGGTTCGATCCTTGCTCAGGGCACACGCAAGAAGCAACCAATGAATACATGAATGGGTAGAGCAACAGATCCATGTTTCTCTCCCTCTCTCGTCAATTAAAAAATAAGTAAATAAAAAAGAGGAAAAGGCAAATAAAAAAGACTGCAGGTAAAGAAGATGGAGAACAGTGCATACAAGTTAGGCCGGTGGTCTGGGTACTCGAGGGATTTGCTCTTGCACAGGGCGTTTCCTGACCTTCTGGGTGCACACTCAGCTCCGCTTCCACCTGGAAAGGGCTGGACAGAGGTGTGACAGGGTGACGCGGGAGACAAAAGATTTTCTCCCATCTGGAGTACAGACATCCCCGAAGGGCCCAGAACAGGGAAGGAACAGTCACTGAGGCTCCTCATCAACTCACTCCAGGTCACCCAGCTGGTTCAGGGCCGAGTCAGGGCCTGTTACATGCCGGGCTCACCTGCAGCCCTAACGCCCTCGTTCCCCTGGCACAAAAGGGCGAGGGTTCACGCCTCCCGGAGCAGCAGTGGATGCACTCAGATGAAGGAGCAGAAGATCCTAGTCACTCAGCAGCAAAGGAAGCTCAGAGAGGCACAGCCAGCCCTTCCCAGCACTGAGCCGAGGCCCCTCTGGACGGTCCGTCTTCTCCCTCAGCTCGGCATCTCTCCGCTTCCCAGCAGGGATGAAGACGGCCCACAGGTGACCGTCAGAGGGTGGGAGGAGACTCACAGGTGCACCCCGCGGAGTGACAGCAGCAGGGTCCCCCTGTGCTCACGTACTGTGGCCACGGTGACTCCGGGACAGAAAGGGCGGCCCACAGAGGGCAGTGCTGGCAGCGTGCGGGGCCGCGATGCTCTGGGCTGTCACGACCTGGAGCCTCTGCACTGAGAACTCCCGGAGGACAGACGCTGCCCCTGCCCCCGTCACAGCTGCTTTGTCACCTGGCGCCAGACCTCACCCTGAGCTGCTCCACAGGTGCCCCCTGCGGCAGCGCCCCCGGGGCAGTCCCTGGAGGAGGTCCGGGGGTTCCAGAGACAAAAAAACCGAGTCCTTTCCTAGAAGCTCAGACTGGGAGGGAGACAGGCGTGTGAACAATAAAGTATCACGAAGTTTAGGGCCAAGTGTTTGGTGCTATTTGACTACAAAGTCAACCAGACGCCCCTGCCCTCTCCCGGGAGGGGTCCCAGGGTCCCAGGGATGTGGAGGCCGCTGTGGAAGATGCTCCCTCAGAGTGGGAGGGGGACGAGCACGTTTCGAGTCAGACCCCTCTTCTCTGCCTCCAGAAAAGGAAACCATGACATCAGCCTTCGGGAAGTGAGAGCTGGAGGAGCCTGGAAGCAAGAGCTGAGCCTCCGCGGCAGTTCACACCCTGCGACAATCCTCCCACCTCCAGATCCGAAAAAGCTGCCAGAGCCCCGAGCGAGAGAGAAGCAGGCGTCCCTCGCAGCCCAGCCTCAGCAGCCCCACACGGCAGCGGGCAGTGACAGAGCGAGGGGGAAATAACTGACCGCCGAGACGTTTTAAAGTGCCGCCGGTCGCTACAGCAACCCTGGCTCCGCGGGGTTACCAGCCCACGGGGCGGCCGAGGGGTCCCGCCACCCAGGGGACACCCAGGAAATGCCCCTGTTCCAACTCCACTCAGTGTGACCACCTGATAGTATCCTTTTGTTCCAGGTTAACAATTTTATTGTAAACAAGGGCTTCCTTCCTGTTCAGATTGGTTTACAAGTCCTTTTTGTTTCATAGGCTCTTGGCTCCATCAACACACAGAGAGGTGACATTGTTATTCAGTCTGGGGCTGAGCTAACGGAGCCCCTGCGGGTCTTGGTGCCACCAGTTCAGACGAGGCCACTGCGAGGCAGGCCAGCCCTGCGGTCTCGGGAGCTGAGGGGTCTCAGCCCTGCAGGGCTGCTCCCTACGTCCCCGCCCTCGGCTTGTCTCCCCACCTCTGCTCTCACCCGTCCTCGAGTGTGGTGAGCTCGGCCCCTCTGGCCGCGGAGAGCACCCAGGCCTGCTCCACTACTGTCCAGGGACACGAAGCCAGGCTCAGAGGGGACCGTGGGCTGGGGAGGACAGGACATGTCTAGAGAGCGCTCTGGGATCAGAGCCAGGGCACCAACTTTGGCCCCGGCCGGCCCTTCCAGGGACTGACTTTGAAATGACTCCGAAATGTGACGTCCACGGGGCTGGCACTGTGGGCTGGTCTCCGCTATGGTGCGGGGAGCAGGGGGGGGGGGGACACGACACAGATTTCTTTTTCTTTTTTTAAGATTTTACTTATTTATTTTCAGACAGGGAAGGGAAAGAGAAAGAGAGGGAGAGAAGCATCCATGCGTGATTGTCTCTTGAGTGCACCCAACTGGGGACCTGGCCCACAACCCAAGCCTGTGCCCTGATTGGAAATCGAACCGGTGACCCTTCCGTTCCCAGCTCGACACTCAGTCCACTGAGCCGAGCCAGCCGGGCAGCAGACTCCTGTAGGTGTTTTTACTGAACGCTCTTTGCCCTGACGCCCTCAGCCGTGAACGTGGACAGACAAGGACCCTCAGCCTCCGTCAGGGGCACTGTGAGGCTCTGACAGAGTGTGGACAGACGTCTGTTTTAAAATGCTTTGGAAACTCTGGCTGGGGTAGCTCAGTCAATTGAGTGCGGACTGTGAACCGAGGGGTCACTGGTTCGATTTCCAGTTGGGACTCATGCCTGGGTTGTGGGCCAGGTCCCCAGTGGGGGCCATGTGAGAGGCAACCACACAGTGATGTTTCTCTCTTTCTCCCTCCCTTCCCCTCTCTAAAAAATAAATAAATCTAGCCCTGGCTGGTGTAGCTCAGTGGATTGAGCGCAGGCCTGTGAACCAGAGGATCACGGTTCAATTCCCAGTCAGGGCACATGCCTGGGTTGCAGGCCAGTTCCCTGCAGGGGACACGCTAGAGGCAACCATACATTGATGTTTCTCTACCTCTCTCCTTCCCCTCTAAAGATAAATAAATAAATAATTAATTTTAAAAAATAAATAAATCTTTTAAAAAAATAAAATAAAATGCTTTGGAAAAGGTTCCCTGGAGAGTGTCTTCTGGCAAGACCGTCATCACCCAGGCCAGTGGCTCCAGTCACAGACAAGGTGCTTCAGAAGCCAGGGCATCCCCCGAAGGGGTCCCGGGCACCGAGGCTGCGCCGCTGGCCGCCCACCCGACGCCCGGCCCCCGCCTGCCTTCTGTGCACACCTGGCCCCGCCTGAGCGGCAGTGCGCTGGCCCTGCCTCCTCCCGCTCCCGGTTCCTGGGGCCCAGCTGGAACCTATCGCCCAGAACTGCAAGTCTGCAGGTGGAACTTCTGGAAAGTTCTTTCAAAGACCTTTGCCCCTTCTCCTCCGCCTTGGAGTGTGGGTGAGGCCTGAAAGCGGACCGGTACATCTTGCACCTGGACAGACACACGCGCCAAGGTCGGCGGGCAAGCACCAGGTCCCTGAGCAGATGCCGAGGCGCTCCCCGCAGCCCGAAGTGCCTGCCTCGGCACGTCTGTGGTTTGGGAAAAGCGCCACCTGTCTGTTCAAGCTGCCGCAGTCAGATTCCTGCCACGAGCAACCGAACAAAACCCAAAAGGACACGGGCTGCACTTAAAGCAGCTCCTCTAGGGAACACAGGTTGCCGGTTTCACAGGAGGGGAGACGGCCGCTGGCCTGGGGCCGGGAAGGCTCTGCTCAAAGCCATCCAGCGGCAAGCAGCAGACCTGGGGGTGGATTCCAGGCCAGGAACCCACCAAGGCCCGGACTCCCCAAAGGAGAGACGAGAAAGCTACATCTGTCTCCAGGGATTTGCAGGGTCTGTAACCCTACGGAGCTCCGGCCGCAGGTGTGGGGAGAAGGGCGAGTCAACAGACGAGGCTGCGGGGCTCGGGGTGTAGAAGACACAGGGTAAGGAGTGAATGTAAGTCACGGGGGTAAGGACTAAAAAGAGGGAAGGCGGACCCTTGTGGACTTTGGGAATAGGGCCAGGAGGGCAGGTGCGGAGCCGGGAGGCGGAAGTGTGGGGGCCGGTGTGACCAGTAGGAAGTGGCCTCAGGAACCCGGGACAGGGCCTGTGCCCGGTGAGGAACTGGGCATTCAGCCCGAGAGAAAGCCACAGGAGGGTTCCCGTCAGAAAACGGACCAGGCTTGTGATGTGACCCCGGGGAAGGAGAAGACGGGGCGGGGGCGGGTGAGACGAAGACTGGGGGCCGCAGCCCCGTCCAGGCGTGGAGGCGGCAGCCCGGGCCGGCACGGGGAGCTGGAAAGGCACAGGCGAGGCCACCCCCCCGCCGACCGCCAGCCCGGCCCTCGGGAGGTGAGGCGGGAGGGGGAGACAAGGGCAAGTCCCAGCGCAGCTCAGTGAGGGGCGCTGCCGTCTGCAGCCGGGAGCGCTGAGCCGCACCGACTCCCTGGGGTGCAGGCAGCCTAGGACAGGGCTCTGCTCCGACACCTCCGCCAGGAAAGGTCTTCGTTCTGCCTCTGACGTCAGCTCGAGCCCCTCCGATCTCATGGCCACTTTCTCCGCCTCCTGCGTCCCCTCCACTGTCCATGAGGCCGGGAGGCCCAGCAGAAGGGGCCGAGGCTCGTGTCTGAGAGGCGGATGGGGTGGGCTGGGTCCCCGCCAGCTGGACAGGTTGCGTGGAGCTGACTGGGGGGTCTGGCCCGTCTGTGTCCTGGGTGGCAGGGAGCCCGGGACACACCTTCTGAGAGTCCCTGCAGGACAAACCAAAGGCAGGTCCCTTCTCTTCCCACGTGGGAAGTCACCAAAGCCTGGGCAGGGGCTGCCAGGGACAGACGAGGGTGGGAGGAGGCAGTGGCTCCCCCAGGAGCGAGGAGCCAGGTCTCTCTGAGACCCGCCCCCACCCACCGGCCTTCCCCCACTGGACTTCTCTGTCCACTCCAGACAGACCCGCACAAGACAGGGCATGAGGAATATTTATTATGATTATTTTAATTTAAAAAATAAGCTCAGTAGTAGTCTGGGCAGCAAACCTAAGGACAGTAAAAAGTAGTGTCTGGGTACCAGTCACCCACCGAGCACGCACAGGGCCCGCGGTGAGCGCCACACGACTGTGCACGGCCCCTCTTTTCCCCAAACCCTGCTGCAGTGAGGGGAAACTGAGGCACGGAGCTGCAGAGGACAGGTGGACGTCGGACAGGCCCTGGACACAGGAAATCCTGGTTCTGCGCCCCAGCACCGCCCTGAGGCTGCTGCCGCAGGGGAAGGTCACCGGCACATCCCCGGTTGGGCAGCAGGCCGGCGGGACATGGGGGCCCTGGACAGCCCCACGCTGCACGCCCTGTACTACGCCCAGCCCTCCTGGCGGAGGACCAGCCGCACAGCCTCGTCCACATCGCTCACGACATGGGTCGCCTCCAGGAGCCCTGGGCTGAGGCCGAAGTCCCGGTGCCCGTGGAAAGGGGGCTGCTCTGATGGCCCCGGCGCCGAGGGGCTGTACACACCAGTGCACACCAGGATGGAGGTGCAGCTCTGCGCATCCAGCGGCGACTCCGCGCCCACCTGCTGGGCCGTCTGCAGGTGCTGGTGGAACAGGTTGGCACCGTAGATGTCCGACATGGGGTTGTCCCTGGTCAGGTGGCCGAAGCGGCAGAGGGAAGAGAGGGAAACGGGTTCAGGGCCGAGGCGGGGGGGTGGGGAGGATGGGAGTGGGGGTGGGGTGCAGGGCGCTCACCCCACGCTGTACAGCTTCTGGATGGGCACGGCCCAGCCCCGCCTCACAGCCTGCCGCTGGATCAGCTCCTCCGCGTACCGGTAGGTGAGGATGCTGGGCTTGCCCGTCAGGCCGCAGTAGCGCAGCTCCCTGCCGGTCACCTTGCGGTAGATGGCCTCCAGGCACAGCAGGAAGGTGCCGTGGCCGAACCTGGGGGGGGGGGACAGCTCAGCAGGGCCCGTGGGGACAGGTCACAGTGAAACAAGTTCTAGTGAGAGTGGCGTTCCCTGCCCACACACGGGACCTGCTGTTGTCTGGCACCAGGTCCTGAGCACGGGCGGCACTGCAGACGCCACACGGAGCGAGTTCTCAGAAACACCCTGGGAGACCGTTCCCGTCTCACCAGTGAGGAAGCAGGAGGAAAGAGGTTAGGAACTGGCCCAGGGTGGTGGCACTGGGATTACACCCCCAGCACCTGGACTCCTGCTTTACATCCTGCTTTAGGCTTCAGGCAGACTCTGGGTGCCACCCTCCCCGCCTTCCTTGGTGCCAATTTTCAGCTGAGCACAGTGCCCTGGGAGTAAAAACCAGTCCCTTCCTCCTCCACAATTGGCTGTGTGGCCACTCGAATGCACTACAGCCAAAGAGCCAATAACATTAGAGGTGCTGGGCTAAACTTCAAGGAAGTATCCTTAAAATCGCAGAGACGATGCTCTCCTCTACCCTCCCCTATTCCTTCCTGCTGCCCGGGATGCTGGTGAGATGGCTGACACTGAGCAGCCGTTGTGGGTTATATTGGTAAAGAGCTCGGGATTGCATAGCAGGACAACAGAGGGACCCGTGTCCCTACCAGGCGAAGCTTACACACAAGACCTGGACTGCCTACTAGAGAATTACTTTACATAAGAGAGGAGTGTCTGCCTTGTTGAAGGTACTTTTGTTTGGGATCTTCATGCCTTGTACTAAACCAAATCTCAACTGATACTGCACAATATGTTAAAGTTATTAACCAAACCCCCTCACCTGGTATCAGCATACCCTAAACCTGGGAAGAACATCTCAGAAAAAAAAAACCTAATCTCGAGCTACAGAAAACCACTTGGGAGGAACGAGAACACCATACGCGCCACCTCTATGGGCGCCTGTGTGGCGTGGCTCGAGGCAGTACTGGGCCCTACACCCTGATCTCACTCACCAGCTCACTGGGGCCAGTGGCTGAGTCAGGGCGGAAACAGCACCGAGCCGCCGTCAGCCACCCTTCTGTGAGACACCTGCAGGGCCAGAGGCCCAGCCACCCGTGCTGCACCCGCCCTCTGGGACTGGGCAGGCCAGAGCTCCGCCCCGGGCCTTGAGAAAGTTGCTCGCTGACGGGCTGTCCCCCGGCCCGAACCCACATCAGAACAGCTTTCCTTCCCCGCCACCCCAGCTCCGGGGCACATGGAAACAAGCGGAGGGTGAGGCGCTTCGGGGCGGAGGTGACAGGGAGAGCAGGGCAGGCCTGGGCCCCTCCAGTCTAGGAGACGGGGTCCTGCCCTGGTTCTGGGGGCAGGGGCAGTGTGTGAGCAGCTGCCTCACCACAGCCTCAGTGCTCAATGAGCTGCAGTCTTTGTTCATAATCAGTAAGTGGCATGACCCTCAAGACCCCTCCTGGGAGGCCAAGGAACGGTCGGTGGCGACTGCAGGCTCACCCAGGTGCAGGCCTGAGCCCCAGGGCACCGGGGACAGCAGAGCAGCCAGCGCGGTCGAGGCCGGGGCTGCATCCTCACCTGGGCATCTTGGCTTCCGCCATCCAAAGGAGGTCCATGTTACTGGCCAGGACAGGGAGATGGGGGTAGGGTGCTGTTGCCAGGCCCGTCCCAGGGTTCCCATTGCTGAGAAGCACATCCATGATCAGCTGCAGGCTCGTCTCCCAGCGCACGGGCTCCCCAAGGAGGAGCACCCCTTGAAAGAGGAAAGGCACAGGGTGAGGGTGCAGGGCGCCCCGCCTGCCCCCTGTGGCCATGGGAGGGAGACCCGTGGAGACCAGCCCAGGCCTGGCCCCACTGTGCGCTCGCCTCGGTAAGGGCACAGTACCCGGAACGGCCCCGCAAGGGCCCCTCACCTCTTCCCACAGGCGAGCAGAGCCCAGGGCCCAAGGAGGCACCTCCCAAGGTCTCCCACCAGCACCGTGTCCAGCGCACGCCACTGAGGAGGCCAGAGACAACACCAGCAGTGGCCAGCCCCAGATGTTGCCCCCGCTGATTGCTCTTCTCCCTTCCCCCTCAACAAGCACTGGGCCGAGCACTGACCCTCCACAGCACCTCCCTCTGGGCCTGGGAGCCCAGCTGGGAGCCGGTGGTGACCCTAACGGCAGGCAGCCCAGGAGGGGAGGCACGGCGGCAGGGCCCAGAGTCCAGGCTGACCGTGCCGCTCTCCCCAGCTGTGGGCAAGCTCCCCACCTGCTTCCAGCAGCAGCCCACCACCACCACCACCACTTACTGCTGTTGTGAGGATGAAAACGAGACACAACAAATGCAGCAGAACCAGGGCTGGACACACAGTGCTCAACACCCGGGAGACCAGCAAACCCAACGACTGCCCCCAGAGGGCGCTACAGAGCTGGAGGGCGTGTCTCGGTGACTGACGCTGGGTGGGGAGGACAGAAGGAGGGGCTGGGGACTCCACAGGCTGGGACAGCTGGGCTCGCTCAGACACTGCCCTGTCTCTGAACGCCTGAGTGTCCCACCTGGTGCTCAGGCCGGTGAACAGCCAGTTGGTGATTCGCTGAGCCCACACCCTCTTTACACTCTACATGTAAACACAAAGCATGTTTTGGTAGTTTTAGCAAACCCCGATTTAAAAAAAAAAATGTTAGTCAAATGAGGGAAGAGATGGCCGTACTTCCTTATTTCAAAATTGCACCAAGAGTTAAAGCAAAAGAGTTTTTGCAAAACTCTTTTTGCAAGAGGTTTTGCAAGAGTTTTTGCAAAAGCGCTTTGCCCACGACAGAGCTGGGCTGGTTTCTGAGTTGCCTGAGACCCCACAGCCACCCCCAAACACATGGTCGGTCAGCGTCAGGCTGTGCCATTCGGGGCGACGCCACCACGCTTGTGCGGCTGCAGTGCCACTTCAGTGTGTCTCTCTCGACCATCAGGACACACTGAAGTGTGTTCTCCCTTCGCTGGGTTTCTTTTATTTCTACCTGTCAGAATGGTAAGAGCCACCACCTTGGAGCTTCACTTCCAGTCAGTGAAGGGGACACTACGGGGTCTGTCCCACGAGGACAGCACTGGCTCCTGGGCCAGGGACCCCTGCTCCAAGCCACCCCCAGGCCCCAGTCCACTCTACGATCTTCTGATCCTGCATTTTTCTGGAACAACGAGGCAAGTAATATGGGGAAGGAGGAATGGACAACAACGTCTCAGCAACAGTGTGTGGCGGACCGGAGACCAGGATCAAGGTGACTGAACGTTCAACAGCACCAGGAGGGCCTGAAGGGAGGGACTCACCAGACCCCGCCCACACTCGGAGAGACCTCGTTACCTTCGAGGGTGGGGAAGTCGGTCCTCGGATGAGGCTGCCAAGAGACAGAGAACAGGCCCATCAGCACCAGGGCGACCTCCCACCACCACACAATCCCACTAGTTCCCGGGGTGGGAGAGAGGAAAGGCGAGGTGCAGACAGAATGGGAGACCACCCCGAGGTCCAGCCCACGCAGAGGAGGAGCCACACAGGGCAGAGGAGGGGGACCGCGGCCGTCACAGGCCCGGCTGAGGGAGACCACACAGCACACGGAAGGTCGGCCGGGAGGAAGGCCACTCGGCTGTCCACCCCCAGCCAGGACAGGAGGCCAGGGAGGGACCAAGCAAGAGTCTAGAATCAGGTGGGCAACGAGCAAGGTAAGCCTGCGGGGAGAGAGGAGGCCACCGGGGGTGGCGGCTGCTTCCCTCGATGCCGGATGTGGGGCGGGAGCTTCCCCGTCACCACGGCTTCTGTTTCTTCCCAGGCCGCACGGTGCTGCCCCGGGGCTGAGCCGCCAGATGGCCGGCAGTGAGTCACTGCCCTGGGAGTCTCGGCCCCCCGCGCCGCTCTGAGACCCGTCCCCACTCTGGTTCTCCACCTGGCTTACTGGGCTCTAGGAGAAGCTCCCAGAGGCCATCAAAGGCACTACTCAGGCGGGCCCCCCGCAGGACGGAGGGCTAAGGCTGCACGAGCAAATGAAAGTGAGCCCATCTGTTTACAACTCGGCCCAGTTTATGCTGGTCGGACTGGAAACATGGGTGACGTGACTCACATACGGAGTCATCGTACAGAACAGGCCGAGGGCAGCCCCACCCCACAGAGGATGGATGTGAGGCCTGTGGCTACCGATCAGAAGACAGAAAATCAAGCCAGCGGTCCAAATACAGGCTGAGGCCCAAGGAGCATGGCAGACTGCGGAGCTGCCGTCTGTCTCCGAACAGGCCGCTGCTCACCGGGGCTGTGTCCACAGGGCCGGGCAGTGGAGAACTTAACAAAGGTCCCAACCCTCCAGGCAGCACGGGGAGTGCCTGCCAGTGAGACACAAGCCACTCACTAGAGGGAATGCAGCGCTCGGCGGCGGCTCTCGGCCAATCCAGAGCAGTGCAGGGAGCAGAGCCTTGGCAGGGGCGGCTCCTGAGCCACCTGCACGCTTGGCCAGGTGTGACTCTCCAAGAAGGTGGCTCTGTGGAGCGCGGGTGAGCTGTGGCTCTGAGGAGCCCACGCAGGGAGAGGAGGACAGAACTAAACAGGAAACCCTGGCACGCCCCTCCCATTACCGTGGTCTTTGGCCGTCGATGGAGATCCACCATGTCAAGAACAGGGAAGGCCAGGCGCAGCTCGTCCACAGTGACCACATTCTCGAAGCCCAGTCTAGAGCGAGGTCAAGGAAACAGCGCTGGACAGTTTCAGGGGGGTTAGGCCTCTAAAGGGAAGGGAACCAACCCAGTTCTAAGCAAACAGTCCACCTGGTCACAGACAGGAGAGAACCAAAGAGGCAGAGCCCAGCGGCAGACGGCTCCACACCCCCAGCACGAGCAATGCCGGCCGCAGGGCCCACAAGCACCTCTGTCCCTAAGGAGTTCTCCACCGGACCATGGCAGCAGCACCTGTGGAGTGCTGCCGCCATGTGCCAAGAGGTCCAGAAGAGGAGCCTGCTCGGTGGCCTGGACGGGTGTGCAGAGGGCCCGGAGAAGTCTGACCTGAGCCGCAGCTTTAAGAGGGAGCAGACTCCCTCTTAAAGGGAGGCCGTGGGGAGAGGGAAGCCTCTCCAGCCTCAGCACCTAAGACCCTCCCCCACTTCCGTAACAGGGTGCAGACAGCTCCCCCTCCAACGAGGGATCTGCAATGGGGTCCAGAACTCAGGATGTCAAGGAAATACTAAAGATATTTAGGTGTCCTCACCCCCACAAGTCTGAACTGGGGGATGGGAAATATGGAGCAGGGTCATTGAGAGTCATTCTGCATAGCAAGAGTTTTGCAAATAACCTCAGGAATGGTCACTTAGCGTATCTATAACTTTCAACTGGTTCCATGGATATGTTGAGTAGCTGTGGCCCTGTTCTGACCCAGGGAGATGGGATGTAACCAGGGTGAGTCCACCCATGACTCACCCTGGTTACATCCTTGGAGATGACTGGCTCGATACCACGGGGCCACGTCTGCCTGGATTTATTATGGCAGCCGAGAACAGCTGAAAAAAGTACAGGAATGCTAGCAGGTGTAGCCCAATTGTGGGAGGAGTCGGATATGGGGCTGCAGAGGAAGCTTGGAGCCGGGATTTACACCCAGGCATGGCAGATATTCAAGAAGGGGGAACCACACGGTTTGGGGGCTCCCTTTGCCACACGGCTTAGGAAGCTGGAAAGCAAGATGCAGCAGCAATGCAGAGCTCCCTCTTAGCAGTTTGGAAGAACGCAGGAGAGACGCGGTGGGAAGAAAGGGGTGGAAGGACTCTTGCTGGTGGGATAGGAGGAGGCACCACTCAGGTTTGGACTGAGACCTGGAGATTGTGATGACGACACAGCCGATGGTGCCGGGAACCATGGGAGGCCTGCCCGCCAAGCTCGGATCACTGGGAAGGACCGGGGGCTGCCTGAGCCATGGACCTCTACTTCTGTTCCTGAGGTATGTGCCCCAGCCTGGGCAAAGGGGGGAAGGAAGGACTCTGTGTGTTTGTGAGTGTTTTAAGGAACTTTGGGATTTTAGTGAAGACATTAAGTCATCACTCTTGAGTCTGTGTAACTTTTGAGTGAATAACCCCTTTCCTTTTCACCACTCTCTGGCGTTGAGAGCTATAATTCCCTGGCGGTGGGCAAGACGAACCTAGTCCACAGGGACCCCGGGAGAAAGGGGGTCCATGTGGTAGTAGTGTCTCGTACCCCATACCCCATGGGTCCATTCTGTGAGTTTTTGGAGGTCAGATGGGACGAGAATTGCCTGTGGCAGACCAACCCCCTTGGTGTGGGAGAGTAAGACTTTGGAATTTTTCCGGTCTCCAAAAATCCCTCTGCACTCCTCCGGAGGGCATTGGCAGCCTGATTGTGCTCACTGGGTAGGTGCAAAGGAAATGGAGCAGGAAGGGGGCAGAGAAGTGAAATGGTTCGGTTGAAAACTGGTTTCCGAACACCGTTTTGGAATAACGGAGTTGTGGGTAATGGTTTGGTTAGCATGCTGCTTCCGGGTTGCCCCAGTCTGCTCACTCACAGCTTCGGTGAGCTTAGGTGGCACTAAGGGAACCTGCACTCAGGTTTGGGGAGGAAGCAACCCCCTAGGCTCTGTAAGCCAACCCTGCATGTATGTTGGGGATCGGACAGCAAGCCATGGGGACATGCCGCCATTTGGGGTAACATGGAGGATGAGCCACGTAAGTGCCCCACTGTGGAGGATGGGTCACGCAGGGATGCTGCCATCTTGGACAACCCAGCATGCGTGGGTGCTGCCATCTTGGATGGTGGGTCACATGAGAGCTCACCATCTTGGAACTGGGCAAGGTGGTGGCTAAGGGTTCTCTTCGGATTATGGGCTGTGTGTTACTGCTGTGTGGGCCCTGCACCAGTCAGGCTGTCTGTGCAACTGGTTCTGATGGGGATGGCCCTGGTTCTGAACATCACAGACTGGGGTCCAAGGGTGACCCTCTGAGTTATAGGGTGCTTGCAAGGTCTAAGTTTCAGAAAGCTGCAGAACGTCCCTGCAAATCTGGGGACTTTGGTGGAAGGTGCCTATAGTGTGAGGAGCTTTTAGCTGCCAGATACTGAGTTTAAATACTGAGCTTAAGTACAGCCCTTCCCAGTGTGGGAATGAAACAGGGATTAAAAGTGAATTATGGTTAAATCTGAATGGGAAAGGAAAAATATGCATAATGGTTGTGAAAGTTTTAAACCTGGAGGAAAGGAAACCTCAATTACTTGTTTTCTAGTCCTGGCTGGTGTAGCTCAGTGGATTGAGCACAGGCCTGTGAAGCAAAGGATCACGGTTCAATTCCCAGTCAGGGCACATGCCTGAGTTGCAGGCCAGTTCCCAGTGGGGGACACATGAGAGGCAACCACACATTGATGTTTCTCTCCCTCTCTCCTTCCCCTCTCTCTGAGAATAAATAAGTAAAATATTTTTTAAAATTACTTGTTTTCTGGGAATGTGGTTTGAGTTTGGTTCCACTTCTGATCAGAAATCCCCTGTACCTGTAAGACCTAGTTAAGGTCGCCTGTAGCCCGATGGCGGGAATGCCTTTGCCGCTCGGGACCCACAGAGGGTCGTTCAGGGCTGGTGAGCGTTACAGCCCCAGGGCCTGAAAGGCCACGTCTGACCAGGGCTCCGGCAGACGCGCTGGTGCAAGGGAGCGCCGCCACCTGGGTGTCGCTCTTCGGGAACACTGTCTGTTTTGGACTTTGCTCTGTATCTGCTCTGAGAGGAAACTGAGGATTCCAGGGAAGGTGAAAACTTCACACTATGCCCTGGCTGGTGTGGCTCAGTGGATTGAATGCTGGCCTGCAAAGCACAGGGTCCCCAGTTTGATTCCCAGTCAGGGCTTGTGCCTGGGTTGTGAGCCAGGACCCCAGTAGGGGGCGGGGCTTGTGGGAGGCAACCACACATTGATGTTTCTCTCCCTCTCTTTCCCTCTCTCTAAAAATAAATAAATAAAATCTAAAAAACCCCAACAACTTCACACTATGTAGGAAAGTAAGCAGGGGAAGCATAAAACATAGAAATGCAATCTTAGTAAATTTCAGAAGGAAAAGGATTTTCCTTCATACTTTGTAGTTTTCTCCCTGAGTCCTCCAGAATCTGGCATTCAGGAGTGATGGCATAAGGGTCATTTGCATAAATTCAATAAGACTAGTCACTGATGGTGGTTTTGTTAACCAAGACTTTAACTGGAATGTCACACCTGAAGGAGCCATGTCTGGCTTCTGGTCGTCACCAGAAAGCCCCGAGGAACTGGGATTGACCTGCGAAGCCAGAGAAAGCCCACGAGAAAAGCCTGGTACTTTGGTTGGTTGTGCGTTTTGTGGCAGCCTTTCCAGGGAAGGAATTAATGTTGCTTTCCTGAACGATGACTAAAAAAGGACCTGCAGGCACAGTGGAGGTTCAAGGACTTGAGTGAAACGACTGGTACAGATGAAGCCAAATGGCAGGTGTGTGGCTCTGCTTCTGTGCCCCAAGGGGCGGACTGAAAAGTCAGTCTAAAGGTTCCCTGGGTGAGTTCCAGCAAAGCAGACTTAACGAAAGCAATCACAATCGCAGGTGATCCAGGCTGCTCTTGGTGTTTATGCAAACAAACAAGCAAAATTAAAAGCTGGACTCAACGGAGTCCCTTTAGTAACAATCAGAATGGTTTAAGGAGAAAAATCACAATGCTCAGTATCAGACATTGCAATAGCACAGCTAACTGCCTTGAACGTTTGTTTTCATGTGGAAGTTGAAACTGGGTTTGTAATATAACTGAAGACATCCAATTTACAGACACGAAAGACCTATCAAATTGCCATTGTTAAATGTCATTGCAGCAAAGGCCCTGCAACAGATGTCTTCCCAACAGACAGTTCCCAGGCACATGGACTGGCTTGGGGGTTGCTATGTGAACAGACCTGTGTGCTCTTCCTTGTTTTCATAGGGCGTGTGCCTATGGCCTCATTACCTGAGAGACTGGGTGCAATATAGGCCTCACTTAAGAAGCCCATCTGCCCTGGCTGGTGTAGCTCAGTGGATTGAGCGCAGGCCTACAAACCAAAGGATTGCAGTTCGATTCCCAGTCAGGGCACATGCCTGGGTTGCAGGCCAGTTCCCAGTGGGGGACGCATGAAAGGCAACCACACATTGATATTTCTCTCCCTCTCTCCTTCCCTTCCCCTCTAAAGATAAATAAATAAAGTCTTTTATTAAAAAAAAAAAAAAAGAAGCCCATCGCCCCGAGACTCGATGGTTTGGCTGAACTGAGTCGGTGGGTTGATGAAAGGTTGGGGTGGTCTGTAGGCTTCACTTTAGAACTTATTTTCCCCTTCCTGTCCTAATGGCTTGGCCAGAAAGGGCCCAGAAATCTGAAAGGAGGGAATCCTAAAATATTCCCCTCAGCCAGAGCTAAGCATAGTGGGCCATAAGGGCTTTGGAAAGGTGCAGCATGCCTTGTACACCTCCCTCCAGATAAGCCACTCTTTACCTAAGTCCCTGCCTTCGTCATTCAGTGGTTATGATTTAATTGTGCCCGCCAACTCTCTTGCCAAAACTGTCACCTCCAGAATACAACAAGGATGCCAACTGTCCAGTAATGCCCATCTTTGGACATCAAGCCTACATGTCCAAAGGCTTGATGTCCAAAGCCTTCAAGCCTTGAAGTCTGCAACAGTCCAAAGACCTAGATTCTGTAAGGTCCTCCCCCTTATGGATGCCCTCTATGCTGCTCCCCCCACTCTTTCAGGGATCCCCTGACCCAAGGGTAGGTAGGATAACATTGATGTCCAGCCAGAAATAGCTGCAAGAGACCTTTGCCCATGTTCTTTATATTATAAAGGGGTTGTATATCTGAAAGGGGTTGTGCAGTCAGCCCCCCACCCCCACAAAGAGGGATCTGCAATGGGGTCCAGAACTCAGGATATCAAGGAAATATTAAAGATATTTAGGTGTCCTCACCCCCACAAGTCTGAACTGGGGGATGGGAAATATGGAGCAGGGTCATTGAGAGTCATTCTGCATAGCAAGAGTTTTGCAAATAACCTCAGGAATGGTCACTTAGCGTATCTATAACTTTTAACTGGTTCCATGGATATGTTGAGTAGCTGTGGCCCTGTTCTGACCCAGGGAGATGGGATGTAACCAGGGTGAGTCCACCCATGACTCACCGATTACATCCTTGGAGATGATTGGCTCGATATCACGGGGCCACGTCTGCCCGGATTTATTATGGCAGCCGAGAACAGCTGAAAAAAGTACAGGAATGCTAGCAGGTGTAGCCCAATTGTGGGAGGAGTCGGAAATGGGGCTGCAGAGGAAGCTTGGAGCCGGGATTTACACCCAGGCATGGCAGATATTCAAGAAGGGGGGAACCACACGGTTTGGGGGCTCCCTTTGCCACACGGCTTAGGAAGCTGGAAAGCAAGATGCAGCAGCAATGCAGAGCTCCCTCTTAGCAGTTTGGAAGAACGCAGGAGAGACGCGGTGGGAAGAAAGGGGTGGAAGGACTCTTGCTGGTGGGATAGGAGGGAGGCACCACTCAGGTTTGGACTGAGACCTGGAGAGTGTGATGACGACACAGCCGATGGTGCCGGGAACCATGGGAGGCCTGCCCGCCAAGCTCGGATCACTGGGAAGGACCGGGGGCTGCCTGAGCCATGGACCTCTACTTCTGTTCCTGAGGTATGTGCCCCAGCCTGGGCAAAGGGGGGAAGGAAGGACTCTGTGTGTTTGTGGGTGTTTTAAGGAACTTTGGGATCTTAGTGAAGACATTAAGTCATCACTCTTGAGTCTGTGTAACTTTTGAGTGAATAACCCCTTTCCTTTTCACCACTCTCTGGCGTTGAGAGCTATATTTCCCTGGTGGCGGCCAAGGCGAACCTAGTCCACAGGGACCCCGGGAGAAAGGGGGTCCATGTGGTAGTAGTGTCTCGTACCCCATACCCCATGGGTCCATTCTGTGATACTTCCCTGCCCTTAATTCCCACCTGGCATCATAACTGGGCATGGTTTCAGGTTACTCTCAAAGTGAATTCTCCAAAACTGATGCTTCTCTCAGATCACCCTACAGGCAGGCACTACCCCTGCAGGCTCCCCACGGCCCTTGTGGGAATAAACTCTCACACCCAGCACGTGCTTCTATGGCTTCCCACACCCGGCACCACCACGTCCCAGTCACATCTTCTGCTTCAAGGTCCTCACCACCCCTTCTCTCTGGCCTCCTTAGCTGCTGCCCCTGCTAAAAACCTGAAATCTCTCCTGTGGCACAGCCACACCCCTCCATGAAGCCACAAGTCATTCCTGTTCCCAGGACACTCCTGTCCCCCGGACAGCCGGGACTCCAGAACCCACACTGCTTGTTTAAGTCTTTAGTCCCAGGCTACCCGAAACTCTGTCGTGTGCAGCTGTGCAGCTGCTGACTCCAGTGTAATGGGATTGACTCGAGCAACTCACAATCCCACTATGTTTCCCCTGGCCCTGCCCCCAAAGGCCTACTGCACAGTGCGGGCGCACAGGAAGTGCGGAAGTGCGGGCGCACAGGAAGTGCGGGCGCACAGGAAGTGCGGGCGCACAGGAAGTGCGGGCGCACAGGAAGTGCGGGCGCACAGGAAGTGCGGGCGCACAGGAAGTGCGGGCGCACCAAACAAACCAGCTGCTTACAAACAGGGCCAAGTCTCCTCCCTTTTGAATGTGCACAAAGCTCAAAGGACGCCTACGCTGCAGACCCGTAACCCACACAGCAGACACACTAACTGCACCCCTGGAGACAGCCCTAGAGCAGCAGTTCCCAAACCTAGTTACAGAGTCACCTAGCTCCCACTTCAAAATACAGACTGCGGATCTTCATCTCAGACCCTGTGATACAAGGCTCTCCAGGAATCTGTATTTTGAGCTCCCGGGAAGGTTCTGGGCCAGCTTTGGAAATCACCAGGCACAAGGACTGGCCACACCTGAAGGCTGTCCTCCCTCCCTCAGAGGGAGGGGCCTTTCCCACCACAAGCCCCCTCGGCCACAGGAGGAAAGGTCCGTCCTGCCCCTTCCTCTCCAGCCAGAACGAGAAGCACCAAAAGGATACGCCCGGGCATTTTCCACCAGGGGCCCCTGGCCCGACACCAGCATCCGCTTCTGGTGGTACTGGAAGAAGAGCTTCAGGGGGCTGTGAGAAAGAATAACTTGGTCCGGGTCCACCTGTGGGGACAGGCAAGAGACAGGAGAGAGGAGGAAGCACGCGGTTGACAGACAGTAGAGCGGGGGAGAGGGCAGCAGCCTCCGCCTAGGAAGGAAGGGAACCACCCGGAGGGGGGGGAGCCCCGTTCCTAGCTCCTAGAAAGGAGGCAGGCAGCTGTGGGAGCCTGGACTGGCTGCTGTCCCACAAAATAGCAAGCGGGACGTGCTGCTGATGGCTCTGATGCCCACCCGTCCTGCCCTGCTCAGCCCCCCTTCAGAAAGCACAGGGCATGTGCGCATGCTCCTGGTCGCTGCCACAGAACCCTGCCTCTAACCTAGACTTGCAGTTCTCTGCTCTGCTGAAAGACTGAGCTTTTTAACATTTAACTACGACAAGGCAGCCTCTTCTAAGAATGTTCTGAAACCCTCTATGAAAATTGCAAAAGGGAACCAGCTTTATGCCTTTGCTCCCTGCATTCAACCTCAAGCAGGGCCACACATCAATCAGCTACTTTATTTATATGCTTGGCTCCAAAGTTCTCTTTCCCAAACTACATGTACCCTCCACAAGGAGAGAGGAGTGTGTCTGCAAGTGAGCAAAGAGGGACTGCTTTGGGGGACAGCACTTGCTCACATGAGTGCGTCTTATTTATGGGAGTCCCGCCTGGCATACAGAGATTTTGAAAATTGAGACCCTTGCTTTCTAGGGGCTGCCAAGTCAAAAGAGACCACCCTGATGCCCAGAAGAAGAGAAATGGGTACAAAGACAGTAGGCCGCACTGCCAGCTCCACGGGCGGGTTTTCGTGGCCAACATGTAGATATGTATGCATAAAACATGAGCCTATTGCCCTGGCTGGTGTGGCTCAGTGGATTGAGCCCCAGACTGGGAGCCAAAAGGTCACCGGTTTGATTCCCAGTTGGAGCACATGTCTGGGTCATGGGCCATTCCCCAGTAGGGGGCGCTCAAGATATAACCACACATTGACATTTCTCTCCCTCTCTTTCTTCCTCCCTTGCCCTCCCTAAAAATGGGTAAAATAAAAACCATGAGCCTGTTGATGAGGTCTCTACTCACGAGACTGGCAACTTCAAGTTATTTTCCAGCAGGGCTGAGAGCTCTGTACTGAACCCGCCAGACTCGCCATCAGCCTCATCAACCTGGTCTTCCAACCCTACCGCCAGGGGAAAGTCCTCATCAGAGCGGGGGTGGGGCTCCACTGGGAAAAAGATCCGTGGGGTTCTGGCATCCCCAGCTGTCTGCGCACCTTGAAGCCCAGAAGGGCCGACAGCTCTTTGGCTTTGTCCTGCTGTGAGATGTTCCCGGCATTCGTGACAAAGACCACAGGCACTCGCAGCTGCCCCTGGGTGTCCAGCAGCCTGTGGAAGGCTTCCAGAGCCGCGGAGATCACTTGATGGCCCCGCACCAGCACCCCGTCGATGTCCAGCAGGAATCCAAAGGTGGGTGGGCTCTGCAGGGGGAGAAGAGAGCCGCCCCTGCCTGAGTCAACAGGCAGAGGGGAGGGGGAGAGACCCTTAAAGAGAGAGGCCCCCACCATTCCCAGGTTGTGTAGGCCTGAAGCATAAAACAAGGACATGGAACTTCTGGTGGAGCAAATCCATCTATAACAAAGGAGTCCTTTTCATATATATATATACACATATATATATATACACACACACATGTATATATATACATACACAAAATTTTGAAGATTTTATTTATTTTTAGAGATGGGGAAGGGAGGAAGAAGGAGGGACAGAAACACAGACATGAGAGAACTTCCATCGGTTGCCTCTCACACTGGGGACCAAACCTGCAATCCAGGCACGTGCCCTGACCAGGGGGTCGAACTGGTGACCTTTCGATTTGTGGGACAACAGCCAACCCACTGAGCCACAGCAGTCGGGGCTCATATATAATTAAGCACGTATCTACTTTGTTAAAAATTATTTTCCATAATTAATATAAAAATTTTTTAAAGTGGAAAATAGAAATTCAAAACATAATCCCTGCACTTGAACACAACCAATAGTTTCTTTTCCTCTTCATCTTCTATTCTTGTCTCTCATGCAGCTACAAGCGCACTTTGTATGGGCAGTTTTCATCTTGTGCTTTTTGCGTGACATACATTTTTGCCTGTTATAATAGCCTTCATAACCATGTCTTAAAATTTTATTATAATTACACACAGTTGAAAACAACAGCAACAACTAGAGACAGCCCTGGCTGGTGTGGCTCCATTGGCTGGAGTACTGTCCCACAGACCAAAGGGTCACAGATTTGACTCCTGGGCAGGGCACATACCCAGCAGCAGGTTGGATCCTGGGTCCAGGAGCATATACATGGGAGGCAACCAATCAATGTTTATTTCTCACATTAATGTTCCCCCCACCCCGTCTCAAATCAATAAAGACATATTTTTTTAAAAAATTTAGCCCTGGCTGGTGTAGCTCAGTGGATTGAGCATGGGCCTGTGAAGCAAAGGGTTGCTGGTTCGATTCCCAGTCAGGGCACATGCTTGGGTTGCAAGCCAGGTCCCCAGTAAGGGACATATGAGAGGCAACCACACATCAATGTTTCTCTCCCACTCTTTCTCCTTTCCTTCCCCCTCTCTAAAAACAAATAAATAAAATATTAAAAAAAAATTTAAAACATACCAAACCGATTCTAGATAAGAAGCAAAGAAGCAAAGACGAAGGAACACCGAAGCAGTCCCTTCATTTGAAATTAATCTTAAACCACACGCTCCAACCCCTGAGCCACACCAGCCAGGGCGACCTGAAGTGTTTTAAACAACGGCAGCCCTGGCTGCTGTGGCTCAGGGGGCTGAGTGCCAGCCTGTGGGCCAAAGTCATGGATTCGATCCCTGGTCAGCACACATGCCTGGGCTAAGGGCAGGGTCCCCAGTTGGGGGTGTGCAAGAGGCAGTGATCTCTCCCATATGTTTCTCTCCCTCCCTTCCCTTCTAAAAAATAAATAAAACCTTAAAACAATGACAACAGCTTTACAAAGAGGGCCCATTTCATTGTCTCCTCCAATCACTTCCACATGTCAGGTAACTTACTACATGCCAGTCCCTGTGCAAAGCACTCCACATTTATCACTAAAAGCACCACACATACGTTCACATAAACACACTGCATGGGGATTAAGACCCCCGTTCCACGTATCAGGAAACTAGCTGACGCCGAGAAAGCTAAGCGACATGCCTCAGGGACACACTACAGGCAGGACTCAACCCCAAAGCTCTTAAATTCTGTGATGCACTTCATCCTTCCTTCCCGTTGTCCACGCTATCGGGAAAGTCTCTCTGAGATACCTTAGGGCCCACGAAGATGCTCGAATCAAAACAATAATTACAGGAGAGGGAATCTCAGGGGGAAAAGGGGGAGGATTTACAGGAACTAGTATAAAGGACACGTGGACAACTACGGGGGTGGAAAGGGGAGGGAGGTGGGGGACACAGGGGGGTGGGCTGGGATGGGAGTAAAAGACAGAATACTGTAGTTGAAAAATAAATAAATAAAGGGAAATAAAATAAAAAACCAAATAAGGAAATAGAGTCATAAAATTCGAGCCTATTTTAAGTGAATAATCTTATGTGAGGTAGTTTCCTCCAAAGTATATTGACCTATACATAAGTAAAGGGAATCTGAGATTTATGGACTGTGTAATACCTGTCTTGAAAATAACCATTTTGTGAGTGTCAAAATAAATATGAAGCTAACAGTAAAAAAAACCAATAATTACAAATAATGGCAATTACTCTTTAAACTTGTGCCACTGCAGTTCAGTCTTTTCATCAGTATCATTCTATGCTTCCAGCTCAAGGCCCAGTTCCTTTACGTCTTTGAATCTAAGCTGCTCCACAGGCAAGATGACTACGAGAACATACCTGTTAAGAGCTACAACTCTGGTCCTGCCTGGTGTGGCGCAGTGGATTTAGTGCCCGCCTGCGAACCAAAGGGTGGCCAGATGGATTCCCAATCAGGGCACATGCCTGGGTTGCATGCCAGGTCCCCAGTTGGAGGCACACAAGAGGCAACTACACAGGGATGTTTCTCTCCCTCTCTTTCTCTTTCCCTTCCCCTCTAAAAATAAATATTTTAAAAAGAGCTATAACTCTGGCACCAGACTGCTCTGGGTTCCAGATTCTGCCATTTTATAGATGTGTGCCCTTGGGGCAAGCCACTTAACCTTTCTGTGAAATAGGGCTAACTTCACAGAGTTATGAAAATTCTATGGGTTCACGATGTAGTTGTGAAGTACTCAGAACTTCACTGCGTGGCATAATGTACTGTGTTTGTTTGCTTTTTGTAAATAAGTAGTTGACTTGAAATGCACCCAAGTGTTACCTCAAAAGCATCATACAAATGTACCATATTATCATGAATGAGTGCGGAAATTGTGAATTTAGCAGGCACAATGGCTCAGGGGAAGGGGCGTTGGTGAAAGAACTGCCTGGCTTAGAGTCCTGGCACGTGGTGTTGGACCTTTAAACAAAGTTAAAAACTTGACTCCAAACTTCAGCGTTCTTACTAACACCTGGGTCATACCTACCACCAAGGCTGAGAAAATTAGGTATTACCAAAGCATCTGGCACAAATCAGGGACCCTGCGCCGGTTTCCCTACCCTTCCCTGCCCCCACGCCAGACGGGACAGCTAGCTGCTCACTCCAAGCAGACCAAGTGAATGGCACCCAAGTGAAAAGCCCCGGCCCCCTAAAAAAACTACAGTCACTTCCAGGCTGTCCCCTGTAGGTGCAGATCCGAAGAGCAGTCCATCACGAGTCCCTAAATCTTTTTCAAATGCATCTGAAAATCCTAACCCAAAAGTCCTCATCATGGACCTCAGGAAAAGGGAAGGCGGAAAACGCTGGGGACTTTGGGGACCAAGAGCGGCAAGAAGCCACGAGACGCGTGTTGGGTGTGTTCTGTCCTGCTCCAGCCAGAATCACTTTTCTCCCGGCCAAACACACGCCCCAGAGTCCGAGTCGGGAGGCAGGGCACGCGGGGACACTCGTGCTTAGAGCCACAACCAACAGCCAGGTGCCCAATCACGGCCATTTCCCAGGAGGCCCGGCGCTCCGGCCTCCTCGCAAGCCCTGCGGACCGGCTCACCTGAGTGGCCCTCACCTGCGCGGGGTCCACAGAGTAGCCCCTACCAAGGAAGGAGCCCCGGAACCCCGCGGCTGCCCGCGACGCCCGCAGCCACAGCCGGGGCGCCGCACGGACCGCCGCGAAGACACCCAACACAGCCATCCGGCCGCCGCCTGCGCGCACTGCGCCTGCCCGGTCCGCGCCGTGCGGCCAATCAACGGCCGGCGACGCCCAAGGCCTCTCGGCAGTTGTAGTCCCGCGTGCACGTCCAGAACCTCGCCAGCGCGCAAGGCAGAAGACTACCTCAGTTCTGGGGACCTAAATTTGCCCCTCCACCTGCCCACTTTCTCTCCTGCAGATTCCTCTGGGGACCCTGTAGCCAGCCCCTACACCCTCCTGTGCTGGCCTCCAGGGAGCCTCTGAGCAGAGTCAGGGGCGCCCGTCCTGCCAGCTGCATCCTGGTGGCCAGCACACACGGGCAGCCTGGATGTCCCCGGGCCCTGCCAGGGAACGGGCCGCGGGGGTAGGCAGGGAGGAGGCTCCTGGGACTGTTGAGCACCCTCCAAAAGACCTGTACCTCTCAAGGCGGGCGGCATTACAGCGTTTCCTATTGGTAAGAGCGCACCTCCGGCTGGGCAGGTTGGGGCGGGGGTTTGAGGAGTAGGTCTCCCCGCTGCGTCTACACGGGGCAGTGGCAAGGACCGAGGCGAGAGCCCGCAGAGCTGTTGCTCTCTCAGCTTTTATTAAATGCAAGTTCACACGAAAGAACATCAACACCGCATTACCATCCTGCCCTCTGCAATGCCACACACAGTCAACACACAACAATCCTTTGGGGGTTAACGAACCCGAGTCCCAGAGTCTCGGTCCCAGGTCCGAGAGTCAGCGTCCGCTAGAGGGGGTTTCAGTCCGGTTGGAGCGGGTGGGGTGGGGTGGGGGTGGGGTCTCAGACGCGTGGAAGTTCCAGAGTTCCGGCCGCACGTGGCCCAGGGTAGCGTGCAGCGGCTTCTCGGTGGTGGCTCTTAAGTCCTCTTCAGTTCTACGCAAATTCTTGGCGCCTGATGGAGCTGTGGCTCAGGGCCAAGAGCCCCCAGCGCGTTATTGGAAGGCATGCCCTCTCTGCTCACACGTCCGTGTGCCCATATTGTGCGCTGCCCTGGCAGGTCTTTGGCAGGGTGCCTGGCTTGGCTTAGACAGTTTCCTTGTTGAACCTAAGTGTCATGGCTGACCGGCAGCCCTCTTGGTTGATGAGTGATGCTGTTTTATTTTATATACTTCATCCTATCTTGACCAGACCTATACCATTTATTGGTCCTGCTTTCCACATGCTGCCGTCTTGAGCCCAGCCCTCTACCCCTGCCCTCCTGACTCCTAACAGGTGGGGCCTGATCCCCGTTTGGCTCTGCTCTGTGCCTGTAACCCTGGGCAGTTGCAGGTCTTGGACTGGCTGCCCTCCACTGGTGTGCAGATACCACCACTAGAGAGATAGTCCTGCCGAGAGAATCGGATGAAATCTTAATCAAGACTGGCTCGCAGGGAGTGCAGGGGCCCGCGGGCCTTTGCAGAAAGACACAAGGATGCAGTCAGCAAGGTCCAGACTGGGCATGCTCTACAGGACAGAGGCCCAGGCTTCTTTAAATACATTTTGAGAAACAAAATAAAAGGAAAAGAGAGCAATGCCAGCTCCAGAGGCGAGGTGGAGCTAGCACTCCCTTATCACTGCCGGGGGTTCGAGCCATAGCCTGCCTGCAGGGCGGCAGCAGTGAGCAGCCTCGATGGAGCTATCCCAGGTGGAAGTCGGCGTTGCAGTCCCACAAGGGGAGAACCACGTGGGCACTTGTCCTAGCTGCCCCCAGTCTCAGTCACCATTGCTGCGTTGCTTGGGAGCTCCAAGAGGGTCTGAAGGGTAGAAGCAGGATTCTTCCAACTCCACATAACTGACATTTTGAGGCTTTGCTGCGGGTGACTGTTCTGAGCATAGTAGAGTGTTTAACAAAGTTTCTGCAATAGCACCCCCTCCTGCACCTGGAACGACAGCCAAAAATATTTCCACGCATGTCCAATGTCCCCTTGGGGGACACAGTCCCTGGTATCGAGACCCTCTGGGGTGGACAGTCCATTAACCTCCTGAGTGAGATGGGGAGAGGAGCCGGTGCACCAGGATTCCCGCTTCCTAAACACAGGGCTTCCAAAATCCAGAGCAGCCCTGTGACCAGGCACTGAGCTGCTCATACGGCCCTCTGGTCCCCCTTCCACCCTCACCCCTCCTCAGCAGGAGGGGTGCGCAGATTCTCTTTAAAACCCAGTCTTACTGCCACTTGATATCACCCTGATTTGTACGTGAGGGAAGCCTGTTAATTTCTTTATAACCGGGGGTTACAGAAAACTTCCTCACTATGAGACAAGGGTCAGAAGCACTAAAAAAAGAAAGAAAGAAAGAATAAATGAATGAGCCCTGGCCGCTGTGGCTCTGTGGTTGGGCAACATCCAGTAAAGTGAAAGTTCGCCAGTTCCACTCCTGGTCAGGGCACATGCCTGGGGCGCACGCTGGGAGGGGTGGGTGAGTGTTTCTCTCCCTCCCTTCCTCTCTCTAAGTCACTGAGCCGTGTCCCTGGGTGAGGATAAAATTATTTTATTTTTATTTACTGGTGGGGAAAATGGGCGGGGTGGGAAAGAGGATAGGAGGATGTAGGTGTGGATGGAAGAGGGTCCAATGTATCCCTTTTCTCTAAAAAAAATTTTAATGTGACCGTATAGCTACTTAAAATGTTTATTAAAATGTAGTGAAATTTGAAACTCGTGAGGGCACTACTCTCCCACCCTAGGCCACGTCCTTTAACTCTGCGCAGCAGACACCACGGTCCACAAGCAGATTCTACAGTCACTAAATGTCCTTTCGAGCAGCAGCGGTTGGGGTGGCGACAGCAGAGCGCGCGGGAAGCCCCGGAGCGGGTCCCTGTGGCTCCGCGCGGGGCCGCCAGGGGGCAGCAGCGCCGCACCACGCGGGGCTCCGGCCACAGGTGCGGAGCCGGAGGCTGTTCCGGGAAGGGTCTCTCCTGCCAGCCCCAGGCTCGCACTTCTCGCCATTTGCTCTCCGCAGGCTCCCGTCTCGGCCATTTCCCACTAAATGGCAGTCCCTGGGTCTGGGAGGGCCACAGCAGTCCGCAGGCGGGGATGGGGGCGGGTCCTGGACAAAGGGGAGGGTCCCGCCCAGGCTGAGGCCTGGGTTCCAGGAATCAGGGTCCCAGCTGGGAGGTGGGGGTGGGGACAGGAAACTGAGGCCGTTTCCGGGACTGGGAGCCCGCCAAAGGTCCCGCGAGGGGTCATCCCATCCCTTGGGGGAGCCACCGCCCCTGAGAGTTTGAAGCCTGCTGGCCCCCCGGAGACACGAGGGGCCGTTGGAGGGGGCGGGGGTGGGAGCTGAGGCTGCCCAGACCCGCTCTGTGAACCGGGACTAGCCCGGGCCCCCAGAAACGGACAGGAATGCCCGCCGGCGTCAGGGTCCTGATCACAGAGGTTAGACGGGGCACCATCAGGCCTCTCCTAACTCCCACTGCCTAGGAACCGCACCCTCGCCGTGCTTCCCGGGAGGGCGGGGACTGCCTCCCTGCCTAGGGTCTGCAGACAGCGCCCCCCCCCCCCCCCCCCCCCGGCAAAGGCCCTTTGCAAGGCTGGTACCCGGCGCTCGGAAGGTGGAGGGTGAGGAGGGCGTTAGCTAGAAAACCTCTACACGAGGCCACAAAGCTCTGCGGGGCAGCCCGTTCTGCGTGAGCGTGGAGGCCTGAGGACACGGCGCAGGTCCATCCCAAATGGCTCCCAGCCCCACCATGCTGCTCCCAGACCCCCCAGAGCTCTCCTAGCCCCACCCGCTCTGACAGAGAAGAAAGGACAAAGATGACTTTCCAAAACTGAGTTTTGGGGAGGGAAACATTGCTTTGCCCTTCCACACATCCGCGCATCCATTGGTTGGTTCTTGTATGATCCCTGACCAGGGTTCCAACCCACAACCTTGGTGCATCTGGACAACACTAACCAACTGAGCTACCTGGCCAGGGCAGGGCAAAGAAGATTATGTTGTTTTAGGATGGTAGCTATTTAAAATGACATATACAAGTATTATGTGAAATACATCACATGAAAATACTTATAATCTGGTATGCTAACAATTTTGGCCTGTAAATGCAGGTATGTATTTTATATTCAATCCTTAACAGATCAGTTCTCATGGGAAGCAAAGACAACATCAGTCCTTCCAACTCCGGGACTTGGGAAAAGGGCTGTTTCGGGATTCTAGCCTAGGGGCTGAGACAGGGCAGCTTGGAGAATTAAACAGGCGCAGCCTGCTTCGGCATGAGGGCTTCTGCAGCCGAGACTCCGCTCTGTCCCCTCCTGTCAGCACCCAGCTCAGCCCGTGTAGGCTGTGTCCCCTGGTTCACCGCGTCTCTTCCTGGGTACTGACGAGGTTCGGGGCACAGAGCCAGGCTGCAGGGCCACATACACACGAAACAGCCACCATGTGTCCACATGGAGCATCCAGTATGGGGGAGGGAGACGAACCCAGAAATAAACGTAGAGTTAGTTACAAATCGTGGTAAGTCCCGAAGGAAACAAGAGGTGCTGCCAAGTCGGGGGGTGTGGGAAGCCTTTCTGGGACAGCACTGGAAAACCAGGAACCGGAAAGGTGCCCAGCCATCCTGGGACCCGAGGGGATGGAGGACAAGAGCAGCCCGGGCCAGCGCAGTGAGGAGAGCCTGACGCAGCTCGGAGGCTGGGCTCTTGGAGGAGCAGAGGACCTGGTCCAACCACCAGAGTCCTCGCTCCCAGGGTCACTGGGGTCAGCAGAGGCTAGAAGGGTGTGGGTTCAGCAGGAGGCGCTGCTGAAACAGCTGTGGTTTTCTAAGTGCACGAAATTGTGAGCAATGGAGTGACCCGAATTCATTTACATTAATACTTTTCTCTAATATGTTATTGATTTGGGATAGACAGGATAGGAGAAACACTCACGCGAAAGAGAAGCATGGACCGGTTGCCTCCCCTACGGGCCCCAACCAGGGACCAAAAAATTTAAAATTTTTTATTTTTTAACGACTTTATTTATTTATTTTTAGTGAGAGGGGATGGGAGAAAGAGAGGGACAGACACATCAATATGTGGTTGCCTCTCGTGCGCCTCCTGCTGGGGACCTGGCCTGAAACTCCGGCACATGCCCTGACTGGGAATTGAGCTCGTGACCCTTTGTTTCCCAGGCCGGCGCTCAATCCACTGCGCCACCCCAGCCAGGGCTGATGGAGTATTTCTGAGATGGTAAGCAAATGGGAGGGCTTTGCTGATCTGCACAAAGAAACGGGCTTGGGGACTGCAGGGGAGTGGATTCAGGCACAACTGAGCGACAGGGAGACAGCTTGTGGCGGCCAGCTGAGGACCGGGGTCCTAGGCGGCTGTCTTCTTGCTCTGGCCTCCAGCCAGCTCCGCTACAAAGGCATCCCATCTCTCCGCCCAGGTTTCCATGGCAGCCTTTTTCTCCGTGTCCTGCAGGGCACTGTACCTGCCCAAGAAGAGAAGGCCAGGTCAGCCCCAGGAAGGGTTGGGGGCAGGACAGGACAGGGGAGGGACTCTCAGACGCTCCCAGAACACATTCCTCCCCATTCTGGGAGCAGTAACGGACCAGAGCCCGTGTGGAGAGCACGCACAGAACCCTTCCAGGTTTCTGCACCAGACCTCCATGGGAAGGCAGCGTGTGGCTCTGGGGGCGGGGGTCCGAGAGGGGCCCAGGCAGCTCACTTGATGGAGTTCAGGGCCAGCTGTTTGAGGGTCCTCAGGTCGGCCTTCATCCCGCCAATGCCCATGAAGGCCTCGTAGAAATCGTAGGACAAGCCTGAGGCCCCGAACATGGCTGGGTCATCCGAGCTGATCACCATGGGGTACCCGGTCGCCATGAGAACAGCGGCGGGGTGGTTTCTCAAGTCGGACACCAGCTGCAGAACCTGCCCAGGAGGAGGCCGAGGAGAAGGACAAGCAACTGTGAAGGGTCGTCACGAGGAAGGTTAGCCCGGGAAGCACCGGGGGCTCCTGTCTTTCTGTCTTGGCTCCACCCCCCCTTCTGAGCATGGGGGTCCCTTCTGGACAAAGTCCTAACACGGGACTAGAGCCCGTTCCCCCCTACTCTCTGCCCCTCTCTTCCTAACCTCCCAAGCTCACCCCACCACAAGCACTGGGTCTCCCTCGGTCCCGCTCAGAGCAGCTGGCCTGAACGCAGCACGACGGGCAGACTCACAAAGTGTCCAAGCAGCTGTGGGAGCAGCAGCACCCACAGTCCCGCCACTTCCTTGCACCGCCCCCCCCCCAGGGTCCCTTTAGCTTTGTCTACAGCTTGGCCCCAAATTCTACCCACCCACCCCCGCCCCGCCAGGGCCCTTCACTACAGCCTCACTGTTCGGGATGGCTTAGGCAAGGGTCCATCCCTCAGTGGCTGTACTCAGCCGGGCGGGAAAGAGCGGGGAACGCGGGGGATGAGGGAGCTAAGGAGAGGGAAGTCGTACAGGAAGAAGTCTGGGGATCGGAGCAGAGGGTGAGGCAGGGGACACGGCCACATTGGATGGGTCCCACGGTCGTGCCTACCTGATTGGAGATGGGACAGACTTCTACTGGGATGCCCTTCTTCCACAAGTCAGTCCAGATGGCTGGGTGTTTGGTCAAAGCAAATCCGTGGCCAATCCTGGTGGAGTTCAGTATTAGGGCTTCCAGAAGGTTCCCATCGACAGAAGTGCCCTGCCAGTCTGGGGAGAGGGGGGAGTCTTCTACACGGTGGACCTGACCCACGGGTCACCCTCAGGTGAAGCCTCCAGGCCCCTCGCCCAGGAAGAACAGAAACACACACACATTTTCTCTCTAACAACATTCAAGAGAGCAGGGCATGCCTGTGCTCCACGAACATGTGTGAGCCCGTGTGTGCACGTGACGGATGGGGCAGGACTGTGACACGGGCTTCGTGGACGGAACAGGACACTCAGTAGCAGGGCTGGGCTTCCGCCCTCGGTCTGCGCAGCCTGCAGTCCCTACGCCTTCTTTCCACCTGTGCGTTTGTCTCCGGAGCTGCTTTCTGGGAGGTCGATGTTTACAGTCTTTACGACCACGTGTTGCAGACGCTAGCGATACAATTATTTGTATGCACTTGCTTTATATCTTTAACAGGGCTCTTGGGACAATAGCAATGGCCAGAGCGCAGTGGCCAGCGGGAACAAGGCCGTGGCAGTTGCTCTTGGCTGCCTCGGTCCCAGCTGTCCCCACAGCACCTGCCTTGCAGCCAGGCCCGCGTTGGAGGGTGAGGACAGCTATGATGTCCTTCCCTTGCAGCTAGGAGAGCCTAAGGCTGGCCCTCGGGGTCATGCACGGGGCAGGAGCCTCTGGAGCAGCCTCTCCTGAAGGAAACGTATCGTTTTGTGCCTCACGGGACGTGGTCAGGCCCACGTGTGCCTGCGGCGTCACATGGCTGAGGGACGTGAAGTCCCGGGACCGAGGGGGTTGCTTATTATGTAACAGAACAGACGACCTCGCTGCAGAGCCTGTGGAGGTGGCTGCCTTCCACTCCCAGCAGCCAAAAGCATCCAGGCCAACCCACGTATAAAATGTGACAATCGCACCTTTCTGTTAGGAATAAAGCCAAAAAAAGATTCCTACTGCTGAATAGGGTGTATGTCTTCAGGTAGATTTTCACTGGTTTCCTATCTAGTCCTTTCTTCTCAAAGACATCTCCTTTCAAAAGGGAAGGGGCAAGCATTACTCTTGGATATTCAACACCCAGGTCCTGGCAGAAGTCTTCTCCTGGGGCCACGCACCTCAGACTCGGGTCGGATCCCGAGTCACTGTGCTGAGATGGTTTCACACAGGTGTGCTGTTCCCCAACTAGGCCCCAAGCTCTTTGAGGTGAACGAGCCCCCCCCCCCCAACCGTTCTTTGAATCTCGCAGCAGGGTTGTGTTCCAAACCGACTAGGAAGGTCCAGAAAAAGGGGCCTTTCCTCTGGGGTGGGGCCAGAAGCCAAGGCTGAGGCCTGGCTGTGAAATCCCAGCTCCCTGCTGCCCCCTCCTCGTCTCTGTGCTCCTCTGAGGTGCCAGGTACCTGGGGGACCCAAGACCCAGGTCGGGTGGGGGAGGGGACGACTAGCAGCCATCTTTCATCCTGGTCCAGGTTCCCCAAACAGTCCCTTTGATCTGAAATTGCAGCCACGACCTGGGACTCCTTGGCCCCAGCATTAGAATTGGAGAATCAGAATGTGGGTAGAGCTGAGACCACCAAGCTCTGGACCTGAGCTTGGGGGGCAGGGCATGCTGAGCTCGGGACATTTCAGAAACAGTGGCTATCAGACCACTGGGCAATTCAGGGACTCCGCTTGGGCACCGAGGCACAGACAGGGCTCCCGGGTGCCAGGGCAGGTCACCTCCAGTGCATGACTTTGGAAAGGTGAGCGGACCTCTGGGGCACAGCGGAATCGGCCACACCTTCCACTGCACCGTCTGCACCCCCTTTGGAGCCTTGAGCTCTCGGTCTGCAAAACGAGGGCTGGGAGCGAGTCTAAGTTCCACACAGAAGCTGCCTGGTCCCACTATTAGCGCCGCGGTTCCTTCTGTGGGGACCGAGCCGCCGTCGGGATGAAAGCAGACCGTGCACGTGGGCGCCCTCCCCTCCCGTCCGTCCCCTCCTCTGTTCCCTGCGCGTCGGTCCCCACGAGGCTCACCTGTCTCCCCGGCATGGAAGAAGTAGGGCAGCCTGGAGCCTCTCGAGGCGGGAATCATCAGAGCCTTCCTGTAGTGGTGCAGGGAGCGGCCGGTGTCCTCCCGCCCCACCTGCAGGACAGGGAGGGGGCCCGTGGGGCTGGGGTCCAGCCTCCCTTTGCTCATGGCGCCCTGCGGCCTGGGGGCACCCTTCCTCGGACCCTGCCTCGGTGGCTAGAAGACTTCGTCATCCCGTGGCAGAATTAGGACAGAAAAGAGTGCCTCCTTGCTCCCAAAGAATGTCCCTGAGTCCTCCCACCTGGTCTCCCCGCACCACCTTCCACGCCCGCATGCTCTGCCCTGGGCTCCTTCGGTGGGAGAAACAGTGATGGACAGACAGCAAGAGAGGCAGAGGCCAGGGACCGAGAGACAACGTGAGAGCAAGAGAGGCCGAGAGAGGGAGCGAGACAGTGAGAGTCTGGGCCAGCGATCCCCCAGGGGTCCCTGGGGGGGCATTTTAAAGTCATGAGGGGCCCTGACACGTTTTTATGTTCAGACAAACGTGGATATTCCGCGCGGGAAGGCGGCGTGTAGGCAAGAAAGAAACGGGGTCTGCAAGCGGACCCTCCAACAACGGCCACCTGTCCCCGCACCCCGGGTTCCTGCCAGGACGTGTCCACTTCTGTCCTCGTTCAGGCTCTTCCAGAAGCTCCCCCTCGCTGAGACCCCTTTGTCCTACTGCACTCCGAGGTAAAAGCCCAGATGGGAGGGACTTCTGCCCCTTTTCTGCACAGCAGCGCCTTGGGCCCCCCAGGGGGCCCGGGAGGACACCTGGGGCCCAGAAAACCAAGCCCCTGAAACCTCCTCCTCGGGGATCTGGCCGCTCTGATCCACCACGTAAGCAAAGCCTCCAGAGCGACATGCAGGCTCTGAAAGGGGCGTCTGAGTGCCTTTTAGCCGACAAGTCCACATGAATTCAGCAACAAGTCCTCTGGGGGCGTGTGGCTGCGGCTCTGATTGGAGGGGGGCGGTGACTCCGCCTACATGGCCAGAGGAGGACCTCGAGCAGCGCCGCCGTGTGGAGCAAGAGCAGAAGGCGGGGGAGAGAACAAGCCCACCCGTCAGTCCTCATTGTCCTGCTCCCCGAACCTCTCCTGATTCCGGCACCTGGGCCCTTCTGCGTCCCATCTCTGCCCACTGCCAACCCCCTGCAGGCCCCTGGAGACTGTTACCAGGTCAAACCCTGCCACCATCCCAGGGAATTTGGTTCGAAGTTTCATGGCCATCCAGACGGATTCCGTGATGAGGGACACATTTTTGAATCTGTGAGAGAGAGAGAGACGTGAGGACAGTGTGGCATGGAGCTGAGGGGCCGTGTGCCCTGGCTGCCCCTCCAGTTGGCTGTCCTGTCCAGCCCAGGATGTTCGGTAACCACTCCCAGACCTTCAGCGGTGCCACCCCGACTGCCCCGACTGGGCCCCCTGATGCCTTTCGGTGGCTGCAGCTGAGGGAACCCCCCAGTCCGTCCCTGTCCAGGGCTCTGGCTGGCTGCAGGGACCCACAGGGTCTGAAAAGCAGGTGAGGCCAGGGGACCCGAGAGACCAGCGTTTCACTGCTCTCCGTTTGGTTAAAGCAACGTGGCCTTGTCCGAAACTCATCCTGTACCCTGAAGAGGATGGGCTCTGGAAGTGGGTGCAGGACAGAAGCCAGCTCTCTGTTCACTTCACGCCGGCGAAATGCCAGTCCCGGCCGGCACCTGGCAGCCACGGTCATCCTCCCCTCATCCCGGCAGCCAGGCCCGGGCCCTGCAGCACCACTCAGCGAGGCCGTCAGCCCCCTGCTCGGGGCCTGCAGGTCACATGAAGGGACGGGCAGGCGGCCTCAGAGCCGGGGCTGCGGGAAACGGAGGCACGGCCTGGCCGGAGGAAGGGCTATGCCCGGTAGCTGGCTCAGAAATTCCAATGCCCAGCCCAGGGGTCTCAGTGTGTGCCCCACCTGCCCCCCTTCTCTCCTGCAGAGGCCTGTGGGGACCCTGTAGCCAGCCCGGACACCCTCCTGTGCTGGTCCCCAGGGAGCCTCTGAGCAGAGCCAGGGCAACCGTCCTGCCAGCTGCATCCTGGTGGCCGGTACACACGGGCAGCCTGGATGTCCCCGGGCCCTGCCAGGGAAGGGCCGTGGGGGCAGGCGGGGAGGCGGCTCCTGGGAAATCTGACTGCCTCTCGGAGCCCAACCCCCCGCCAGCCCTGCCCCCTGACGAGTGGATGCGAGCCCACCCGACCCTGCCCTGTGTCTCCAGCCCTGGGCCGTCGCAGCCCTCGGACAAGCTGGCTGCCATTTAACAAGGGCGGAGAGCTCTCATTTTGGCGAAGTTTGAAAGAAAATGAAGTTCTAAGGCATCTGCACTTGCTTAGGGCAAGTGTGAGAGCTTCTTCAAACCACCAGGCCCCCCAGGGCCGGTACTGCTGCTGGGTCTGCACACCTGGACGCTGGGGCAGCTGTCACTTGGGGCCCGGCTGCCCATCAAGGCCTCACCTGCAGCCACACACGTCACAGGGCTGACTGAGGCAGAACACCGGGGGCAAATTAAAACAGAAATGGGCTAATTCCCCGAACGCCCGGGCAGCTGTGGGATCAGAGCCTAGAATTACCATCTAGAAAACTGCCGACGACAGGTTTTTGGACTCTCCCCCACTCACACACGCGCGCCCAGGGGTCTCTGGCCCCCTCCCATCTCGCCCCGCCCCCCCCCCCCCGCCCCTCCCCAGCCCGGGCTCTGCCCGCCCCACTCGCCCTCTTTCGCCATGTCAGTGGTTCTCCCTCACCTCTGATCCGAATAAATGATCTTCATTCCGATGAACCCGGGATGCTCTCTCGAAAACAGAGAAGCCACGTCTCTGTAGGTCTCCACCACCCACTCTGGGCTGTAGGTCCTCCCGTCCAGCTCGTACACCTTGGGGGAGGGAGCACAGTCCGGGCAGACACCGGAGGTGAGAGGAGCAGGCCTTCGTTCCCGCCGACAGTCACCTCTGCAAAAAGCCCGGACCTGGCAGTGCTTTTGAGTGACGCCTCTGATGGTGTCCGATGGCCTCTGGCCTCTACCAGAAGCCCTGGCCCCTCCGGGGGGCCTGCCCTGGGGTCTCTGTCTGCCTTGTGGATGGCCGGGCCCTCCCTTCCCAGAGCAGGGCCTGGCCCATCGTGGGAGGGGCTCGGCAGCCCTGTCACAGGTAGGGACAGGTAACCAGGTTCCTGATGATCACAAAGAACCAAACACAGATTTGGTGGCAGACAGATTTTATAGCAGACAGAGAGAAAACAGATTTATTAAGCGATAGTACACACCACAGACATGGGAGCAGGGGACTCCAAGCAGACATTGACCTCAGGGGCTGGAGGGATGTTATTCTTACAGGGCGGATCCTTCCTGGCGAGTTTTGGCGGCCTTTTCTTGTGCATGTAGCGCGTACGAGTATTGCTTTAAAGCTACTGTGCGTGTGGTCTCCCATGATTTTCCTTGGTCGGCCACCAGAGAAGGTGTGCACAATGCTGATTTATTATAAAGCTATTATCATGAAGCAGGGGTCATGTAGCCTCTTCTGTGTAGGTGCATTCAAGTCACCAGGATTCGGCGCTTTTCCAGAAAGTGGGGACAGCCGGTCTTAGAGCGTCTCTGTCTTATACAGATGTCCTTTATCTTAGCCCTGGGACACCTCCAGAGTTTCCTCCTTCCAATCTCCTACCTCACTTCCCAGTGACGAGTTTAGAAGTCCTCTCCCCTCTCCCGCCCGAGGTGCAGCACCCCTGCAGTGGCCATGGTCACTAGGGACACCGAGAGTGACGTCGTTACAAGACCCAGGAAGGAACAGGAGGCAAAGCAAAGGGAAGAAAAGGACGAGTGTGACGGCGCCCCACGCCGCGCTGGGAGGAGCTCCCGGGGGGGTCGGGGCTCCGGGGGCTGGGTCTGCCCCCTGGTGTCACCCACTCCAAGTGGCCGCGTGCGGTGGCAGTTTCGGGTCAGGACAAGACGCAGAACTTTCTGCAGAGATGGTGAGGGGCGGGGAGAAGGAAGATGCAGGGGCCGTGTGTTCCCAGGGAGGGTGATGAAGGGCCAGCACACAGGACCTTAGAAACTGGGCGGGGCACTGGGCCAGATAAAGACTCGCTAATAAGGCCGGCACCCGGCCTCAACGAGCTTCCAGTTTGGAGAAGAGGCAGATTCTCCTCACTTTCTGACAGGACAATGCAGGAAGAGTTGTGTTAGAGGAGCAGGGGCTCTGAGGGAGCAGGGGCTGCATCAACCGGGGAGGCTCTGCAAATGTCCCTGGGGGCTCGGCCTTGGTGTGGAGCTGGGGGTGGGGTGGGAGCAGGATTCGATAAACAGGAAGCTGGTGGGGGGCTGCTCTGCAAGCAAACGGGTTCGTCCCAGGGGTCTGTGCCTGCAGGGGGTGGGAGGGCAGCTGCGGGGGGAGGGGGAGCACATCCGGGGACAGAGCACCAGGCAGAGCCTGAGCCAGAGCCAGAGCCAGAGCCAGAGCCTGAGCCAGAGCCAGGAGGAGAGGCCGAGAGACAGCAAAGAAGCCAGGGGCTGGCCTTCTCCCTGGAGAAACGGCCTCTCCCCTCACTGGGCCCTGCCTTTGCCCAGCTGCATGGCGGGTGCCGTGTGCCCCTCTCGCCACCCTCCCTCCCGCCCCCTCATGGCTGTCCCCCTGCAGGTGCTGCTGTTCCACCCAGCTCTGCGCCCCAGGCCCACAGTGCGGCCTCCCGCCCTTTCCTCCCTGGAGGGTTCTGCTCTGCTGCTCGGGTGCAGGGAGTGGGTGAGCAGGGGGCTGCTTCCGGCCCCTGCTCTTGGCCCCAGCGGCCTTGTTCTCTGGTTTTCTTGGCCGCTGTCGCTGCAAACCCTGGCAGTGCGCCCTGCCCCCAAGGCCATTTCCCAGGGAGATGCTCAGACAGACTGACTGACCGCAGGTGGTTTCCTCAGCATCTAGTACTGCCTATGCTTTCTTGAATCCGCACCTGAGAGCACATTTATTGGTTTCCCAGAGAGAAGGAGAAACGTGAGAGAGAGACATTGTGACCTGTTGCCTCCTGTATGTGCCCCAACTGGGGACGGAAGCTGCAACCCTGGTATGTGTCCCGACCCGGGATCAAACCCACAACCTTTTGGTGTGCGGGATGATGCTCCAACCGAGCGAGCCACGGCCAGGGCTGCCCATTCTTGGGGTTTTACTGAGGGGTCAGTAGGTCTCTGTACGATCACTTACCCCCCCCCCCAATATGCCACTTTGTATGCACAGTTACTTTTCACTGAGGGCAGTTGCGGAGCAGCAAACACGGACGGTGTGCTCTGCCTGGTTCTTACTGCCTAACGAGGACACGGATCGGTTTGTGGAGGTGGCCCTGCCCTGTCCCCAGCCAAGAGGAAACACCCTCGGGACTGACACAGAAAGTCGGCATCGGTGGGTCTGAACAAACCAGCCTTGCTCAGCCTTTGTCTCTCCCCAGTTCCCTCCACAGGGTCGCCTTTCACTGCCCCTGGAAGCCCAGCCCCCTTTTCCTCTTGCCATCTCTCCACAGCTGATTTCCATTTGATAAAATAGTGTGTAAGCACCTGGACTACCCACTGCTTCGGGACTCCGCCTCTTTTCCATGAAGGCTCCTGTGCACATGGAAGTTAACAGCAGCCCTGGCTGGTGTGGTGGGGTGGAGTGTTGCAGACCTGAAAAGCAAATGGTTGCCAGCTTGATTCCCAGTCAGGGCACATGCCTGAGTTGTGGGCCAGGTCCCCAGTAGGGGGCGCTCCAGCGGCAATGACACATGGACATTCTTTTCCCTCTTTCTCCCTTCCCCTCTCTCTAAAAATAAATAAAGTCTTTACAAAAAATTAACGGCTCTGGCTGGGTGGGTCACTTAAGAGTGTCCTCCCAATGGGCCAAGGCTGCGGGTTTGATCCCCAGTCAGGGCACAGACAGAAATCAGCCAATAAATGCATGAATACGTGGAACAACAAATCAATGTTTCTCTCTCTAAAAAAACAATCAGTGAAAAAAGAGAATGTTTTCTTTAGTTAACATCGTATTAACTCTTGCTGACGTGGCTTCCGTCAGTTAATTTGCAGCCCCAGAACACAGCCGAAGAAGATGACAGAAAACTTTTTCTCTCCTGCTGTGGTCAGCAGTTAGACCTGAGCAGAGCAAGCCCATGGGTCGCGGGTACGCAGGGTCAGCAGGACAGAAGGCCACGGATGCGTCCAACAGGCTAAACCAGGGAAACAAAGGCCTGACCCTCAAGGTGACCTTCCCTCTGCTCACACCTCCCTGGTCATGAGGTCCCCGCCCCCGCCCCCCCCCCCCCCCCCCCGCACATCACCAGTCACGTGATAGACCCCCTTGGAGGAGGAACTAGAGGAGGAAGAGTGGCTTCAGGACACTCCCACCCGGCCCTGTGTACAACCACCCCCTCAGAGACAACACCTAGGCCTCAGGCGTGTTTCAGCTCCAGGTGCAGGAAAGTAGCAAAACCAGACAAGGGCAGCCCTGGCTGACCTCAGGACCAGCTGCAGTGACCAGCAGCCCCTGCCCTGGTCCTGGTGCTGACCAATCAGAGGAGACCAGGACCCTGAAAGGACACACCTGGGAAGCTGAAGGATGGTCTGTTGAGATCCTCCCCTGAGGCCCCCCCATAAAATCCCTGCCCTTAAAAGCCCTTTAGGGAACAGGCCTGCACCCTTTCCCCTCGACCTCCTCCCCCTCCTGGTGCATTCATTACCCTTCCCCCTTCCCTCCTGAGCTCCCCGGGCCCTTCCTCCTCCTTTGTAATTTGTATCCTGAGGCCCGTTCATCTGCAGCTCACGCCTTCTACCTCTGCGACTTGCTAACTAAACTTTCTCTTAGAATTTGAGTCTTGGCTCCGAATTCTTTCTCAGCCAGAACTTGAGCACTGAGGTTGCTGAACGGAAGTCCGGCCTGGCCCCGCCGTTCTGACACAGTGCTGCTGTCACTGCCACCAACACTAGTTCCCCGAGGAGCTGAAGTCCCCGATCGAGGCTTCCACAGACTCCCAGGCCCTCGGTTAAAATCTTCGACTCTGGTGTTGCAAGAGCCTCTGTGTGTCATTGGGAAAGCCCAGAGGGGCCTCTAGACTTTTTCAGGAAGTCTACCAAGTCAGAACTCCCTAAAAAATTTAAGACGTTACTTTGTCTTTTTTTTCAATTTAACTTTCATTTATTGAGTTTAGAAAGAGAAACACCGACCAGCCACTTCACCTGTTCCTGCCCCTGTGGCTGCTTCCTGGTGCCCCGACCTGGGATTGAACCCGCAACCCCAGCCCATCGAGCTACGCTCCAGCCGCCCGGGGCAACATCGTTTGTCTTTTTCACTCGCATAAGTGTTCAGAATTTTCCAGAAGCTGCACAGATGGGACAGAGCTGCTCTGGTGCTTTGGAACTTCCTGTTGTGCCGTTTCCTGACTGGGGCTTCGTTATACAGGATAAAGTGGGGGTGGCCCACACAAACACAAGCCCTTGGAGATCCTCAGAATGTTCTGAGTGTGAGAGCCACAGAGTGGACCGAGCCCAGAACTGGCACTTGAAGTCATCCTGGCCTTACCCCCTGCTCTGCAGAGGGAGGAACCCAGTTCCGCCCCTGCCTCTGTCAGTAGGCGGGACCAGTGCACCTGGGTGCCGAGTGCGAGGGGAGTTTTGACCCCACCCTCCTGCAGCACCCAAGTGGAAGCTCCACAAGCAATCACTTGAGAGGTGCGGCCCCCCTGGGGTTTTGAAAGCACCAAGCTGCTGGCAGGGTCTCAGAACAGAACGGGCGGAGGGAGGTTGGAAGGGTGGCGGGTGGGGCAGCACTAACGGAACAGAAGGAAGGCGAAGGAATCTTTAAAACAACAACAACAAATTCGGCCTTATAGAAGACTGTTGGCAGAGTAGCAGTCAAGCATGCGGAAGGA